AGAGGACCAATCTAACATCAACAGATCATTCGTGCGAAATAGCAAACTCTTCAAACTACGATATACGTACATCGACATCTGCAAGGATGCCACAGGCACCCTCCGCTGGCTGGAGCTGGGGGGCGGGATAGGGCAGAATTCGCCTTTTATCCATACCTGTAAGTCGCTGCGTTCTGAGACAAGCAGAAGCAGCGAATCTAACTCGAACAGTCCACGGCACAAAACTCCCCGTGCCTCACCTCGAACACCCCAAACTCCAGGACGAACCCTCGCTCCGCATCTCCTTTCTGGAAGAGCAAACCGTCCAAAGCTCAAGCACGGTCTTTACCACCCAGCTCTCATATACCTTTGAGGACTGGCAGGGTTAGTTTACTCTCTTTCTGTTTTTGCTATGAGTTATGCTGATGATACATGCCAGACTGCGTGCAGTTCCAGGAACTCATCCTCGCCGCGAAACTCGTTTTTATTGCCGGCATCGCCGAAGCAAAATCCAAGGGCCGCGGGGAGGAATGCATCAGCCAGAATCTACGGATCCTCCGCGGGCACAACGGGAAACAGGTCGTGCTGTTCTTTGCCAACTCGCAGCGCAAGGAGCTGAAGCGATATGTGTCGATTCCTGGTATGCTCTCTTCTCTCAATCGTATCTACGCGACTCTACTGACCTGACGGCGAATAGTAAATTGCATCGAGACGGTCAATCCCGGCAAGAAAGCCGGTCGGCCCGTGGTGCTCGAGCTACAGCCGAATTTTGATATCCTGGCGCAGATGAAAGTGCTGAACATCCAGTTCCTGGACGATCAGGGTATGTCATTTGGCCGCTGTCATTGGGAGACCAAGCTCACTAGTTGCAGATCGGAAAGCATTTTGCGCGTTTCTGACCAATCAGATGTTATGATTGTACCATATGCAGCCTCCAGAGAGCAATGTCTGGTCCCTGGTACCCTCCTTACTGGGTCCCACGAGCTCACAGGCACAAGGAGTGAGGATTACCAAGTACATCTTAGGTAATCGTCAGGGTCGGTGATTGGATATTGGGATCACATGGATCTCATCTTACATAATTTCATGTTATTTGCACCAGCACGGAGTTTAGGTATTAGGATGTTTGGAATAAATACCCTGTGGTGCGTTTGGGATAGAGTTTGCAATATTATGGATATGACTGTGACTGCGCTTTTTTTCCGTTGGGATGGACTGGACGGACTCTCGACGGAGGACCTTACCTTAGTCCTTAGGTTCTCGCGGATTAGAAATTTCTGATTCTCAAATAAGCGCAGTATCCGTAAATTCATTGAATTGATTTCCCAACGCTCAGTATTAGTTTATTAAGGTAGATACGAAGGATTAGTTCCCGACGGCCGATGACCATCACCGGCCGAATCCTTCGCGTGTTTGATTAGATCCTACACGTGGAGTAATATATGAGTCATATGGTGTGCTGTGTGCATAAAGGCAAAGCTATCACTCCACTCTCTCTAACTCCTTACGAGCAAGGTATTGTTATGTCATTGCCATTGTTCTAGCCGTCGTCACAACGCCACAAACATGTGCAGCAGAGTAGAGCACCCGGAATGGTCTGTTTGGGAACCCATGGACTCGTGTACTCGTACTGATGATGGATAATATATGTCTGTCGGTTTTCACCTTCCTTTGACTTGTAAGCACAGAGTCGGCAAGGCAAACGAAAAGTGCCTCGTCTAAATAACTTATTGCTCCGTGATAAGTGGGTCTCCAACGGGCCAGTGGTGGCACGGCCTCACCACACGTGCAAGGTCCTTTGTTCCTTAGACCGAGGAGCTTAGTGATATCGAGCAGGAGGTGAGGCCAATAACGGCCGAATATGCCAACATGATATTACTCTGTCTTGGTCCTCCGGCGTGACTGCACCAAAGATGTTCCTCGAGTCAGTAGTGGCGGGTCGGGTCGGTGGGATGGCTGGTTAGGCTAGCTTAGCTAGAGCACACATATTGCTTTTCTTTTCTTTGCTTTTAACGAGGCACAGAGGCGAGCGAACCCCTCAGATGGTCAGTGCTAGTAGCCTCATAGGCCATCTTTGCTGGCTGTTTTCTCTTATCTAGCCCTGCATCTCGAGATCTGGGTGGAAAGCTGATTGCGATCATGTCCGATTGATCTAATCCATCATTTTCGTCACCATGGGCAAGATCAAGCGGTTGTATAAGACCGATCGCGCTCAGGATTTTGACCATGAGCAGGTAAGTCTCTGGTACTGGTCTTAGGTTGGTGTGTACATGCTGATCGCTGATTGTTGATTGTCAGGACCGCCATGTCCGCATGCGACAAATATACGAGACGATCGATAGACAAGGGTATCAGTGGATTGTCGTCTTCGTGGCCGGTGTCGGCTTCTTTCTCGACGGGTATACAGTAAGTCCCATCGGATAATTGGTTCAGGATGAGGACGAAGCTAAGTGGCAGCTCTTCGCGAGTAACATGGCCCTCCCCATGGTCAGCTACGTCTACTGGCAGGACACGACCTCGTCCAAGAAACTCACCTACATCAACATCGCGACTCTGGCCGGCACGCTCTTCGGACAGGTTCTCTTCGGCTATCTGGCGGACCGCAACGGACGGAAGAAGATGTACGGGGTGGAGTTGATGCTGCTTATCACATCGACGCTGGGCGTTGTCATGTCCTCGACGGGAGAGAATGGGAGCATGGATGTGTTTGCCTGGCTGGTCTGGTGGAGGCTGGTAGTCGGAATTGGGGTCGGGGCGGATTACCCCCTCAGTGCCGTCATCACCTCGGAGTATGTATTCACCTGCTTGAAAAAAGGATAAAGCTAACGGTCGGTAGATTCGCTCCGGCCAAGCATCGCGGCCGGATGATGGCCAGCGTCTTCTTCATGCAACCGCTCGGACAGATCGCAGGAAACATTGTCACGCTGATCGTGGTGGCCATCAGCAAGAACCAGCACCACGACGACCTCACCCGTACCTTTGATATCATGTGGCGGTGGGTAGTCGGAATCGGCGTTGTGCCCGGCGTGATCGCGACGCTGTTCCGTGTTGTCATTCCCGAAACGCCTCGCTTCCTGCTCGAGATCGAAGACGACCCCGTCAAGGCCGAGTTCGACGCCACCACCCTCTTCAACGAGCCCCCGTCTCTGGACCCCGAGGACAGCTGGAGGGACCTCCCCATGCCGGCCATGTCCGTCACGAGCCAGTGCTTCAGCGAAGGCCGCTCGCCCTCGCAGACCGAGATCCTCCAGCCCGCCACGCTCAACTCGCACTGGCATCTGACCCGCAAGGACATCACCCAGTACTTCTGGACCGAAGGCAACTGGCGCACCCTCGTCGGCACCTCTCTGTCCTGGCTCCTGCTCGACTTTGGCTTCTACGGCATCGGGCTCTCGAGCCCGCAGTTTCTGGCCAAAACGTGGGGATCCCTGAACATCCACGGCCGGGCGCCCGTGTGGAAAACCAACGACGACCCCAACGCCAACATCTTCGAAATGTTCATGAACAGCTCGATCCACGCGCTCGTCATCCTCAACATCGGCAGCTTCGTCGGCGGCCTTCTCATGATCCTCTGCAGCCACAAGGTCGACCGCACCGCCTTGCAAAAGTACGGCTTCCTCGCCCTCGCCGCGCTCTTTATCGCCCTGGGCACAATGTTCATCACCGTCCAGAAAGAAGGGCCCGTGGCGGTTATTCTATATATCCTCGGACAGCTCTTGTTCAACTTGGGTAAGCCTCCCTCCCACTTCAGCTGCCTCAGAACTAATAGTGACGCCCCAGGCCCCAACGCAACAACATACATCATCCCCGCCGAGGTCTTCCCCACACGCTACCGCGCCAGCTGCCACGGCATCAGCGCCGGCGCCGGCAAGCTCGGCTCCATCCTCGTACAGGTCTTCTCCACCTACTACAACTTCGGGACCGGGCCCGGCACGGAGCCCACCATCCGCCACGGCTGGATCCTGATCGTCTTCAGCGCGTGCATGATCCTCGGCGCCGCCGTCACGCATTTCTGGATCCCGCCCGTGCAGCGCAACGCCGCCGGCAAAGGCCAGTTCTGGGGCGGGAAGCACCAGTCGCTCGAGACGCTGGCGTTGGGCCGTCTCGGGTGGAGGAGTCGGTATGCGGTTAAGCAGTCGACGCGGCCGGCGCAGGTGGCGGCGTTTTCGTATGAGCTTCATTGATTTTACAATGTAGACATATACTTTCTTGTATATATTTCTTTTACATTACCAAAATATTGAGATAGATAGATAATAAACGGCACATACATATCATCCGTGGGTATCTCCAACCGCTTCTCAGATTGAAGAATATGTCTTTATCGCTTATCAGCCTTATGCAGGCTTAAACTCGGGGATTTAAAAATTAAGATTGAGTGAATGAGTGATAGTCAAGAAAAAAAAAAAATAAAAAAAATAAAGTAAAATAAAGAGATGACTTGGGCAACCCCAATTTATATCAGAGAGTAAGGGCTAAAAAAGAAGACTAGACTGCATCATCCGTGAATCGAACACGGGCCTCGTCGATGGCAACGACGAATTCTACCACTAGACCAATGATGCTACTTATTAATGGATTTCTCCTTTTTGGTGATATCAAGAAAAGCAGTAGAGTACATTATTGATTGAGGTTGAGGCTGGGTTGTCGAGCGAATTATTCCGCTATCAGGCGTTGCTTGCAAAACGGTGCCATTTTCACTTTCCTACTCGTGGATCTGCCAAGTATGTATAGTTGTTGCTGTTGGTGATGATATGCTGTAGCGACAACTTCTATCTTTATATTACATCAAGCTCAAATAACCCAAAATCACCACGAGCACATTTCGAGGGTTTGTCTACTTGTGTGAATAAAGAACAGGTTATAGATTCATAGGAAATCTAAATCAGCCTAAGTGCCTATACTCAGCGTCACTTCTAGTAATGTGACTTACAAGACTACCTTTGCAATTGTAGGGCATGAATCACAATACACGTAGAATCACCTAGAGAGGTACACTATGGCAAGATCATAAAGATACATCAAATTCCCCGCGTACCACGACCCAACGCCCTCTGTTGCTTAAGGTCAGATGGAGGATCCACCTTGAAAGTATTGTTACTGAGCTGCGTGACCAGACAAAAGTTATCTCCCGTGCCTGTGAAATCAACAGTAGCATCCGCAGACGTCTTCGCGGTGATAGCCCCAACATCCAAAGATGCATCGTTAGAGATGTAAAACACCGGCTGCTGCGGGGGGTTAGGGATGGGATAGGTTGATTTCGGCTGTATCTCCCAGACGCAGCTGGGGATAATCTCTTCTGAGCCGTGGCTGACGACCCCCAGGCCGCAAAACACATGTGCTAGAGACTGGTCAGTATTAGGCTTCAAACTGCTAGGATCCAATGCTCACCGTTAGGATCCGTTTTATACTCTTGTGTCGATATTGTTGCCCAGTTACCTGCCGACGTCTCTTGCTTGGGCGGGGGGAAGTAAGGGTTGTTGTTCTGGAGGCTTACGGGTACCACCTCCGGGGGCTTTATAACTGTAGACTCTTGGATGCTGACGTTCACCCCGGAGCCCAGCGGCTGATTGTGGCTGGCGCCGTAGACGACAGCAGTCGGCAAATTGATGGTAAATGTGGCGGTTTTTGTGTTTGTAATCGTTGCTGATTTCTGAGTGACGCATGCAAGAGGTGTATATCCAACACCCGAGAAGGGCTTGTAGAAGAGATAGTAGACTTGGTTGTTGTTACTTTCGTTAAGGACTTGAATAGTAAAGGACGACATCTTGGCTATCGGGATGCTTGAGTCCAATACAGGAACACTAACACTTGGGTGGGCATGGAGATGGAGACTGCTTGATTCACTGTTTAAATATGTCCTCCACCTGGCGCGGGGCGTATGGAGTACGCACGTCTCCGGCGTCTGGATACTATCATAAGGGAATTGTCACTGCTCCAACGACATGCGTATCATGCGGTAGTAGACGTGATGTTGAGACTCAGTCTAGACTGTGGAGCTTGTAGATCCCCATTTAGCGATTGACATGGCAGACCTTGGGAGAGACTGATCAGGTGCTGCAGTATTATCCAAGAACTCATGATGCGCCTGATGCGCCTGCCTTTCTTGATGCAAGCGGAAAAGCGTTCCTTGAAGCCTCAAACATGATCGATCTGGAGCAATGGCCAGATTTCGACAATAAGGCGAACATACCTTTCTTGACGGGGAAGCAGGATTCAAAGCAAAGGGATTTGCGCCCTAATAAAAGAAAGGTCGAGGCGCACCGTACCGTGCAGCTTGAATCAACAAGGCAAAGCTGAATTACACTTTCTTCTTGGTAGGGCTGTTCGACTGATTTGAATTGAATACCAAACGATGGGATCTTGTGGCAACTCTTCATGACCAGATGATGATCTGTTTTCGTTCTGTGATCCTTCGTGTGAACGCTCATGTGCGCGTCGGTGGCTGAAGAGTGCAAGCATCATCGTAGCTGTTGGTGCATTCGACGCTGAGGTCGCGAGTATAAAGTCAGCTCGAATGTCGAGCCCGAACTTCCAGAATGCCCCGTACCATAACCCCCATAACAGAATAACTTGAATCTGCTTGAGGAAAATCAACTCCACCAAAATGTCCGACACCCAGACCTACACTATCCAGGTGTACAACAACAGTGACGCGCAACAGAACTATCTTCTTTTCCAGACTGTGCCCGTTGTATCTGGCTCGTCCAATGTCTTTGCCAACGTCTACCAGGCATCTGGACCTATTCAGAGTGGTAATTACTCCCAGGTCACCTTCCAGATGACCGATGAGTTCTTTGCTGTGTACGGAACGAGCCCTACTCCGCTCGGTGACAAAGTCAGAGTCACTACGGGTTCCGCAGAGTCAGTCCCCCTGTCTAGTGGTGAAGTACCCCCGCTGAATGCCGGCACCACGTGTGTGATGACCACCACGGAAAGCGAGTATCCCACTTGGGCGACTGTCAGTCAGACTCAGAAGACCGAGCCCAATGCCTATTGCATATCCTGCGATGGATCGTTTAATTATCCCACGCAGAGTAAGTCATCCTGCTCGTTGCTGTGAGAACTGACTGGCTGTCCAGCTAATCTTACAAAATACAGCCAACATCTTCATTGGTATGGGCGCTCGGGATCCTGAGAGCAAGGATATCATCCCGGTGACAACCGTGCCTGCAAGTCCCAACACCGACTTCTACTTCCAGCCAATCGTCAAGTACTACATTGGCACCGGTAACTTTGAGGCGGGGACAGTGGTCAACATCACGGAGATTGGACCAGTTTTAACTGTGGATTTTACCCAGCTCCCCGAACCCTCGGCCGTCTACACCCAGGGCCGGGACAATGAATACACCCCGGGTGCCCCCTCTGATGATGCTGCCAAAGGCCGCAAGAAGAAGTAAATGACGGATTTGGAATGCGTAGCCCTTCAACCGGGTCAACCTGGGTACAGAACATTGAGGCTCAACGGATATTCAACATATCCAAGGCAAAATTGCAGAGGCCAGTTGTGGAAATTGCTCGCGATGGCTTTGATTGATTGCGTATAATGTAACACTCGTTCAACTAGTTTCAATATGGTCATGGTCAAGGTCATTCTTAATCCAAGCAGTGATTCAGTACGGGACACTTTGAAAATATCCGGATGCTCATGCAAGAGGAATGGGCAGAAGCCAATAATCGAAGCACAGCGTCACCGTGTACGAATTAATAGGACACATACACGTCATGGACAATCAGCTACTAGGAAGTCAAAAATATCACTTCGCATAAGCCAGGCCCAGCTCCTCCAGAGCCAGTATAGCAAAGAAGCGAGCCGGGTCGCTGCACCGCGTGCGTTGGCCCTGTGCCTTGGGCGGGATGCTTCTGTCAACCATGAAATAGAGACTGCGTGCCCCGGCCTCGATTTGAGCCCCGTCTTGCTAAAGGTAGACAGCGGTCAGTGCGGTAGAGTTAATGATTGCAGGGACAAGGAGAACGTAGAAACGAGGTTTGCGGTGGGGATGATAGCTTTACGCTGGATAGGGCGTAGGGCTCAACGGAGCCATCAATTGAGAGTTGAGACAAGGCGCAGGGCTGAGACAGAAACAGACTGGAACCAGAAATTTAGCACATCATATCTCAATGCGTCATATTTAAATGCACTACGAAAATGCATGATGCTTATATGCGACAAGCCTAGAGGCATATGACTAGTCAGTTATGGGTCAGGCCCGTGGCGACGAGTATCAGATAATGTATTTGCTCTTCTTAGCAATGGCTAGATCATAGATATATATTGCTCTTTGTTGTGAGCACGGAGATATTAAACAGACCTTAGATTGAAACACAGGAATTGGACTAAGTAGGTCAGATTCTACGCATTTATAACAATTCCACGGTCTAAAAACCTTTGCTCCTGGCATATAAGAACTGAAGACAATTTGTAAGAGCAAACCTGCCAATTCAGGTTGAGGTCTCAAAATAAATTTTAGGCTCATAGGTTTTTATTATGTATGGTGCCCTATAATATCTACCAGCTCGCATAGCTCAGTTGGTAGAGCGCATGACTAGTAATCATGAGGTCAGCGGTTCAAATCCGCTTGTGAGCAATTTTTTGCCTTTTTTTTTGGGGGGGTTGTCTCCTTTTTGCTGTTCTCGCATCGATCCACTTCAAAGCGGGTGGAAGTGGGACAGCGGTCCTCGCTCAAGATCGTCCGAGTGTCTTCTGGCTAGTCGACATGCACTGCAGCACAACCGCCAGGACTACTCCGTACGCTGCACAATGCATACAGGTGCCTTGCCCCTGCACATAGCCCCGCACTGGTCATATCATCATATGAGCGCTGATTCTACTCATCTAGCTGTGACAGGGCTGCAATTGCTGTCCGTACATGTCAAATGCATACAGCATGACCAATTGGATGAGCACTTGGATTGAATTGCGGGACCAAATTCGGCACATGCATGTATCTCATGCAATGATCTCCACTGTATAGCACGCCAGGACCAGCTTCCCTGTCAATTGAACGGGCTAAGGGCTGCAGTGATACAAATACGTGTCATCAGCCATTTCATCCTTTTTTTTTTTTTTCAAGAGGTATTGCTGTCGATATTGTCCAGACGAGCGCTGAGGGGGTGCTTTTTCCATTTTGGGGCCTGACGTTACCCCGCAATTTCTGATTACTCAACTGTCAATCTTAAGGTCCTTAAGAAGCAATTGCTCGAGTCGATATTCTTTGTCTCTTGTTCAATTTTTCTTCTATCTGACACTGACAAAATGACTGTCCCAATTACGGATCACCCCTCCAAGGATCGAATTGAACCGGGCTCTTTCAATGTCCCTGTGGGAAAGTTTCCCCAAACTGCATCGTCCACCTCTATTGATGCGGCCAAGGTCGCTTCAGAGGTTATTGATCGTTTGAATAATGCTCTAAACCAGAAAAACTACAAGGCAGTCGCAGATCTATTTCTTGAGGACGGCTACTGGCGGGACCACTTAGGTCTGTCGTGGGATTACCGAACCATCAAAGGCAGAGAGAACATCGCCAGGTTCCTCGAGCATTCCGCACGGCTGGCCCAGATCGATATTGACCAGTCATCGCCCTTCCGTGCGCCCCATGTCGGTCCAATTGATGCCTTTGGTGAGGTCACTGGCGTGGAATTCTTCACTACTTTTGCAAACGATGTAGGGCATGGAAGGGGTGTGGTCCGCATGGCGGAGAAGGACGGGGTCTGGAAAATCTTCACAGTCTTCACGACCCTCCAGGAGCTCAAGGGGCATGAGGAGGCTGTGAACACCCGTCGACCGCGGGGCGTGCAGCACGGAGCGCAGGCAGGCAGAAGAAACTGGCAGGATAGACGGACCTCCGACTTTGAATTTGAGGAAAAGAACCCGGTTGTCCTGGTCATTGGTATTTCACCATCTCTAGACTTGCGAGACGTTTATACTGACTTGACAGGTGCTGGTCAATCTGGACTCTCAGTCGCCGCTCGTCTCAAGATGCTCAATATCGACACATTGGTCATTGACGAGGAGGACCGCATTGGAGACAATTGGCGGCGCAGATATCACCAGCTCGTGCTGCATGACCCCGTGTGGTTCGATCATATGCCGTACTTGCCCTTCCCTCCGAGTTGGCCGGTATTCACGCCGAAGGACAAGCTAGCCGAGTTCTTCGAAGCGTACGCCAAGCTTCTTGAGCTCAATGTGTGGACGCGGACCAAGCTCAGATCACCCTCGTGGAGTGATGAGAAAAAGCAGTGGACGGTTGTTCTTGAAAGACGACGAGACGACGGTTCGGTCGAGAGCCGCACACTTCATCCACAGCACGTCATCCAAGCTACCGGTCATTCCGGAGAAAAGAGTCTACCGCGATTCAAGGGGATGGAATCTTTCAAGGGCGATCGGATCTGCCACAGCTCCGAGTTTGCTGAAGCAAATCCCGCTTCCAAAGGCAAGAAAGCGGTGGTCGTCGGATCAGGTAACTCTGGCCATGACATTGCGCAGGACTTTTACGAAAAGGGATACGACGTCACCATGGTCCAACGAAGCACAACGTGTGTTATTTCATCCGAGTCGATCGTCGAGATCGGGCTCAAGGGTCTCTACGAGGAAGGCGCCCCCCCGACCGAAGACTCGGACCTGTATCTGTGGAGCATTCCGAGCGAGCTGTTCAAGGCGCAGCAGATCAAGTTGACTGCCGCTCAGAATCAACGCGATGCCGCGATCCTCCAAGCATTGGACAAGGCCGGTTTCAAGGTCGACATGGGCGCGGATAACGCTGGTCTCCTCATGAAGTACCTATCGCGGGGCGGCGGGTACTACATCGATGTGGGCGGCAGCCAGCTCATCGCGGACGGCAAGGTCAAGGTCAAACAGGGGCAGGAGATCACCGAGGTCCTCCCTCACGGACTTCAATTCGCGGACGGCACGCAGCTGGAGGCGGACGAGATCGTCTTCGCGACCGGGTACCAGAACATGAAGACGCAAGCGCGGGCCATCTTCGGCGACGAGGTCGCCGATCGCGTCGAGAGCGTCTGGGGATTCAACGAGGAAGGCGAGACGCGCACGATCTGGCGCCAGAGCGGTCATCCAGGATTCTGGTTTATGGGCGGGAACCTTGCGCTCTGCCGGTACTATTCTCGGCTGTTGGCCTTGCAGATCAAAGCCCTCGTGGAAGGCATCACCATCTATGGAGCGAAGTAACGCATTAGACTGGAAAATCGCATCTTTACCAATAGGACCGTCATAATCGTTGATTGGCACTGCTTCTCTAACCTCAACTCAGCCACCCCTCCTGCGCCGCAACCCAAACCCCCATCGTCAGAACCATCGTATAAACAGCCGTCCTGAACTGCCCCTCCCACACGTCAGACTCATCATTAGACGAGTCCAGCCCCAATCCCACACACTCCCGAAGCCCCTCAAGCGGCAGCCGCGCCCAACACCCAACCTCAAACCCCCTTTTCGTAAGCGATGCCACCCGCGCCCCCCGCCGCGTCTTTGGGTCTGCAATCCCCAGCACGAATCTTCCACTGTCACCCCCCGGCGCCGGATCCGTCGACGACGAAGAAAACGACGTACTCCGTTTCCCCTCCCCCTTGCCAGTCCCCCGCCTCATCCACTCTAGCACATACTCCCCATCCCCGTCCCGTCCCTGAAAGCGATACCCACCACCAGTCGTTGCGCTCGCGGTCCACCTGCCGGCCCCGAGCGGGAAATGCACCTCCGCCTGCACCGGCTCCGGCCCCTCTGTTTTCGATGGTTTCTGTACGGGTGCGTGGTAGATCACCCCGACGACGGCTACCGCTTCGTGGCTGGCATCCGAGTCCGAGGCTAAGTCACCAGCTAACGAGGTGTAGGCCTCGCTCTGGGTGATGTACATATCTCCCGCGTGGAGCTTGGGGAGAGTCGCGCACGGCCGGGCAGCGAAGCGCGAGGGCTGCCAGACTTCGAGGACGGGGAGGGGCCGGGTGGATTTCGGGGAGAGGTGTTGGATTTGGAGGAGGAGTTTGGGGGTGAGGCGCAGGCGTTGGGTGGGTTTTGGGGGTGGGTGCGCGAGGGGAAAGACTGATTGTCCTTTCGGGTGTTGGTGTTTGGGGTGGTTCTGGGGCGGGGGGATGCTGTTGTATTGTCAGTGGATTTTATTTCTGGGAGTAAGGTAGTTGTAGGATTGTTGACTTGACTACCTACCTGGTTGTGCTGTCTGTGTCGCTGCCGCTGCGGTCGGGGGAGAGGGAGTCCATATTTGTAGTCCGTAGTCCACTCCAAGGTCGACTGACTGTAAGCGCAGTGATGACGGCGTGAGAGATTAATATCTATATCTATTAGTTGGTTGATGAGTAGGCTGCTGAGCTGCTGAGCTGCTAAGCCTACCTACAGTAAGACCAAGTGCTTACGGCCAATTTATACATGAACCGAGTAACACAGTACAACGCAACACATTCCCTATGTGGAACGAGTCGTATTCGTATCTAAGCTGTTGCTCTAGAGTCTAGACAAGGATCCAATTCCAGACTAACTCACTAGTTACGACTTAAATTCTGCTGCTAGGCTGCTACGAGTACGAGCGGAGCCAAACTTGGCAGTTGAAGGGAGAGATCCGATCCTCTAATCCTTCTGCCTGATTATGCTCAAGGATAATTCGTCTTTGATGAATCAAGCTTAATTATTTTTGGCATCTTTTAGCAAGTTGTCTTGGAGTTCGACGCGAGTCGATGCGAGATTCATCACGGCCCAATCGAAAAAGCGGGTAAACGAGTACGAGCCCACTGCCAAGTCAAACGGGTGATTCGGGAAGATGATGCTAAATTTGGGAAATGGATCAGATTCAGGGCAAATGTATCAGTATCAACTGTTAACATAAGAGATGAAGGTTGATGATTCTCTCAGGTATTGGTTGATTTTGCTTCATGAAGATTATCTAAGAGATCTCACATGAAGATATGTGATGCCAGCCAGGAAAGGAAGAGGCCATGAGCAAATCCTCCAAATGAACTCGATGTTTCTCGCGCTGCTTCTTATTCAATGGAGAGGGACTTTGATCACGGCACAAGAAAGCCCAGAAGCGCAGGACAGCTATCTATAGCTTCCAACGAGGCATAAATACCAAGCTTTCTCTACTAGAGGGCACTCTGGACCATAATACAGCTGTGCATGAGCGTGTACCTATCGTGAAAATGTCCTAAAATGGACCGCTTACCAAAATCGAGGAATCAAGTCTGGCGCAGATTGCTGACTTGGGGATTGACTCTCTTATGATGATGGAGAGTATTGGCGTACTCCGAAGACTCCTCGACATGGAGCTGAGTATCACCGACATTTCAGCCGCAGGGACCTTTGGGGAACCGGTCAGGACATTACAGGAATCCTCTACAAGAGGTACCGTACTGGTGAGTGATAGTTGGTGAGCAGGAGTCGATTTTGAGATACATATTAATATATGGTGGGCCAAGGCCCCTTATGATGTGCGGTTGGACCTTTTTTGCCGCGGCCAGAGGTTGTTTGAAACATCAAAGAGTGGATATAGATGGCTTTTATTTTTCCCCCTTGAAATCCATATAGATATTCCTTATACCACGAATAAACGAAGTATTCCACGCAAATAAGTAATCAGCAAGGCTCACAAGGCACCCCAGCGATCATCCACTTGTCGGAGATGTTCAAACTCGTCGGCCCACTCATCATGCATAGGCTCAATCGTGATGCCACGGTCCTTTGCAACGGCATACAGTCGGTCGCAAGCAGCTCGGGCTTCACGCAGAACCGCTTCTGGCGCCTGGACCTCTTTCTTCCCATCCTTGTCACCCTCGTAATGCAAGTCGAGGACAAATCCCAGCCTCTTCAGCTCGGGGAGATAATCCTTCGAGGCGAAAGACTCAATCCACTTCTCCCACTTCTTCGACTGACACAGGGATGCAGGACCCCGAAAGTAGAGGGCCGACAAATTCGGCGGCAACTTTGTATACAGATTTGGCAGATACTCCTTGTCCTCGAAAATATCGCCCACGCTCAAACGCAGCGTCTGCAAGTTCAGCAGATGCGGGAGAACAGTCACAAACATACTCTCTTTCGCATAGTGGAAATCCAGCCCGTGCGTCGAGCGCAGCGTCAGCGCCTTGAGATTATCAACCACATGAGGCAGCGCCACCGCCATCCGGCAGAACGCATCCAGCGCGTCGTTCTCCACAATCTCCAGCGTGTCCGTGGTGATCTGCGCGGGAGGCAGGTTCGCCGACTCCACCTGCGGGCTGGGCTTGGAGTACTTGTCCGTCATCCACTGCGCCACCAGCTCAGGGATATACGTCACCTCGATTGTTCGCTTCGCCGGTGTCCCCTCATCTAGCGTGATGTATCTCGGCGTTGCCTCGCCGCGATCAATGGCTTCGCGATTCGTGCGCTGCAGTTCTGCGTTCGTGGGACCCTCGAATCGGAGACCAGAGGTAAAGATCAGAGCGAGATGTTTTACGCGGCCTTGGAGTATGAAGGGTGTTTGGATGACCTGGCCCGCGGCGGAGCTGATCTCGAGCCGTTCGAGGGGCCAGTGCAGGGGCATCTCTTTATCGTTGAGGCCCTCGTCATACCCGCTGTCCATTTCCAGGTCGCGGATGTTGGTAAAGTGCTCGCTGAGGATTGACCATTCCTTGTCCGAGGGAGTGCTCTCCTCAATCCGCAGAAAGCTGGTGTCCTGGGGGATGCTCTTGAGCTGTGAGATGAGGTTGGCTTTGTGGCTGTCCTGGTCCTCGCTGCCCGGCCCTTGTACCCGCACTGTGGGTGTGGAGGATCCACTGGGATTTGGACCGTTCTGAGTAGCAGCTACCGTAGCGGTGCGTAGCTGTGTGAAAGCAGGCCATTGTCTAGGCTGACCACTGGGTTTCTTAAATGGTACTCCAATTTGTTGAGTTGTCCTTCTGGAAGGAAGTGACCAAAATCGCCCCTTGAGGCAGGTGGATAGACAAGTACTGCGCTACTCTGGTCAGCTTTAAATACAATTGAGAGGGCCATATAGAACTCACCATGTTGATTTTCTGTAGTGAGCAAGGGATGAATCGATGACGAAGTGTTGCTTCCGGAGTGTCGTCCATATCGCCTTATCGTCTTATCCTTATCGCTTATCTTATCATTTGTTTGCTCTGTTTGTTATCCATGGATGTTTCCTGCCTAAGGCATCAGGTTTATAGCTGAATGGCTGGAGAGGATTTGCTGTTGATGGATTGATATCAGTCAACCAACTTCATTCACTTTACTTAGCTTTAACATGATGATCATATCCTTAGTGAATAACTTCCATCCTAATCCCCAACGCAGAAATGTGATCGAGCCCTACAGATGACGACATTGACTTATGATTGGCAGATGGGCTTTATGACTATTCACTTCTTTGACTATCCTGCTTTAATGAGCTGCTGACATTCACCAGACACAGCTTCTTGTCATTGTTGGTATAAGGATATAAACCTGCCATTGCCCCCAACCTTGCTTCATTATCCAAATCAAAATGTCATCTTCAGCCGAGACAGTTGCTGGGACGCCAGAGTGGCTCTATAATACAACTGCATTTCCCATGGAGATGAATTCATCAAACATGTTTCTGATACTATTCCACATTTAAACCATCCTGAAGAGATTGTGTACAAGCAAGACCACAAATTCTGAAGGGGGCCCCTCCCCTCCCTCTGGGCCCCGGAGCACCGAGCTCACACTTCTGAGGAAGTCTCTCACTTTCGTTTCCTCTCCTCAAGAGCACAATTGTGGAGGACGTTTGCTTTCTTTGCTAGATACTTACAGTGTCGCTTTAAAGAAATCGTATTGATTCCCAGGTTTCTTTCTTCCAAAAACGAAGACATGGAACCAATCGTGGTCTTCATTGCGCGTGCTTCCGCGGCAATGGCATCCCTCTATGGCCAATCCGTCACATCGAGTCGGGAACCGTGTTTATACCGACGGACTTACAGTTCGGTATTGACTTCGAGGTCAAGGACAGGGAAATTCTTCCTCGGCGACTGCCCTCATGTATGGAGACCATTTGTTGAAGCAAGAACCTGTATGAAAGCATCTTGAAAAGAGCTGGACAGCTCTGGAATCGGTAAGCTGGGCCATTCCATTCCTTGTTCCCAGCTAACCTTTCAGGAGGAACTCCAACGCTGTGACGAGCACATTGTGGCTTCGATTGATGACAACTATGCGCCAGTTCCAATGACCTGTCCACTTCGCTCCGACGGACTCCGGAACATTACCCTGACGATCCTCTGGATATGCTTGCAGACAAATTGCAGTTCTGAGGACTTACCCTTACCGTGACATGGACTTCCAAGAAGCGATGACGCAGGTCACCTCACGCAGCAGATCCAATCAGCTTTGTGGCGGGATGAACGGTCTATCAAATAAGGATCAGCGACAAGATCTTTCGTTGATACCTTCCAAATAGAAATCTCGATCATGGGCTGTACAAGAAATGCCATTAGCAATTCTATATAATGCAGAGAAGAGCTGCCCTCCCGCCATGGCAACTCTCAGCGCGACGACGGAATTACCCCCACCGCGCCTGCTCTGGCCCCTGCCCCCGCTTCTAAGAGTTAGTATATCGATTCAACCTTCATGAGAAGTATCTAGTGGTGATGCTAATATAGATATAGAGCGGCGAAGATGCGGGGAGTGTGGAAACTTCCACAAAGGGGATTGCTGGAGCCTGGCCCCTATGTGACTCCTGCGGGCGTCGCCATCTTAGCGACTGCCCCCCCAGCCCGCCCGTTCTGGTTTCTCAACACTAAAGAAAGTTGCATGATGATTTCATAAGGAATATCCTCGGTGTCTCTGTGCCTCGTCCGATCATGACGCGTAGGCCGACTTAACTACCGTTTTTACTATTCATCACTCCTAACTATAAATGCCAGACGGCCGGCGACATGACTGTACAGCTGGACTATGGCATCCTGATTGGAATGCTCTGAAAGTTTGACTACAGGCATATAGGGATCGACAAACAGTACGATAACATGTATACCGGCAACGACGAAGGTCTTGGAATAGTCAGGGAACACGCAAGAATACCTGCACTAGAGACCAAGCTCAAAGGGTTGGAGAGACAGCTCAACGACAAGCACAAGGAGACAAGGGACTGTTCAGCGAACTCCATAACGCATTCAATCAGCTAGCGTAATAGACAGACATGAGGTTCTCTCTTTGTTATGCTGATATCAGGAGCAGGTTTCTCTCTACATTCCAGAGAGATTTCATGGGCGATGAGTCAAGGGAAAATCAAAAGGTCATCAACCAGGGAAACATCGCCGCATATGTGCTTTGAAAGCCACGGACTACGCTGGTGATTACCTGAATTTCTAATCAGATCAGGTTGCAGAGCTTCTGTTCGCATACCAAGAGTTCTGGAAGGCTAGATGACCGGCAGTGGAACACATTTAAGGGTGTTCCCTACCTCCCCGAGTTCTACGAGTTAGAATCCAATTCGTACGGAGAGTACAACTGCCCCGGATTCCCTCTACTACCACATCCGAACCTGCCTCTCCTTTGTCAGACGACGCGCATGGCCGGTCAGAGCCCCCTACTGAGGAGGAGAAAGGGAAATCAGTTTGCAACATGTGTTATCACGTATAGGCGGCTTTAATTAAAAGCCTGCCTTGCGGCGCTCCCTGACGAACTCCGAAAAGGGCCGCAGGACCACCGAGGGCCATATAAATGGCATTTGGAATGCCAGTTTGAACTGGGTGTTTGACCCTATGAATGGGTACATAACGCGCCCCCAGGAGATGCATACAGCCTACAGGGGACAAGAAGGGTTTTCAGACTTCCACACCTTCCAGTATATCGCCGCCACCAAGTACCTGCGGTGGCCGGGGTCCATCTAGTATTGTTTACTATTGCTTGAAGTAATTGCTTATGGGAATCTAAGATCATGATGGAGACCCCTGAGAAGAGTTTCCCCGCTCAGGACACTGGGCCTAAAGCCAGTGAAGCGCTCGCTCTGAATGAGGCAAGTATTCTCTAAGTTGGGCTAGAGTGGATTCTAACTGTCTATAGCAAGAGTGGAGCACAGCGATGACCACCTCCATGAATATGCGTTAATCATGGATGCAATCGGCTGGTGTCTCAATGTGATGATCAGAACGAAGATTAACAACGTCATGGACCACCTACATGAATATGCATTGATCATGGATGCGAGTGGCTGGTCTCCCGATCTTGACGATCAAAATGAAGACCTCTCTGTGTTGCAGTCATAAAACAAGGAAATTGAACCTCGACCGGGTTTATCAAAGCTATACCCAAGAGCGCACACGTTACCCCGCCACAAAGGGTAATGAGCAGCTCATAAAGACGCTCAGGAAGCGGTCCATACTTACTTGACCGGTCAATTTCTCACCAAGAGTTAAGAGAGACTTCACTCAAGGATCTCCTATGCGGTATGACGACGTTGAACCGCAATTCACTGGATACCACTGTCAATATGGCTCGGACATTTCGCTGGCCTTGGTTCTTCCTCCATACGCTCGCAATTCTAGCAACACACCATACGTTTCTACAATAGAGTCCAAGTACTAACTTTCCAACATTGAAACTCGCTTTCCTAGAAACGATATGCCTGAATCCAAGCCATCCCCCCAACCCCAGCTCAGCTGGCTTGGGACATTGTGATACTCGAGCAAATTCATTAAAGGCCATCGCCGACACGGGAAAGTGGGAGAGAGTCGAAACTTCCGCGCTCACAGACACCATCCCTCCCGTACGAGACACCAACTTCACAGCGGTCTACCGCCGACTGAGCTTACGGACTGTATCTTGCTGGCTTGATGTTTCCTTTCCCTCGTTTTGCATGTCTTCCGTTTTATCGTTAAATTCTCTCGTTCGGACCCCAACTCGAAAATTATCTACTCGGAGATAACTGTTGCAGGAGGCAATCTAAACGATGCAAACAGTGCTGACTTATCGCGACTGCCTTCACCTTATGATTTATGACTTATGACTCCTCTCTTCTGTTTTTCCTTTTTTCGTATCTACAGTACCGTAACAATATCATCAAGGATACGATCAGGTTCCTGATGCAGAATATACTGCATTCTACTTCGCAAAGGCAGCAGTCCCAGACAGCAGCAGACGAAGACTCCCGGAAAAATCTCTACTATCCGGCCGGGAATAAGGTCTACTACAGCCTCCCAGGCTTTGAGAGTAGAGAGCCATATCAACGCCCGTATATATGACATGATTTTCAACGAGGCAGATTGCAATGGCGTCGAGCGCAGATAGACATCGACACTGCTAGTACACTGTTACACATTGTATTCGATCCACAACCTGGTCCTTTCGGTGATTCTAATCCTGGACCAGGTCAGAGATGGAGGGACCCGTACGACATACTGCACGGATGGAGGCTCCTAGCCTTCTTTTGGAAACAGGTCACAGGGGGAAAGAAGGCCAAAGGGAAGCCTCAGAAAAACGCAGCTATTCCGCCCGTCTTCCACATCCCCGTCTGTGATAATTCGGGCTCTTGACGTTGCACCGATGCTAACAGGCCCTCTGATGAACATAAGCTTGGCTAAGGGTATGATTGATACCCTGAGCTTGACCAACATCTGTGTTTCATCTATTGGACATATGGTCTTCTTTCACTTCTTCAACACGCCTGGATATCGTTCGAAATGGGGCCTAGGACTTACTTTCTTCTAGGCCTCAGCGTGCCTGGCCTGTTACATTCGGGTTTCAATGCCACGCCTAGCCTTCAGGCATTGTGAGAGGGAGTTGACGTATTATGAAGACCCAGAAGCCTCCTTTCAGAGCGAATGTTATCAAGCTGCTCACAAGAATCACGGATGATCAGGAAAAGCCTCGAATTTGCTCTCAGACAGCAACAGGGAGAAAATACGGAAGCTGAAGCCTCCCGCCCTATCCGATAACTTACTAGTCTCTAGTAGCTAAATCTGCTAGACTTTATATCGCTAGATCACTTCTATTTCTACCTAAGATGTACCCGTGTGCTTATTGTTTGGATCCACACTCGGACTCCGAAGCCCGCAAAAGCCGACAGTTGCTGAATCCGAAAGTACCCTAGATAAAGAATGGCATGATCTTACTATTGCAGGAGCCTTGTATCATCAACTGAGTTAGTGGTTCCAAATGCCCCGGTCCCATGACCTATCCAAAGTCAAATCCGTATGTGTCGTCATAACCCGGTCTTACTTATAAGACCGCTCCATCAACCCACTTGCCACAAATTCCATTATATCTCTATACTGAAAACCTACAACTGTAACTATCACAATGAGCGAATTTCCAACCGCATTCCGCGCAGGTCAAGTCCTAGGCTTGACAGGCGCCGCCTGGCTCTCAGGTCCTTCCCCCACCCCCTCAACAAACAAGTAGCCGAAGACTGACAGAAACAGGCAACATGTTCTCCTTGAGCCTAATCACCATCCCCGCCCTCCTCCGATCCCTGCACGAAAAACAAATCACCCCGTCCACCGCCGCCAAAGTCTGGGCCAACATCTACAATGCCGGCAAGATGCAGAACCCGCCCCTTGCAGCCGCCACCGCCGCAGTCTTCTTCTACCTGGCCTGGTCTGTCCGCGATGGAACGGCATTGTCGCTGGTAGCGGGGCAGAATAGTAGTATGTTGTATGCTGTTTCGGGGCTGTTGACCGGGGGGGTCATTCCGTTTACGCTTGCGTGTATTATGGGGACGAATCGGGCGCTGGAGGCGATGGTGGGATCCAAGGATGAGATTGAGGCATCCAGGACGGAAGTTGGGTCGCTTTTGGAGAGGTGGGGGGTGCTGAATGCTGTGAGGGGAGGGTTGCCTCTGGTTGGGGCGGTGGTCGCGGCGCTGGCTGCGATTCCTTGATTTCAGTCTGCTTGTATCCTATAAGGGAGGGGAGGTTCCGATTATGCTAAGTATAGGGTTTTGTCAAATGGCGCCCGGGGCGTTGTCCTGTTGTTGATTCCAAGTGATGATATCTTCTCTTTCCGCACTAGGCAATTTTTTGTGAATGTATATGAAAGAAACATGTCCCTCGATGCAACATGTTGGAACGGGGATTCCCAGTCTCACCAATGCCACGATTTTCATCCTCGGACTCTGTAGATACAGTAATAAAATAGGGCTAGTGCTTACTATAGGTACCTGACCTTAGGCTGGCAAATCCCCCATCTCACTTTTCGGACGGTCTAATGCGGGGACTGGCCGAGATCCTGTATTGAAAACCCCCGCTAAGACCTATAGCTCGTTTATTATCGGTTCCACTCCGAGTGTAGCATTGAGGTTCCGGCCTGCTGCCTAGCTATTGACCTGCTAGTGCTAGTACAAGCCCCACCCTCAGTGCTTCCGCCCACTCATGCATGTTGGTTACAGGCAGAAGTGCATGAGTACATGCTAGTACATAGTAACTTAGGTAGCTACTGATGGTCGTACAGTCAGTACCAGGCTGAATTTTACTGACAATGCATTATATTAATATTGGCGTCCCCCCAACCCCAAACCACAACTTCGACTGCCATACTCGCCTTTGCCGCTACTTTCACACTGTTTGCGCTGTCTTCCATGCTTGCTGCTACCTATCCACATTGAAGTGATTCCCATTTTACGTCTACACGTTCACTCTCCCGCCCTACACGCACGGCAACAGACCGCCCAGAGATAAATAGAGCCCCCAGAGACAATGGCAGCGCCACCGCCCTCGTACACCAAGGTCACTCACTCTGCCACATATGCCAGCATCGATCCAACTCAGCCCGGCCTCTCCACTGCGGGCAAGGTTGTGCTGATCACTGGCGCATCCGGGGGCATCGGCCGGGCCACAGCCTCATCCTTTGCCGCGTCGGGTCCACGAGCCCTTATCCTTCTCGGTCGACGCGCCGACACCCTGGCGGAAACCGCCACGATTGTCCGCGCCAGCCACGCAGAGGTGCCGATCCAAACTCACACGGCCGAGCTGTGCGAGGCGTCGGGCGTACGCAATGCCATGAACAAAGTGGCTGCCGAGTTTGGCGGCATCGACATCCTCGTCCACTGTGCCGGCGTCCTGGCCCCCGTTGTTCCCCTTCTGGAAGCCAATCCAGCTACGTTTCTGGACGGTTACAAGACTACCGTTGTCGGTACGCTGGTGACGGCACAGGCTGTCGTCCTGGCAAACAAGACAGTCGCAGCCAACGAGGACAAGCCGGTCACCTTTGTCAATCTAACCACGGCCGGCATCCTGTTTCCCCCTTTCGCCGGCATGGGCGCCTACGTGAGCAGCAAGATGGCCGCCGTCAAGCTCTTGGAGGCCTTTGCCGCCGAGAACCCGCAAGTCCGTCTTCACAATGTGCATCCCGGACTCCTCAAAACGGCCATGTCTGCCAAGCTGGCTGAGACGATCAAATTGCCGTATGCCTATGATGACAGTAAGTATAACTGGTCCTGTCTCTGTATCCAAGCAGCTAACGACCGTTCTTTCTTTTTTTGCAGTCTCTCTTCCCGCCGATTTCCTTGTCTGGATCGCCTCCCCCCAAGCAGAGTTTCTCAAAAATAAGATCGTCTTCGCCTCTTGGGACGTTGATGAGCTCAAGGGTCGCAAGAAGGAGATTGTCGGTGGCCCGCCGGGAACTGGTGAGCTCTGGCTCGGCTACCAAGGATTCCCGCGATTTATGGGTGGCCAGCCTTTGCCAGGCACCCAGTAGGGACCGGTACCCTGTATGGGAAGTTGGCATTCCAGGCTGAAGGGACGGTGCAACGCGCGCGCTGATTAAAAAGTACATGAACAATTCACACAGTGGTGCTAGAGCGGAGATGCCAATGAAAGGAATGCTAGAATTATGTTGCTCAGTTAAACATAGCTTTTAGATAATAAGAAAAGAAGACGAATAAAGAGTACCTAGTCATCATCAATTTCCAACTCAAAGGAGCACTTTCAAGGCCGTTATACATTGTCGGCAACTAAGCTTCAGACTTAGCCTCTGGGTGGAGGTACCCAGACCCTTCGCCTCTTTCGAATATACTTGATGCCTCGGGTATCGCCGTCGTCGGTCTCATCGATTTCAAACGTATCTGATAATGGACAGACAGTCAAGAGCCGAGTTTGTCCGGATTCTTCCGCGGCTTTTTGGACAAAGTGCTTATAAGTAGCCTCATAGTCATCTCTAGCCTTCTCAGGCTCGTCGGATATCGACCAGTAGAGCCACCACTCCTCCAATGTAACGGTGCTAGCTGGCATCTGAAGTAATCTGAGCATGATCTTGAGATCCCGCAGATACAAGTTGTCCAGATGTAGGATGATTTTCAGCTGCTTGTGGCTCTCAACGCCTCGCAGAATGGTGTCAATCAGAGCATGGATGGCAGCATCCCTGTCCCTATGAAAAGGACCAGTCCGGTGAGCCCATCCAGCGGCGTGAAGGAAACCGACAGCGGGGACTGCAAGTGAAATCGTCGTCAAAAGACGCAACGTGTCATTCCGTACCAGAGCCCACAATCCGCTGTCCAGTTTTCGGAATAGGGCATGGGAGTAGGGCTGTTCCGCATCGATGATTATCACAATGTCTTGGGCCAGTCCCAGCAGCTGAGGATAGGTATCGAGGGTGTGAATGATTCGGGGCACCGAGGCCGCGACGTCGCTGAACGGGCCATATGTTGGAATCTGGACATGGACGCATGCGGTCGCATTTTGGAAGATGATAGACAGCACTTCCTGGCGCACCTGCTTGTTCACCAAGCTCAGGCTAAGTGGGGTGAGGAACTGGCATCGAAGACCCGCGCCGCTGATGGTGAAGTCGTACTGGTCTGTCTCCAATCTCGACCGCCCAACCACGGCGGCTACTGGGTGATCTGTGTTTAAGGCGATGGATATCGATTGTAGATTGGATTATCATTCTGCGTAACTCAAAGGGCAAGTCGAGGAAACAGAAAGTAGTGTTCTTGACAGTGGAGTCCCCTGCAGCGTCCCCTGCAGCCAAGTCAGCGGGCATGATGCTTGATAACAGTTTGCTTGGCCAGTTGCTTGGAATTGCCTGTATCGCCGATCAATAATATAGATCCCAAGTGGGACTTGTCATGTCGAGTGTAACGTGTCCTTTTTCTTCAATAGGCCGCTAGGGTCGCCCGCGGGTGAGTCCGAGGCCTACCCACAGGGCCACAACTACGTCGTTGTTCTAGCCATCCTTCCACAATTGCCTCCATGCACTAAAAATATGAGAGGAGGATTACTGCCAGGGCCTTTCAGAGCACAACAGCTTTCTAGGCTAACTCATAAGGTAGACATCCAGAGGTATTGATACAAATACAAGGAGGGGGAAGAAAACCAACAGAAACGGAGAAAATAAACTGTGTTTATTGGACGCGGAAGGGTAAAGTCTAACCTGCAGTAGCTTTGCGGAGTGAACCGTGGTACTGGGACCATCAGACCAATCGGAAGCAGCTTTCTATGCCGCAAGCTCTTTTCGGTCTTGGATCCACAGAAAAGTTGACACTTCCTCGTTTAGTGCTTATTCTTGCTTGTTTGTCCTTGGCCAGACCCTAGAGTACCTCTATCGCTGTCACAACACCAGCTGCGGCGCAGTAAATCGATTGGCTGACAACATTCCATTCTCTGACAGTGACACGCTGTAAGTTCCCCCCAAAATATTACTGCGTACCAGCCAGCCAACAGCAAGAGCAAGGGAGATTGTCAAATTTTCGTATCCCTTAGGCTGTCACCAAGACTGATCAAATTGTGGGTCTTCCATGTACCTAAGCTAAATGGTCAAATCACTAATACTGTAGACAAAATGCACAGATTTTTGCTATAAGCATTATGAGGGTGGTTCAATGGTTGACGACGAATTCCCTAAGAACCAAGTCTCCATATCCTGACCCCTTGAGGCTGCTTCCACACGGCTGCTAGTAGATTGCTGTCTGGCGCGAAAATGATATCGCGGCCAGAACCCCCATAACCCTGAAACTCAGCACACTCCTTTGAGAGGGAAACGTTCCAGAGTTTGAGTTTCCCATCGCCTCTGGATCCGGAAGCCACCCACTTGCCGTTTGGCGAGATTGTGACACAACCGACCTTGTCTTGATGGTCCCACACTTTCCTCACGCTCTCCTTGGCCAAGTCCCAAAGCCTAACAGTATGATCCCAAGAGCCAGATACAATCGAATCCCCTTCTGGCGAGAACTCAGCACTGGTAACTTGGGCCGAATGACCATTGAGGGTCTTCACAGGTACCAATCTGGCAGCGTCCCAGATCCTGATTGTGTTGCCTGAAGCCGCAGCAACGAGACTATTATCTCGTGAAAATGCGAGAGCTTGATCATCTGAGAAATTTCCTAGAAAGTCGGGAAAGTCTGGGGGAGATGAGGCTAGCCTCCAGAGATTATTGCCGATTATGAGCAGTTTACCATCTGGCGAGATCGTCACTCCGTAATACGCCATGGCAGTAGAGTGACCACCACCGGGCTCATCGCTCTGCCATTTCCACCACCAAATGCCGGACCCACCAGCGCCGTTCGTACATGAAACCCAGACTTTCTCGGTGTCCCGTGTGAAAGCTATCCCATTCAAGGGCCAACTGGGAAGCACCGGGCGCGAGATTCTCTTGCGCTCAGTACCCTCTTGCACATCCCAGATCCTAGCGTATATGGGAGGCTGCTCCGCAGTGGCAAGGAGCTTGCCATCTGGCGAGATCGCAACGGCAGCCACCGGCAATTGGCGGTCTGTGGCAACAGCTTTAAACTCGGTCCAGTCGATATTCTCCCCATCATTATCACTGAAAGGGTCCTGAGGAGGTTGTTGATAATCTGACTTTATCTTCGCTTCTAGATTATATTTCCGGGTCAGCTTTCGACCAGGGAAACAGCCATGAAAGTCGCACCTTGTTCGGCGTCCCCGCCGTGCGATACCGGAATCCCAATTGGTCGCTGGATATCAGAAGCCATCTGCTTGCTAAGCGACGTCTCATTCGCTGGAATTGGCATTAGGTCGATAGCTCTAAGACCGATCTGATAAAAAAGGGAGATTGGGCTGTCGGCAATCGTGCTTGCTCCCGTATTTCGGCATGATGCTATTCCTGAGTTTGTCCTGTATGCCGCATCCAGCACAGATGGACCGTGCCAGTTCGGAAACCTGTATGATATCTGTGAAATAAAATTTTTGTTGGCCGAACTCACAGTGAGTATTCGAATCTGAAGTTCGCCTTTGCTATCTCTCCAACACACAGCAGAGATAGGTGCATTCTGTATGAGAGTGTGATTCTTTCGGATTATGGTAGCTACCCAATGCATTGATGTTAGCCTCCATATCGTACGTTAAGCAGTTAATCAAACGGGCAATCTTACAGTTATGCCATCTATAATCCTCGTCGCAATATACCTCGCGAAGCCTGTAATCGTTGTCTTGATAATATAGGCGCACCGCCTGTCGTGCTTTGTCGGACACTGCAGATAGCCGGGTGCCTGTGACAGCGCCCGAAATTATCGGATTGTCTTGAACCGACCAGTTCTGCTCGCTGGAGTCATATCTTATCTCGCGCAGGGTGGCATCTTTGCCCTGGTAAAACAACCTTAGCAACTCGTCATCCTTGTCAGGACGAGCTATTGCAAGCTGAGAACCAGGCCCGATCTCCGTATCTGCCACATTGCCAATAGCCTGTGAAGTCCATGGGCTTGTTAGATGGTTATTACCCTGGCACTTTTTTGTTTGTCAGTATGATTTTACCTGGTTCATTCAGATGGTACCCAAACCTTACCTCGCAGATATTGTATGCATGGTCCAGATAGTAGACTCGCATCTGAGCTGGTCAGACCAAGTGCGATGCTCACGGGGATAGAAAACGACTCGCCAGTGTCGTTCCTGCGTTTACAGTCCACCGTGTGACGGTGATAGGGGAGCTACGTTTGGCGTTCTTTGCAACAATTCCGTTCCCGTTAACAAACCAGCCAAAGTCCTGGGCGAAGCAGGACTCGCGGATGATATTGTCGTCGTCAAATTGGTAGTACACACGAAGGTTTCTCTTCCCAGCAACGAAGAATTCGACGGCATCTAGTGTTGCGAGGGTAGCCATTGTTCACAGTGGGTTGGGTCTAATGAAACGAGTTAGCAATATACCCTCCTATTACTTCAGATTTCCGTTGAAGCGAATGAAATACTCGATCTTGCAACGGAACAAGGCCTAAATGCAAGTATAATAATGTTTTGTCCGCGAATGTTCCACGGCTGAGTGCCTCTGCACTGGCTTTCATACTTCCCAAATATCGGGGTGTTCCAGTCTCCTATTAGTTCGTTCGAGGTAAGCGATGGTTGACAACTGGCAAGCGGGGTTGTTTGCCTACGTGTCATTTCTTGGACGTATCAACAAGAGCGTCGGTTATGGCCGGTGTCTCCGGATGTGGCAGACGTGCATATTTACGAGGACGCCTAAACTTACTGAAACATCGACTGGGTGGGTGCTGATCCAATGAGCAGCCATATAGCTATCATAATACCAGTGACCAGGCTTCCTTTACTCTTCACTGCTGTTCCACTAACTATAAGTGATAGAAGTAATAGAGAGATTAATAGCTTACTAAGCTATATAATTAAGGACTATATAGGACTGACTGTAGAGAGACTACTAAGGACTAGAAAGGGCTAGAAAAAGGACTATAAAAAGATACCACTATTAAAAATCTACTGTCCACGCCTAGTAAAGATAAGAATACTCTTCTTATTATAGAATTTATAGTATAAGAGAGTGATCTCTAAATCTTAGAAGTAAAGAAAGAATCTTAGTGATCTATATTAATTTTTAACATGAAATAGTGATATTAAGAAGTTTAATAAAATTGACTTAGTGAAAAAAAGTATTAACGTGCCTAACCCACATGGACATGGTTACCTGACTAGATAGTATAGATATCCATGGTATCCACAGTTGAACCCCTATGGATATAAGGGGTGGGTGAGATACCTGGTGGTTTACCCAAAATCCACGTGGGTTGGATCAGACATGCTGTGGATCAACCCATATCCAACCCACAGCCAGTCTAGACATGGATAATCTACCCCATGTGACGACGCCTCGGGCGATTCGTGCCCATAACCATTGAACTTAGACATTCTTGGCACAACTTTTCCTGAAGAGCCAGCTCGAAGACGCTGTTGGCATGACCCTTTAGGAGTAAGCAGCTTTGGAATCAGCCAAGTTCTTGTCAGTTTTTGTCGAGCAAATCTGTGCATCCATAACTCTGGTGGGGAGGATAGGCGGGGTTAAAGTCAAGCAATCAAAACATGAGCAGAGCAAGCAGTTTGACGCCGATGAAAGACGAGTCGGCTGAATATCCAATGGCAGCGATTGATACGAAAGTCAGTGACACTTTACAGAAGTCTCATCGGCACGGGGATGAATCAGAGGCTTCCAGGCCGAGCCTAAATGGCTTTTGCTCACCCCACTGAGCAACAACTGAGCCGAAATGACATCGGTGTCAATAATCCGAATTTGAGAAGTCAAACTTCGTGTTTCATGTACTCTCAAAACCAACAATGGCCTCTTTTATTCTCATAGATGCTAGGCGAATTCGGAACTTTCCTAATACGGTCAGCCCGAGAGGCTCCGGTGGCGACTTGGCCCCCTTGTCGCGCGGCGAGTGTCTGGGTATGTATGGAAGAGGCAATGCAGCGAGTGGAAGATTCTTTCACTCGGGGGAAATTGGGATGGAAAAGATACAGGTGATGATCCCCACCAGGCTTCTGTACTTAGTACTGTACTTGGCTAGATAGTACCTCAACATGCAAGGCACCATAGCCTGAGCATACTAGTCTACTCTCTGCTAATCATCGTTCAGCACCGGACTAGTAGGTAAGCTAGATACTGTATCACCGATAGGCTGCCGTATCAGCCACCCCTGACACTCGTAGGCATCCATCCACAACTGTTCCCACCCCATTGTATCCAACTATGAAAGGACGCTGACCCAGGGTTCTGCCAAGAACCCTGAAAGAAGAGGGTATGCAATAGGTCGCTTTTTAAAATCTCACCAGGCTAGCCAGATGACTCCTTTTCTAGATTAAGATCTAATTCTTGACCCAGAAGCTGTATCTCGGAGGGATTAATGGCTTACTAAGGTCTATACGATCGAGGACCGTATAGGACTGTAGAGAGGACTAGAAAATGGACCGCGAAAAGACGCCACTGTCGAAAATCCACTGTCCACGCCCAGTAAAGACAAGAATACTCTTCTCATCGTAGAATTTGTAGTGTAAGAGAGTGATTTCTACATTTAGAAGTGAAGAAAGAATATTAGCTATCTATGTCAATTTTTAATACGAAAAAGTGATATTGAGAAGTTTAACAAAATTGACTTGGTGAAAAAAAGTATAATGGTAAACATCACTACAAATTTATTTTATATATTTTTGGGAGTGATAATCTGAACTCTGGCAAGTTGATATAGTTTTTAATAACTATAGTGGACAGGTTCCAGCTAACATGGAAAAAGACCCGAGCCCGGCGGTCCCCGTCCCTGACCTAAACGTTTGGACCAAAGACCGGACCCTGCCGAGGCCTAGTTGATATTGATCCTTCTTTCTCATTTACAAGGGAGCTAGTGCTAGCCATTTATTGTGCCAACTATTTATTGTCAGCTTTGACTTTTAGTTTTTATATTATACACACATCCATGCCAAGATGATGCTTGGTGGAGCCTAAGTCTTTCTACCAAACTCTGTTTTGGGGTCAATGAATTAGGCATTATCCTAGAGCTCAAGCATTCTATAGCTGATCTTACAATCTCATAATGCTTACAGGATCATACACCTGGATTAGGCGGTCAGTACTGGAAGCCTTAAGGGGGAGATTCATAACTAAAGACTCTTCTGCAAATGGATTCTGTGGATATGCAATTACCGCATTCAACATCAAGGTCAGGGAGGCACTAGTGAGCCGCGCGATGCGGCCTTCCTCGTTTCTTATATATAAAATGAGTCTTGGAAGCGTTTGACTTACACCAGTTACAGCCGTTCGTAATCAGTCTGATGTTACTTTCAGAAAGGGACAGCAAAATGTTGTCAAACAGAGGACGAGTGAGAAATTTGGTATCAAGCCGATTATTGATCCGGTGAAGTAAATGGCCTTGGCTTAAGTCACAGAGGGGGAAATTCCATTTGCTATTCAGGCCCTCCTATAGTCCGTCTGCACATGGACAGTCTTCATGATCCCTAGAGGAATGCTGTCCTTATCTGGAGCTAACAGAGCTGCTGCACTGACATGTGCCTCACTCTTGGCATCCATAGGGTAATAGTTGTCCTGCCTTCCACCATCTTCGCTGGGGAGAGGCCGTCCCTTTGACCCCGACATATTCTGGCTAGGCCATCTGGAACCTGATCTGGGCAAAGATGGCCCAGACTGGGACCTTCCCTGGCCCCGAATGAATTTCACAAAGCCTGGCAACATTGGAATGGCGCCGGAGAGAATGACAGTACAGATCTCGCCAATTCTGAGGTGATGGTTCTATGGTTAGCGAACATTTATTTGTATACGTAAAGGAATAACTGATGCCACTCACGCCCATAACCCAATAGGGGCAATTCCCCAGGTGAAATCTTCGGTTCGTGTCAGGTAGACTCCATACACTAGTCGGCACGTGCTCGATACGCAGGCTCTGGTCATTTGTCAGCTCAGTCAATACTAAACCGAACAAGACGTGCGGATCATACAAGATGCCTGTCCCAAATACGACGCTCAGAATCACTTTACTCCTGGGAGGAAGCTGAAGCCGCATAATAACCACCAAAGGGAGCAACAACATGGTTAAATCTGAAAGCACATTCAGAGTTGAGGAAGCAATGAGGATGCCAGTGGATGAGACGCATTGTCCCGGCAGCTTAGGGTTCCAGAGCTTCTCGCGGGGGACGCAGGCAAAAGCAAAGCTCACCATCAGGGCAAGATAGCATGGGACGTTTGTCCACAGAAGGATCTCATGCAACCAGTACAGCTTCCCCCTTTTGTTGACCACAAACAGCCGCCTCATTTGCAAAAGCATCGCAACCTTGGCACCTAGGATGACCGGGCAGTATATGATTTCAATGATATTCGCCAGCTGCAAGTCAAGCGATCAACGGTCAGTGTGAAGCTTGTAAGAAATGTAAAGAACATAAAGCACTTTGATGCTCACAGACCTCAATGACCTTCTGTAGATGGGCTACGGATACGTTCCACTGGTGGACTCCCTGTCCCAGGTGAACTGCATGTATCATCAACCCTGTGAAGACGTAGAATCCGATTTGAGACAGTATCAGAATGTATTCCTCCAGTTGCATGAGTCGCATCACTCGGGCTTTTATGAAGACCCGCAGGAGAACAGCGGCTGTTGACAGACCCAGACCCAGGCCAGCCGTGGTGTACATGTAGTGTCGGAGAGAGTAAGGGTCCTCGAGATTGCTGACCTGTCCCGGAGGGGGCTGGAGGGCCGGGACAGTATTCAAATCGATGTTCGCCTCTTCAGCCATGCTTTGCCGTTAGAGCTCCCTTGATACTGCAGGTAGTATTGTTCCAAGTACATTTACTGTAGGAGGAGTGTGACAACGATTTCTTGAGAAGACACTAGTCAAGATAGAATTGGGCAATTGGTCATTTTGTACTCCATTGGATCATGTTTCCCCTTAAAGGTTGGATCCTCAACAACTCGAGTGGCGTATGGTAAACCACGGTTGAGCTCGAATCCGGGGACAGTCAGAGATCCGAGCCAGCACTAATGAAACTAAGTAGTGGATCCCCAATAACGGAACGTGCTAAATCGCCATTGCATTTGTTCATATAAGAATCACCATAGAAGCATTTTCCTTTCCTTTTTCCTTATCCAAAGCAAGCTCTATGTGGACTGTATCTCTGTCCAGAGTATTTCTTGGGAGACAAGCATTCACCCAAGCAGGAAGCCAAAAATTATGGTGCCAAAGTAGGAAGTTTTCACAATGATCGGCATGCAGCGGGGGCAGCAGAACAAGGCGTAGGTTGAATACGAGGTGTTTCAATGTTAACCAAGTACTTCAGTGGCCGGAAGGAACCGACAGACTCTAGCTCTCCCCACACAAAGTTTAAGGTAGGGAATGAGTTGCTTTGCATGTGCTGGATTCAACCAAGCTTGTCAATTATTTAATACAAATTACTAAATTTTTTAAAGTTTGGTTTAATGCACATCACACTGGGTCCAAGGCTACTCCAGACCAGCCCCTTACTCTTGCGTCTCAAGTTGCCATAATGGAAGCCCACTAGCTCATCTGCATCCTTGGCTGTAGAAGGAAGGCTCAGAACGAAGCTATAAAATTCTTGTATTTCATATTCGTCTCCAGATGTATGGGCCTTCATAATACCTTGTGTTAGGTCGCATACCTACTGAACGATCATCGTATGATCTCCTTCCTCATCTTGCTTAGTGTTCTTCATTCATTCAACTTTAGTTTAATCGTTGGCCATCAGTCTCATCGGTGCTACAACACTAAGGATAAGACTGGAGATTTGCCTCATCGGCCCAAGCACCATACGGGCTATTTTTGACTGAGAATCCTCGAGCAATTACGCTATTATACCTCAAGGAAAGAACCCTGTCATATCATTACTGGAGATTACCGCCAAAACCTCCCCCCGGTCAAAGGGCGGGCGAGGAAAGCCAAAGGTACATGTGCCCCTGTCCGCCAGCAATGAGCCCCGGCCTGGCAGTATCTGCGCTCCCTCAGCCTTGAGCAGCCATCTCTTCGCGGTGCTGAGGACCAGTATCTGCCAGTTTGCACCCATTCCCTGACAGGGAAGTTAAGGTCTGCTCGCCTCCAATCGTCATTTACTCATGTAATGGACAACAAGATAGATAGACCTAGGATATCGGAACCTGCCATTGTCATCAGCTGCCATGCACAGTAAATGCATTCAGAATGAATGCTGCCTTGCTTACTAGTGTGTACTGTACATAATCAACTATCCAAGCTAATAGTTAGAGTGCCTTATCTTTAAGGCAAGCAGGAATGTACCTCTATTAGCAGCCCTAACTTAGTAGATCCATCAACCATCCATTGTTTATCATCAAAAACCCCAATACACAAAGCAGTAAGCATCAACTCATTGAACTTAACAATACTGTAGTAACTCTGCGCAGTAAGCAGAGGAAGGAGGGGACTTAGATAAGTACTCAATGGTTAGCAGGTTAATGGGTCACTACTTATCTCATTCACAGTAAGTCCTAAAAAGACCTTGTAGTGCAATGTACCCAGAGACTGCCGGCCCTATGTGGAATGATCATTAGGCCGGCAATTTACGTACAGAAAAGTAATAAAGGCCTGTGCGGAGATTACGCACCCCACCCCCGGAACACTCAGCCAGCCTATGTCCTTCAAAAGAAACGAGAAAAGAGACGCTGCAGCGTGGACGAGCCCGGAGGAGGAATAACAACCTGCAACACCAGAGCGGCAGCAGGTTTAAAGCAAGCTTTACACTCGCAATTGCATCGCGCAATTCACGGGGGCGGGTGCGGGGCGGAGCCCGCAAGACAGCACCAACCTGGTTGCTCTTCGGACTCCGGTACCTGTACAAACTGTCAGCGGAATCCGCAAAAGGAAAATCGTATTCAACACAACTCTGGGTACAATCCGACGTACCTTCCGGCAAGCACTTTGCCCTCAGACCACGAGACACAGGCCCGCTGTTCTCGTCCATTGGCGGCAAAGCGACGATGGCACTGATACCGAGGGTCCCTCGGCTTCTTCGAAGGGGATTGTGGCATGGAATGCTGCGATCCAGGATTAGCACATGATTCTCTGCCTGGTATGACATGATCAATGAGTCAAAAGGACCGTCGCCGCTCTTGTGGGCTCTTCAGTAACCGTACCGTCGGACTCGGAAGTCGTTTGTTGAACGGACGCTGCATCTGCGGGTGCTATTTGCTGGCCGTGACCATGGCACGTGCCGGTTCTCCCTTTTAGGACAACCAGGGCAAGAGCATTGACGATACTTCACGCTTGTACCATCGGAATGACAGTGAGCTTTATTTGGACGAGACTCCCACCATTTACATTATATACAGCTCTTCATCCTGTTATTCTTTGACCCTATTGACTTCTCCTATTCTCTGATATCTGTAATATAGGCGTAATCCAAGCAATACTGTCTAACAGCTCCCTTCACCAAGCTACATTGCGGCTTGCCCCGTTCTGCTTGCAGTAATACCCCAACTCATCTCCCCCGATGTGCTGTCCCGCGGTCTGGCAATAAAACAAGATGTCCTGGTCGCTCTTGAGTGTACAGTCCGGGCATTTATCCCATTGTTCATCTCCCGTGTTGCGGTTCTTATATGCCGCGCATGCCTTTTCAGTTGCTTGTTTGTCATAAACAGTCTATCCGTTGTTAGTTGAATTACCCTGGACAATCAAAAGAGACTGGGATGCAGCGTACCACACCCTTGGCAGGATTGTCAACACAGATACCAGTGTAGTGTAAGTCCGCGACAACACTTCTAGCTGTTAGTATGCCTCCCTCACAAAGGACATGGCGCAACTGACCTAGCGGCTAGGGTAGCAACAACGAGAGAGATAGGGACCTTCATGGTTGACCGGTAGATCAAACAAGAAAAGCTTGTGAAGAAGTGTATAGACTGAGAATGTGTATTGACTTCTATGACTTCCATTCCTCAGCAAAGTCGGCAGGTACTTAAAGGCCAGCGGAGAGAATCAGGAGCATCAACAGTGCGCACAATCCTCGACAAAGTCCTCATTAACCTCATGAATCATGATGGTAAGTCGCGTGAATTGATGAGCCCGAAGATTCCCCGTACGGCTTCAGCAGCACTCACACAATTTCGCCTAGACGTTTAATAATGGAGACTAATGGTATGATAGAACCTTGGCCGATAGGACGTGACATAGCACTTCATCCTTTATCCAATAAGTATCGAAGAAGACAATGCATGGTAGAGGCCTGCAGCCTGGTATCTGTTTCACTCTCCGACAGGTAGTGGCTTGGTCCCGGTCCTGCGGTCCTTGGCCGTTGAACGGGATGAACCAATCTCTCGAGTCCATCATCCTATCGGAATCAAACGGCCCCATACAACAGGACGACCCCATGGCCCCCATGTGTGATCGACAACGGAGCTACACTAAAATGAATGACAAATGACGGTTCCCGTGGCTGTGTTTCGGCGTGAAGCCGCGGGTCTCTCTCATCACTCTTGGCGAATGCCGCAAATCGCATGTTTGGATGTCATAGGGTCGCACTGAGGTCGGAACTCGCTCGTCAATAAAGTTCCGACAAGTTCTATTCTCCTCTCGTTGGCAAAGATCTGCGGCCCGCGGCGGGTCCACAGACGATATTTTAGACGGCGGAACTCAAAAGGGATCGCCCTGTGTTCATGGCGAGTCATTGTTGGCCAATCTGTTCGCCCAAGGCGAGCCTTTATGAGTATTAAGGGTAAGGATTTGATCCTTCGGCCTTAATACGTCTCAAACGTTCAGTGTCGTCGGTCATTTTTCGGGGAATTCCTCTATCTTGACCATGATAGTCCTGACTCGTGTATAACTCCGAATATCGATTCACTGTGCGATACACAGTATTTATAGGGGATCTGGGTGTACATGAACTGGGACACAGATCTATTAGCATGGCTCATATCTGAGATCACAATCCTCGGCTTCGTGCTATATGAGCTGGTTCTTCCTTCTATCTTTTACACATTCTGTCTTTACATCTTCATCCTAAGTCTGCAAGGTTAACTTTTAAGATGCATAAAATAAATCTCTCTTTCGTGCTCTTCACAGCCTTGTACGCCAGTAGCGCTCTCGCTGCGGCTCTTCCCACCGATCATGTCGACACCGACAAGGCGATCCTGCTTCTCGCCGATGCGACTACCAAAACCATCGAGAAAACGGACCTCGCCTGTCACCTCAATGGCATCTTGCTCGAGACTCCCAGCGACAACGTCCCGCGGTCCCTCAATTCTGCCAACTTCAACGGCCTGCAGAAGCGGGGAGATCCCCAAATAATCATCCCGCTGCCCGATCAGGAATTCCTCGGCTGGGACATTCCCATGTCCACCATCATCCACGCCAACCAAGCTGACGCAACCGTCGCCATGGCAGCAGGCCAATCGATCGCGAACAGCATCTCAGTCGGAACTTCCTTCACTGCGACTGTCGAGAACTTCCTCCAAGTCGGCGTGACCACGACTTACCAAAACACAACAACCAGCACCCTCACTGGCACCGTGACCATGACCATCCCGAAGAACAAATGGGGGGCGATAGTGAGCAATCCTCTGACGCACCGCAGAAGAGGTTATGTCTTCACTGGCTCGCCTGGCAGCGGACAGTTTGAGTACTACCAGGCAGATTCATTTACCAACGCGACTTATACCTATAATGATGCAACACTGAACTGGGTGAAGGGCGTGGTGACGACTTGTCTGAGTGATACTTATCCAGTCAAGCGCTGCGTCGGAGAGGGTGGACTCAACTAAGCTCTCTGTTAGTTTGCAACGCTAGGGGTAGGGGTAGGAGACTTGTGATCGAGATCGAGGGTAGCTGTCGAGTCAGGGCGATGTGTTAGCTTTCGGTATGGGATTGAATGTTGATTTTCTCACACCTGTGATGTTAGTCGTTAGTCTGAATAACTGACATATATATGTTTGTATGTACGCTTTTAAGTTGGACATATGACCGATATGTCTAAATTGGCCGAAGAAGATGTCATCCGTTGTTGCACAAACTAATATATCTCTGAAGACCCATTATATGGTTGTGATATCCAGGGCGTGCCACCATTTTCACACGTAGGTATAGATGGTTGTTTCAGAGCACCTCACGAGGAATGGACATATTTATATATTACCGGTTGAACTTTCTCTATATTTGAAAGCCCTAGTGCCTATTATGTATTGATCAGAAAATCAGAGTCCTATTTGGTTAACCTCTTTGATTAGCTATGCATTATACATATGTACATTGCCACTTGTAAGTGATGATGCTTCCAGTCAAACATCGGACTGCCACTCAGATTTTTTGACCGTCTAGCCGTGGGTGACTCAGGTGCTAATGCTCCAAGTCATCACCACCGGCCCCATCAAACCGTACTTCTGATACGGCGTACTAGCATACAGCGGCTGTACCTCTCCCGCTATTGACCCAGCGATCTTAGTTTGGTTTGCAGCTGTCTTGTTCCGATTGAATAATGGAGTTGTCACTTCCACTACAAGTTTATATGTCTGATTAGGACTGATGTACGGGGATATGTCAATGACTGGGTTGACCGGGTCAATTGGAGGACGCCTTCGTCCTCTGATGTAAACATGAGCAGTGTGAATGATTAGACCTAGTGATAGCTTGCCCTGTATGTGAGGGCCATTTGGTATGGTGAAGCCCATTGAGTATCAACCAATGCCTCCCACGTTGGTCAAAACAGGAGAGATAGCGCTCCATGGTCTGAGGGCGATGTTGGAGAAGTTGTGCGATGTGATGGCTGTTTGGGCTTGAGAACGGCGGCGTGGAGCGTGAAACTCTTCGACCGACAGGTCCCAACGTGTCAGGTTAGCTATGCTGTATCGCCTTGATGTACTGCTGCTTGCGAGCATGGTCAAGTTTGTAGGATCACTACTGCCGCTCTTCTCGAGACTTATAATGCTCGTCTCATTTGGCGCGAACTGTAGAGAAACCGTGATTACAGTGGACTTCTCTCGCCGATCATCTTTTTCTCCCCAGTCCAAGCATTGAGATGGTGCGGCGTTCTCGCTCCGTTGTCTTGGATGCTGATTTGGCATGAGGTGGAGATGATCTGATCGTTATACAGAAAGACAAATCTACCTCGTCTTCGGGCCTGGACCGCTTCACCACGCGCAGTGTACCGGTAGTACAGTTTGGCAAAACATCTGGCGTGACTCCTACCTTACTCAGGGCACCAGGGAGATCTGCAAGTGAGGAGACAAACTGGACGGATGGCAAGTTTTGTATCTTATGCCACCCGCCCTCCACAATTTGACCGGCCTGAGTATTTGATGTCACCTGCGGTAGGCCACCAACAAATACCACGGGTAGTCCCTTTTGAGCAAACTCTACCACTCGTGCCGCCACATCTTCCCGAACAAGATTGAAGGTAGATATGTTAAATGTGGACGAGGCAAAAACCAGGGCCTTGTAGCTTGGTCCGTCCGGAGCAAGGACTTTTGCTTGAACACTGACCTACAGTGGAATGAGGTTATTGGGCGCAATGTAATTATGAGTGTAGCCTGTTAATCAATGTTAGCTCCAGCTTGGAACCTATTAATGAGAGCCTACTAGCAGTAGTTATATTGTTCAAAGGAAGCAGGTCTATAGCATTCCACAGGGTCTTATATAGATATAGCGCTAAATCAATCTGTGGACAGCCCTGCTGCAATATAAATTGATTCCACAAGATATAATTCAGGTAGTCCTTCATATGAATCCAAGCAGGTTGGATTTGATTCCACATCTCGGTGTACGCAAAGCCGAAGGTCGTATACCCAGGCCATGTCGTATTGGGATAATTGCCAGAATAGGTGTACCCGTGCAGGACGACCATGTTGACACCCCCGGACCAGGCTCGTTTGATGGAGTATAGAAGCTCTGGTATTGTGAGCATATAGGCCGGCTTGTTCACTGCCCCCATTTCATTCAAGACGACGTTGCGACTACTGATATGAGCGGGCCCACTGAATTGGCGATATGCGTCGACGTTATCACTAAAGCCTAGCGACTCACATTCTGGCGCATCGGAGAGAGGGATATCACCCAACTGAACGGGTCAGAGCCATCTCAGTGTGAGTAAAGGAGACGTACCATTTCAAGTGGCAGGTTATTGCTGGCTGACTCGAATACTGGATCCCAATTCCGTGCGTCCACTGACTGAAATGGGCAATGTAGTCCTGATTTCCGGCATTCAGTGTCCGACGATAATCCGCATCACACGCACTGTCCTTCTGATTTCCAAGCGTGTACATCTCATTGTACGATGGCACGATCGCATTCCAGTTATTCTGCTGCTTGAAAAGAGCTGGAAGACATGGGAGAGCGCTGTACCCGCGGTCCTGCTCAAACATGGTTAATAGACTCGGCGTCCAGTATAACGACGAGAGCATCTCCATGCTGTCCTCCCACGCTACAAAGTCACCAGTGGTGTTTTCATGAAGAACAAAGGAGCTCACAGTACCATACTGTCCCACTTCTTGCAGAAAAGTCAAGGTTTGTTCGTCACTCAAAATATGCTGATCCCAAAAATCGGTGATCAATCGCGCTCCCATGGCATCAAAATGGTCGACAATCCAAGAACCATTACCAATAATAACAGTGGTCGCATCGCGACCGCCTGTGCAGCTGCGTTGGTTGGTATGCTTGACCCAGAAGCTGAAGACACGCCAGGTTGAATTGCCCAACAGTGCTGTCCAGTCTAGTAGACCATCCTTCACCTTGGCGGACAGATCAACAAACAAGAGCAGGTCCAGCGCTACAATTTTGGTACTGCCGCTCAAAGTGACTGCGCAGGGTTAGATAACGGGAGAATATTATCTACATGGTGTTTACTGTTAAGCACTTGGTACGCAATGACAGCAGTCAGGTTAGGGGTGCCGAAATCCTTCAGAGGATGCATAAATGACAAGCCCGATTGCATCAGGGATGACAATTCGGCTGGCGGCGGAACTGTGGAAGAATAACATTGACCGGCGTGGACAGATGTGTTTCCCAGCAGCTTGACTTGACAGTTATCATGTGGCCCATCCTTGGAATGAAGAAATACTTACTAGTTGGACAGCTAACCCCGGTGTCCCTGGAACCACAGGCACACCCTATCCTTAGTTTACACCTACCATAAAGTCCATACAGACCTTACTTTCCTTCAAGCCATTCAGAGCAGCCTGGAACAGATCGTTGAAAGCAGGTGTGCCGAACCCGTATACATTCCAGTCTGTGGGCGGTGTAGCGTTCATGCCCTGTGCTGTCGGAAGGCCATACAAGTAGAAGGGCAACAGTTCGATGCCACCGCCCCCAGCTTCAGCGATACGGGCGATATCCTCTCGGACGACGTCGGCGGGACACTTGCATCAGGTAGCCTGCCTCTCCTCAGTACCTCACATTCCGATGGTAGTGAGAAACACACCAATAGCGGAACTTGGGACGGTAGATGACATCCGGGTTAACAAAGCAGAGTCGACGTCAGAGGCAGATACTGCTATGGTTGCAAGGAGCGTATACAACGCTACCGCGCTGCTTTGTGCGACATGTAAGGCTCTCATGTTAGTTGAGTCTCAGTTCTTGCGGACTGGTAGAAGACCATCTTCAATCACAATCTGGGCTCCGTCTTCTCGTGATTTAAAGAGCTACAGGTTATTTATGGCCACAAGAGAGATGTAACCCCTCTTATCTCGGCATTAATTATCACGAAATGCGGGCGTTTCTGGGATCGACAGCTGGACTTGAATGAAATTGCGGGGAAGTAGCCAGTTAGGGCTTCTGCCCTCCCACATCCCTAAGCCAAGTCTTTTCGGGCTTCATTCACCAATACCTAGCCATCACAGCTGATCATTCCATAGCCTATAACTGATCATGGCTCAGCTCATGCATCTGAACAAGCTTGCTTTTTAATATCCCAGCATGATGAGACCTAGCATGTACAAAGTAGTGATTTACTACTTGGTCACATAAATGAAGCTTTCTATTGGAATAAGGCCATCCCCTGTGGCTTAGCTTCATCTATTCATTATCATAGTCCACTTTTATCAACATCCAGCAAAGAAGAATAATTTGATCCTGAGAGGTCATGTGCCAGTGGAGCCTCAGGTCTGGTTCTCAGAAGTTCTTTGTCCCGTGTTTTTCAGAATTAGTATTGTTGTTATGATCAACACTATTAAAGATCTAAGCTAAGCAATCCTTGGCTTGTCTTCCTCTTCCCCATGTAGGTATCTAACTTATATCAACCTCAAAGACATGAATCCCTTATCAGACATTCGGTTACTTCATGATAGGGATAAACTTTTTCTCCTGCTTATAGTGGCTTGGCTCCGGAGGCTAATATCCTATTTATGGAGGAAATTTAATGAATAGCGCATAACAGACTAGGATTGCAATGATAACTTGCTCTGAACTAGATAATCGCCAAGAACCGTACCTTGCAGACTGTTACATCGATTGGAGACTACTCTAGATTAGGGAAGAGAAGCCAAGAAAAACAGACATGAATCAGCGGGCTTGTCCGTACCAGTTGGGGCTGGAGCTGGCGTCTAGTTTGTACAGGGTACAAAAGACCACACTAACGGCGTGACTTTTCAAGCCTAAGCATTAGTCTTGAGCTCAATGCCTGTTTAATACTAGTCTAAGATGGAAGGACTGCTAGTCCATCCTCCGCAGCGCCCCGAGGCTTGGCACTTGGCAGCACCCTATCTCAACTATAACTATGCTCCGGGGTTAGGCCTTTGTGATAAATTCACTACTAGGCAACTGTTGATTGGTCAAGTTCTGGACGAGAAGAGGGCCAGTTGGAAGATCACGGAAGATGCCAATCATCTCGTGCACTTTATGGAGCGATGGAAGCGGGGCCATGCATCCTTTCAAGGCGACATTAGTGTGTCTGGTCCAAGTTATTCGCCGAATTAGGAGGCTGGTTCAAGGAAATTGGATTTTATCTATACGCAGCGTGACTCGGTTGCGACCATCTGTTCATGCCAGTCTAGACTTTGTTGGCTGGCACATACGGGTGTTCTATTCTACTCCTGCTGTTGCACATAGACAGAGCTGCCGAGACTATACCCAGATGACCCAAGGTCGGTAGTAAAATACACTTAAAATAGCGCAAACTTCCTCCTCACCCCAGACTTGGCAGGGGTGTCATTAACATGATTTCCACTATCGCCACGTAGTAGTAGGATTGTGCACTGGTTCATCTTCATCAGCTTGATGAGCTCAAAGACATTGATGCACTCCTGAAGTGATGAACAAAGGTAAGAAGGTGGAGAATAGGTGAAAAGCCCTGAGCTGTGGGAGGGGAGAGAGAAGATGGTTTCAGGAAAAGTTCAACCCTATTAAATTTAGTAACAAAACAATGAAAAAAAGGTGCCAACCCATTAGAAAGCTTTTCCGCTGATGGTCGACTTTGCCTGATCCAAAGGATTTTCTTGGCCTTAAACTAGTGGGGTTCGTCGGAGCACTCCGTTCTCTTTGCTCAACGGGCTGGAGGAATCCATAACACTAAGAATACAGTAGTACGACTTGAAGCCTTCATTTAATTACTACTAGCACATGCAGTTGGATCCATTCCAAGGATACAGCTAAGAGACTGGATCCTTATGTCTCAGTATGTCGCATTGCCAACAGTCCAGACATGTCCAGGGGCAAAATCTGCCTGATTTCTCGCCACTTTTTTGCGCAAGTGATTGCAGTTTCCCGCGCTGACACCCTGCAAGTCTCCGGAGTCTCACACTCTTATAGAAACAGCCTGATAATCTCCGCTGTGCCCACTTTTATGTTACCTGTCGAAGGCACTGCCTATCCTCTACCTCCTTTGCCATCTCGCTGGTGGCGGTGTACACACTAGAACAGGGCGCTAAAAGCACTACCCTTGTTCTGTCCGCTCGTCCATTCCTCATTTTCCACCAACGATCCTGGTCAACCTTTCAAAATTATCTGTCGCTCCCTAGACTACCTGTTGACGTTGCGTTTCTCGACCTCCAAAACGCCAAGAGGCACGCCATCAGCTGACCCGTCTCACCGAAAAAATTCCGTCGCTAGCACAGCGCAGCATGACCGCGTTCCACCGTTTCCCCCATCTCCCCTTTGAGCTTCGTGCTCGAATTTGGGAGTTGACAGTCGAGCCGCGTACTGTCGAGGTGCGTGAAAAGAGAGAGTATGGGTCATGGGGCAAGCTTTTACATGTGACCTCATCAACACCAGTGCCTGCGGTCCTTCAGGCCTGCCATGAAGCCCGAAATCAGGGGCTGTACCAGAAGGCCTTTAATTTTTCTGCAGGGGTTGAGCCGCGGTATGTCTGGGTTAATTTTGAGATTGACATGATCTCAATCGGAGGTACCTATTTCGACACGATTGAACCGGCTGAACAACAGCTGATTCGCCGGCTCACTATTCAGCGCGAGAATACAGACTCCTTTTTTTACTCTGAGTCCCAGGAGCTACATTTGTATTCTAATCTAGAGGAAATACATGTTATCTGCGAGGATGGCCTGCTGGCATGGCAAGACTGCTGGGAATATTGTCCCTGGCCATGTCCAAAAGAGAATCTGAGGTTCATTGACAAGGAGACTGGGCAGATTGCGGTTGGCGAGGACCTGGATAGGATGGCAGATGAATGGATGGCAACTTGGTGATCCCAAATGATTATTTAAGCGCTTGTCTTATAGTTTGTGGAACTTGCTGTATTCCGTGGCTCAATATTCAAGAAAAGGTGTCTCAAGATACCTATATCTCAGAAGTCGCTACACACCAGCCTCACGGTTAATTTCCCTCACTAGATTAGGTACATGGTGCAACCTCAATACATAGCTTTCCCTCCTTTTCGTATTCTGTATACTGTATCATTGGGTTCAACAGGATCAGTGGTCGGTCCCCTCACTACCTTCGGCACAACTGCACCTGGTCTCCGACCCGTTTATACGTCTTAAAGAGCGCATAGTGTTCTCTGGCTGATTTAATGTTCGTATAGAATGCAGTCCGAAAGTCTTTGATGAGTTTGTCAACATTCTCGATGCCTTTGGTCTTGGCCGCTTCCGCAGTGGCCTTCCAGTCGACGGTCTCCCACTGCGTTGTGGGATTCGAAAGGGGGTTGTCGCCCAAATTCATCAATTTGATATCCATCCCGTTGGGCTGCCCCAACCTGGCCTCGGCCGCTTCGATGAGAAATGGACCGTGGTCGCCCGCCCGCGCGACCTTGATTTTCTCCAGAGTGTTATCGAAACCTTCCCACAGGTGCTTGTTTGCGTCGGTCCTGTGGCCCATATTGTTGACCAATTCGCCGAGTTTCAAAGTGTAGGTGTTGAAATCGCCGTTTGCGCCCTTCATGGCCTTGTAGGGCGGGAAGTTGGTCACTTTTCCGTTGGGAGTGCTTGTGTACTTCGTGTAGAGCGCCTTAGCCGTCTCTTGGATATCAGGCCTTGCCGTGTTCTGATCTGACCCGGGAGGGCCGACCAGTTTGTCAGTGGGACGTGATTTCCCTATGGAGGCCATGAGTTCATTGAAGTTGCATCTGCCGCCGCCTCTGCCCTTGCACGCTACCCAGTCATTGTTCACGCAACTTCTGGTTCTGTCGTTCCATCTCTTGCACTTGAAGCCCAGGGTTTGGTCCACGGGGTCGTTGAGCCCGTCGATTTGGTAGGCATAAAAGAACAACACCCGCTCAAGACATCCCTGATATCCCCCGGCCCAGACACTCGCGGCGATGTACGCAAGCGCGAGGAAGAATGAAGTCTTCATAACGAGCAAACAGGGACACAGATTAACATAGACAACAGAAAGCGGTATACACTGAGCAAAACTGAGCAAAGACAAGAGGAAGGAACCGAGGATAAATGGATATGCCTTCTTATTTTTTTCTTCTCAACTTTTATTTTGTTTTTATTTGTTTCCGTACTTGTTTATTTAATTTAATTTTACTTTTATGCAACGCAGACCTCTACGCCGGAGCCGACGTGTTTGTGGGGGGGTTCAGCAACTCGCCTCCTGTGCCTGAACGGCCGAGAGCTATAGTTCACATCTAGTTGGCGCTAGAAAACCATTCCCTCACAGGGGTTGTCGAGTGGATCTCAGGATCGAAGTCAAGGAGATTCTAATGTTACATCCAGGCACACCCTAGGCTCACTCCTGATGCATGATAAAAATCATTCAAAGTATCGATTTAGTCGTCAGCTTCCTCCCCCCCATTATTGTCAAGGGCTTCTCATCTCTTCCGAAGGCCTTTCTTTGCGCAGCCCTCCTTCACTATGAAGCCATCACTGTTCTTCTTCACTAGCTTGGTGACAGGGGCCTTTTCTGCCCATTCTGGCTCCCATCTTCACCTTCACGTCTCCCACCGAGCACGCACATCAGAAGCAATAGACGCTAGAGATGACCAAGGTCTTGACAAATGGCTTGCAGCCAACAAGCGAGCGCCCCCCAGCGCCCTCACGGCATGCCCTCTGTCCTGTCACGGAACCGGTAATAGCAGCTCAGGGGCCGGATGGTTCTTGTTTCCCGATGCGTCAAGGCTCGCTGCGTGCAACGAGACCATGCTGCTCAACTTTGTCGTCCAAAATGAAGTTGATGGTGCCAGTAGTCATGGGCCCAAAATGGGCATCAGGGCATGCACAGCCGACTATAGCTCGGCCACGCAGGCGGCCTACGAGCCACATGATGAAAGGGCAGCTCTTTGCCCAACCCCCAATCATGCCCTCGTCGAAGCTTCCATCAGAATGTCCCATTCTACCGCTGGGATTGATGATGGCTTTGCCGTTCAGGATTTGTTGTCTGCTGGCCACCAGATTGTCAATTATTTCAGATCACACAAGCCTTCCTGCGTGGAGAACGCCTTGGCTTTTGGGTACTCTCAATCCGCCGTCGTGGGAGTGTTTGCCGGTGCGGAGGTCCACCAGCATGGCGTGACCAGGGACGTTCTCAACAACTTGCTCGACTATGCCGAGAAAAACTCGGTCTCCGAAACGACTGTCGTCCAGCTGTGTCAAGCCGATGGCCGCGGCGCAGACTACGGCATCGGTATCATTGTGAGCAGCGCAAAGCATCTGCCCGTCGTCCAGGACGCCGTCAAGACCTGGGTAAAAGGACGATGCGTCTCTGCGGCGGATGGTGATGAGGACTGGATGACTGTAACTCTGCGCGTCCCTGCTCGTGTCAAGTCAAACTCAGATGCCATTGGGAATATGACGTTACCAACCGCGGCTGCCCACCTGAGGTCAAGATCCCGGATTGTTGCCCAGGCGGAGTGCCAGACAACCGCGGTCAATCCTGGCGATGGCTGCTGGGCTTTGGCCGACCGGTGCAAGATCACCGACGCCAAATTGAAAGAGTACAATCCCCGTCCAAACTTTTGCAACACTCTTGTTGCCGGCGAGAAGGTCTGCTGCTCTTCCGGCACCTTGCCTGACACTGTCCCTCCTGGAAACTCGGACGGCACCTGCAAGACAAGACAGGTGATAGGCGGCGACATCTGCGACTCCCTGGCGTCCAAATGCGGTCTGAGTCTGCAAGACTTTACCAAGGTGAACACTGAAGCCAATCTGTGCGTGAACCTGAAAGCTGGACAGCATGTATGCTGCACGCGTGGCAAGCTGCCCGATTTCAGGCCCAAGCCCAATCCCGACGGATCCTGCTCCACGTACACGACCAAGGCAGACGACGACTGTTTCGGCATTGCCGCAGCTAATGGCATAACTGTTGCAGATCTCGAAGATTTCAACAAGAATACGTGGGGCTGGAGCGGCTGCAGAATTCTCCCCCTCAAGTTCAAGTTGTGTGTGAGCTCAGGAACACCGCCTATGCCTGCCCCTGTTCCGGTAAGTATATATGTATATATGTACACTTCGAACCCGATACAAGTGACCTTTGAAGTATATAGGCTGATGTTGCTCTTTAGAACGCTATCTGTGGGCCGACTGTAAGGATTTCCAGACTGCTGCACCAAGCCTGAAATTGTTCGGACTAATATGATATGATTCAAAGGTTCCCGGCACCAAAGAGCCAGCCAAAGGCGCCGAACTGTCCACGCTCAACCCGTGCCCCCTAAAGGTTTGCTGCAACGTGTGGGGTCAATGCGGCACGACAGATGAGTTTTGTACCGTGTCCAAGTCAGAGACTGGCGCTCCTGGCACTTCTGCGCCGGGCAAAAATGGCTGTAAGTGCTTCGGTCCAGCAGCATCTACTGGTACTCAGGAGAAACACGGCTGACCCCGAAATTTAGGCGTCAGTAACTGCGGCAGAGACATTGTCAACAGCGGGCCGCCCAACCGGAAGATCCATGTAGCATACTTTGAAGCCTGGAACCATAAGCGCAAGTGCTTGACCATGGATGTCGGCCAGATCGACACGGACAAGTATACGCATATCCACTTCGCTTTCGCCGATGTGACAAAGGACTTCAACGTCGACATAAGCGCGGTTCAGGAGCAGTTTGATCTCTTCAAAGGCATGTCCGGGATCAAGAAGATTATTTCTTTCGGCGGCTGGGACTTTAGTACTATGCCTGGCACTTTCAACATCCTTCGTGAAGCTATCAAGCCTGCCAACCGGGATATCTTCCAGAAGAATCTCATTGCCTTTGTCAATGAGCACAATCTCGACGGTATCGAGCTCGACTGGGAGTATCCTGGAGTAAGTAGCACACGTTCACTTATTTTACTTTTACACTACGGACTTGGTTAATGTAATAAATCTAGGCTCCTGACATTCCCGACATCCCCGCGGGTGACCCGGAGGCGGGTATGGACTACTACTACTTGCTCTCCAACGTCAAAAAGGCATTGGGCGGCTCCAAATCAGTCTCCTTTGCAGCCCCGGCTTCCTATCATTATCTCAAATCTTTCCCTATGGAGCAAATGGGCATCCATCTCGACTATATCGTCTACATGACCTACGATCTCCACGGCCAGTGGGACTACGGCAACAAGTGGACTTCGTCCGGCTGTCCCAGCGGCAACTGTTTAAGGTCCCATGTCAACGACACAGAGACCAACGATGCCCTGTCGATGATCACCAAGGCTGGCGTGCCCTCTAGAAAGGTGGTTGTCGGTGTGGCCAGCTACGGCCGGTCGTTCAAGATGGCCGAGGCCGGTTGCACTGGGCCAATGTGCGAATTCACCGGCACCTCGCGCATATCCAATGCCGCAAAAGGACGCTGCACAGACACGGGCGGCTACATCTCCAACGCGGAGATTGCTGAGATCATCAACAGCGGCAAAGTCACCAAGCAGTGGACAGATGTCGGCTCCAACTTCCTGGTCTACAACGACACCGAGTGGGTGGCATATATGGACGATGACATGAAGGCTGCTCGTGCGAAGTTCTATGATTCGTACAACTTTGCTGGAACCACGGACTGGGCCGTTGACCTGCAGGAGTTTAACGAGTAAGTCCCCTGAGTTGAGCCTCATGGACCTCGCACGCCTCTGCAATGATATGTTCATGGTACTAACTCTCCGCAGTGGCAGCGGTGGTGATGACTACCCTGATGATTACGAACCCTACATCGACACCAGCATGTACCCAGAGTGTGTAACCAAGTACACTACCTTCAAGGAGCTCAACGACCACAAGGATTCGATCCCCGCTTACTGCATGGAGCAATACATTTTCAATGTCGAGGTCGCCGTCATGGAAGCAGCCTTGGAAAAGTACAAGGACCTGGTCAACAATGGCTACGACGAAAAGTTTAAAATCTACGAAGGCTACGTCGACGAGCAAGTCCAGGACCAAATCGACGCCTTCATGGGCAGCGGCAAGGCGGACAAGTAGTTCAAGTGCACGGAGACCAAGGACGTTATGTGCTGCTCCAAATGCAACATTCCCCAATGTATGTTGGACTGTGACAAGTCCAAGGATTGTAATGGCAGGGCCACAGTCGATATCAAATGTCCGACAACTCTCAAGAGCGGTTCCAGCACCATCATCGATGATTTTCCCAACGCCACATACACGCTGCAAGACTCCGAGGGCTTCTGGAAGGACATTGGTGCCGAGTACGGCATCGAGGAGTCGTGGGTCAAGTTTGGAAGGAGGTACGTCAGGGCCGGCAATGGCTGTCAGTTCGCTGGCGCGGACGTCAAGGACTGCATCGACAGGCAGTCCAGTTGGTTTTACAACTATCCCATGAAAGACACGGTCAAGGTCTACAACCCCAAGGACCTAATCGGCGGCTCGTACGACAAGACCGAGGACCTCCTCTACCGCCTCAAGATCGTCAGGGATAATGCCGATTACGACGAGCTCATGCAGTGGTCCGACCTGGTCGACGCCGGATCCCTACCCGCGTTGACGATACAGACTGCCGTCGAGAGTATGGACAAGATTGTCAAGACTGCCAAGGATATCAGCAAGAGAGAGCGCGAGGAGTTCATCGTCAGTTTCCTCACCGGCTTGCTCTTCTTCATTCCCTTCGTGGGAGAGGCCGCCGGCGCTACTGGTCTGACGGCAGTTCGCTCCATGCTGCGCCTGGCAGGGGCGGCTGGCGAGACAGGCCTGCTGTTGCACGACATCATCGAGCACCCTGAAAATGCCTTTATGAGTGTCTTTAGCTACCTGGCCGGGGCCGGAGTTGGGCGAGCCGGGTTTAAGAACGCCGCCAATGCGAGACGATCCATGAAGGCCAGCGACATTGACAGTCTGGGGTCGCTGAAGGGGGATTTGGACCTGATTGAGACTGTGCGTGGCGTCACTTGTCGTATCTGAGGTTGAATCTTGTCCATCGACCCGCCCAACCACGCCCACTACACCGAGAGAATGAGAAATAATAAACCTTCCATCAGGACTCACCTGGCCAGTAATACAAATGTGGTCTGATGAGGACACCGCGGGAGATTGCAAGTATATAGTCTTAGTTTACTACTATTTCCCATGCTTATAACTAGTTAAAGATGTCTATGATTACTTCTACGTGTTCTAGACGGAAGGGCAGCTAAATATGAACATAGGTGTATTATAGAGAAAGCTAATAATCTTCCAATAATCTTAATACTACTAGCAGTTGATTTAACAGACTTCTATAAAGAATTAAAGATATAGGCATAGTTTATCTATATTTCCTTAGTCTATATTAATACAGATAGCCTATGCAACTTAAATAGTGCTCTAATTATGCAACTTAAATAGTGCTCTAATAATTACTAACAGTTCCCTATCATATATGTTATAGTTCCTTTCCGTGGCGTGTATGGTTTTGGAATAATAAGCAATAGGGTGGCATTCTCCACTGGCCGTTATTGCCCTCAGGCCTACCCTGCGGCTCCTCAAGCAAGGTGATGGCTGGTCAGCAGCGCGGGCAGCGCCGCCTAACTGCAGCCCTTTCTGACCGTTCATGGTGCTCACAGGGTTCTGTATCGCCTTATCATTTTGCATCTGGTCATCATTGAAAGCAAAGGCTGGCCTGGCCGCCTGGGTAAAGAGTGTGATGAAGTATGTCAAGTGAGACAGGATTGTGGTCAGATTGCATTGACAACATCCCCGCTCTTCTGAGAGTAAACACAAGCAACATAGCATTCAAGTATCCGTGCCAGGCGCACCATAACCGTAGTTTTCACCGCAACCATAATGTATCTTTTATATGGTGATGCCATATAAAAGGTACATATAGATTATTCAATCTAGGTATGTACACATTTAGTTTTTAAAATTTATTATTATTTAGATATATAAATATCTATCTTTTATTACTATCTTTATTATAAGAAAAGAAAATTATAAGTGTTAAGGTAAAATAATCTTTCTTTATTCTTTTCCCTAAGAAAAAGTTTTATAGAGAGAAACTTTACACATTCTTATATCTCTAATTTTTAGTCAAAACTCCTAAAGGCTTTTAAGTACTATAAGATATTTCATCTTAAACTTTTAATATTACTATCTAAAATATAGTCACCCCTAATGAACACCCTAGATATTAGACTTAGGGAGTATGTACCTTTTATATGGTGATGCCATATAAAAGGTACATTACGGTTGCAGTGAAAACTACGGTTACGGTGCGGCACACCCAACACCACGTGTGGGTGTGCTTAAGACACGGATATATCATTGTGAATATATTGCATTACTCCCTGGCCTGGCCAGCACGTAGCCTGTACGCGACCTCACTGCTGCTTGATCTTCGGATCCTCCGCATTCCTTCCATCCTTACACATAAGGCAAGGGGGATGTTACAATGCATGACAAGTGATTAGATAGAGACGCGGTGGGCTCAAATGTGATTTAGGAGACAGGAGACTTCAAGACCATCTTCCTGTTAGCTTATTGCAGGATTCTCCGACCTGAGACAGGCATGAAACCATAGAGGACAGCAATTATTTTCCCTCATGTGGTCTGCAAGGTCTCAGGCCTAGAACATAAGACATATCCAAGAGCAATGCAAGGGAAATACCGACAGCGAGTAAGACATTGTATCACTGTTGCCTTGCCTTACGCTCGTTTAGTCTCCAAGTTATCGCGGGCTGACCGCTACTCTCCCTGCTGCGCAGTGATATTTTCAGCATTATTACGGCAACTTAAGCAAGTGTCTGCGTCATGATTGAGAAGCATCGATATTCTCCTCAGTTTCTCTACCTCACACCCGCCACCATTGAAATTTACCAGCATGACCCGAACCCCAGCTGCCCCAGCAAAGCATGACCGTGAATCTGCTAGCAGATACAAGATTGGCAGTAAAATCAGCACTCTATTTGCCGAGGAATTGGTGGAAAGGTCTGGTATAGCCCGGTCCGGCCGGAAACCTCTGGCTGTCTTCGACAATGCCTGCGGGACAGGGGCAGTTTCTAGTACCCTTTATCGTGCCCTTGGTGATGAGACTACACGCAACTGGCAGTTAACCTGTGGCGATGTATCTGAAGCCATGGTCGAGGTCTCCAAGCAGAGGATGACCGAAGAAGGATGGCGCAATGCTGAGGTGAAGGTTGTGGATGCACAGGATACTCGGCTTCCCAGTGCACACTATACGCATGTCTTCTCAGCTTTTGGTAGGGTGACAGGGACACATGGAGACAGCCCATGTTAACTTTATATCAGCTTTTAACCTCTTCCCAGACGACCAAGCTGCAATGAAAGGTAGGTTGCTCATGGTATGGTGATATACAATAGAGGTGCCAGCTAATCTTCGATACACTAGAGTGCTTCAGAATACTTCAACCAGGAGGCACGCTCGCCGTTTCGACATGGTGTTCAGGTACGTTGACCTTGGCAAATATACCAGACCAATCTAACTCACCACCTGCCAGCCGTCTGGATGACTCTCATCCAGTCCGCCATCGCAAGCATACCAAGCGATCTTCCCACGCCGACCACAGAAGACATATTCGGCCTGTACAACAAGAATTGGGCCGACGAGTCCCGCGTGCGGGCCCAGTTTGAGCAAGCAGGATTTACGGATATTAATGTTACCACCGTGGCAAAGCAATACCCCGTGCCCGTGCAGGAGCTCGCCGAGGCCTGCAAGATCAGTCTCCCTCATATAACCAGGAAATTCTGGACGCAGGAGCAACGGGATAAGTACGAAGCCGAGGTGCCAAAGGCGGTGCTGCGCATCCTGGAAGAGAAGACGGGGAAGGATGGACTTGGCTCCATGGAGGCTGAGGCGATCATTGCAATCGCGCGGAAGCCATGACTTTGGGTATTTGGGGTTCCTGTTTCGCAGTAGCTTTTGGTCGACAGTTTGATCAGTTCTGGATTTTGAATTTTGTGTTTCTCAAGCTTACCGAGTTGAACGCTATTTTACGTTGTCGGATCCTGGCTGAGTGTAGTATTTTACTGGTAGAACAGAGAGATGCTCTCGCTGGGCCACAGGTCGACAGTTTCTATGATGTCCCTACCAGGAAAAGCGGATGATTCTTCTCGCAGCTAGTAGACGGGTGATATCATCAAGTATGTAAATTGGTTGTCTCCAGGTCTGCCCCATATAACACCCTCCCGCTACTTTCTTCAAGATGAGAGCTTGGCAGGGTTCAGATGCATGAGATAATAGAATCACTTCAGCCAGGCCTCAATGAGTCCGTGGCAATTTCCCGAAATCTGATACACGTTTTTGACTTCCAATCCAGCCAGACCCAGCACCGTCTCCCACTCCTTCAATGTCCTTTGTTTGGCACCCAGAGACATCATGATCATATCCATCCATCCTTCCTCGACACCGGCTTTCTCCGCCGGTACGACGATCTCCTCAATTAGAAGCCGTGACTTCTCTGGCTCCATGGCCGCAGCGATATTCTTCAGGATACGAACCACGCTGTCCTGGGGCCAGTTGTGGAGACACCGGCGGATGAGGTAGGTTAGAGCGCCTAGGGAGAATATCAGAAGCTACACCAACAGATTCAGTCATATCCAGCATCTTACCTCGAATAGGCTGCTCAGTAAAGAAATCATAGGCCATCGTCTCGATCGCGGGATCCAATGAACCCTCGACACTCTTGACAACATGCGCCTGATCTTGCAGGATATACCGGCCCGGCAAACCACTACACAAAGACCGGATCCGGCTGATGGCCTTGCCCTTGCCGCCGCCGATATCAACCGCGAGAATCTGGCTCGCGCTGGGCTTGAACTGGGCCAAACTTCCCCAGGGGAACAGATCAATCATCCACAGCGGCGTCATCGCCTGCACCGTCATCCCGTTATTGAATGCCTTCATCCGCTCCGGCTTCTCGGAGAGGTTGTCGAACATGCTCTTTCCGTTGGTCTTGTGGGCATACGTGTACGGATTATCTGTGGTGGACGAGGGTTCCCGCCAGCCATTGCATTGGAGGAATTCATGCAGCTTGAGATGCGCGGGCATATGGTCGTCCATCCTATCGACTCCTCAGTTAATCATGAACCTTAATAGGGAGGAAACACTCACGCAAATCGAAACATGCCGCGGATCTCGGGGCGCAGATACGCCTCGGAGAACGGGGTGTGGCGGTACTGGCCCGGCCCAGTCTCTTCAAATGGTCCGTACAGCGAGGAATTTCTCAGCAAACGGGCTGCAATTCTGTCAACGGATGCATGGCATAGCATAGCAGCTATCGGCAAGAGTGCACTGACCAAGGAGAGATTCATCGACATTCAGTTCCTGCGCCAACTCTTCCGTGCTGCGAGATACTCGCCCCGTCGGAAGCGCTTCGAAGACCCCCATCTCCAGCAACGCGCGGACGCTCGCGAGATGAGCTGTCTATCAGCCTGATTAGCAGCTATCTCATCATCTGGAACATTTTGTGGCGTGGCTATATCCCACCCTTTCGTAACAAGTAGCGGCGGCATCGATAGGACCTTGCGCAACCTGGAGGAACTTGAGCGCCTCCAGAACCAGCTCATCGCGCGCGCTTTGTCTGGCACAGCAGCTTTCTATGCTGCTGTCATGGCCGCTCAGCATAGTCTGCTGGCATCGTTGTGCAGCTTCGTTGAGGCCTTTCAGGGCTTTCTGGATCGAGGCATATTCATCGATTTCTTCTGGGATGGTCATGGTGTGGTGATTCTTCGCCTGAGAACCACGCGTGCGTATTTGCAAAAGCACCTTGAGCCTTGAAATGAAAATGACCTAGATAGGGAGTGGTTGTCTACCTGTAGAGGGGAGTTTTCCTAGAGTATTTCTGTCCGATGACCATGTCCGTCCAGCTCATAGGACCGCCTTTCCGTCATGAGCATGATAAGATAACAATAGCTGATCCACAACAAAAATTCCAGGGATGCATATTTCTGACGCGCGACTAGACCTCCTTGCAGGGTGGATGAGGAGATATCCTCACCGCTGACTCCAGGGATGAAAGGATGCATGTATAATGCCAGTGATGTGAGAGATTATATCTGCATGGTTTTATAGGCCCTGCACCGAGTACACCGCTGACTCTAGGGATGAAAGGATGCAGATATTTTCCCCGCATGCTAGCATTGTATATGCATGACTTTATAGGCCTGCACCGAGTGCTCTACACAGACCGTAAAGCATATGACATATCAAACCACTCAGCCAAAAAGGTGTCTAGACAACCATCTCTAGCTAGTAGGGATGATAGTGCACAAGGGAAAACACAGCATATGCAACAAACGATGGGGACTCCTCTCAAGGCTGTCAACTTGCAACTTGCACCTTGCAGCTCTGTACTACCCTGAATGTCTGGAGCAGCAGAGACACTCCCGTTTCTCATTGCCCCTCGTAGCCTTTGCTTGCCTTACATTGCATTCCTGATAAGCGAGCAGAGTCTTTTTGCCACAAATAGCTGTAGAATAGAAGTCAACTGACTTTAGCCTGTATTCTAGTTAGAGATAGGGACGGTCATGCAAACTACAGCTCCCCATGCTTGCGGACATGTGCCTGGTTGTCTACGAGACTGCAACGTGAGCGGATGATCAGGTTACTGTACCCGGCTATTCAGATGCATCCCATCAGGCGGCCGTGCTAAGGAACCCCTAGCATGAAGAATGTTCTGGGTGAGAATCGGCGTGGTGTCGAGGCTCCTTGGTTGAGGTTGGAAAAAGTCGAGACTGGGAGTCAGCTAGCTATGAACGTAGATATCCCAAGGAATTATATTGACCAACACCCCGCTGTAAGGACAAAATTCGTCGCCCTCGCCGTCTCACCGTAACAAACACAATGAGGCTCTTCTTTTTCAGCAACAAATTCCCCACTGATGATTTGCCAGATCTGTTCCGGCGCCTGCGGCTGCGTTCTCAGTCGCCAGGGCATGTCGTATTGCGCCGAGTTCTCGAGGAGACAACCCGGGTCGTCAGAGAGGAAATCCGCCGTCTTCCCCCGGAACTGAGAAGTCTTATTCCTCCCTTTCAGTCTATACTCGATCTGGCTGAAAATTACAACTGGCACAAAGGATCTTTGTGTGGAGTTTTTGAATGTGTCTTCTTGTGTCTGGTTCAACTAGGTCTCTTCGTCGGGTGAGCTCTCTCCCTTCCCAACTAGGCAACGGTGGATGCGTGGACTGACTTGGGATAGGAATTACGAGAGCCGGCCTCATGAATTCAGCTTCGATGCACAGAAATCCCTCTTCACCGGGCTGGGGTTGGGCTTTCTGGCCGCCACGGCAATCGTTGCGTCCCCCTCATTGCTGGATTTGCCCATCACGGCAGCGGAGGTAATCCGGGTCGCCATGAGAGCCGGTATCTTGCTGTATCAAAAGTCCCAGGATCTGGAACCACAGTCTCTGGACAATGCTCTGGAGAGTTGGACCACGGTGGTGAGGGGGTTGGAGGAGAAGACGGTGCGAGAAGAGCTGGAGATGTTTAACATGTCTACGGTAGGCTAACTGATGCTTATGAGATGCAATTGAACGGACAGGGATCTGATCTGAATCACCACACAGGAGACCCCGCCGTCGAGCAAAGTGTACATCAGCGTCGTGGAGCCCGACGGGAGCGTGTTCGTCAGCGGTCCGCCATCGCGACTTCGCCAGTTCTTTAATAAACCCGGAAAGGTTCAGTCGGCTCCTCGTGCGCCGCTGCCCGTCTACGGGGGACCCTGCCATGCAACCCACCTGTACGACCGAACACACAGCGCGTGGGTAGTAAGCGAAGTCGACCCTGGCATTGCCAGTCGCCGTCTCTCGGGAGCTCCTCTTATGCTGTCAATGGGTGATGGCCAACCGTTGGCGGGCGAGACTGTCCGAGATCTTTTTGAGTCGGCCACATATGTGCTTCTGACGAGCATAATTCGCTGGGGTAGCGTTCTTGACGCTGTCAGAAAGGTCCCCCACTGGCAACATGATATGAAGCTGCAGCTCGAGACGTTCAGGCCATCCTCACCTGCCGTGCATGGCTTGCTATCTGCAGTACAGACAGATTACCCCGAATGCACCATCAGCGTGGAAGATCTTGGCCAGTGGATCATCGACGATAGCCTTGAGCCTCCGTCAAGTACCGTCGACTCCAAGATCGCCGTAGTAGGAATGTCTTGTCGGTTGCCCGGGGGGGCGGATGATCTGCAGCGATTCTGGGAGCTACTTGAAGACGGACGGGATGTGCACCAGAAGGTCCCAGCCGACCGATATGACGTTGAGAGCCACACGGACATCACCGGGAAACGACCAAACACTAGCCACACCCCGTTCGGATGCTTTATTGACAGCCCCGGACTCTTTGACGCTAGCTTCTTCGATATGTCTCCCCGCGAAGCAGGACAAACAGATCCCACCCACCGCCTGGCACTGCTTACCGCATATGAAGCCCTAGAGCAGTCTGGGTATGTGCCCGATCGCACCCGTTCAACCACCCGAGACCGAGTAGGGACGGTCTACGGCCAGTGCTCCGACGACTACCGCGAAGCAAACGCGGGCCAGAACATCGACATGTATTTTATACCAGGGAATTATCGGGCGTTTGCCCCCGGTCGAATCAGTTACTTCTTTAAATTCTCCGGTCCCAGCTTCAATTGTGATACAGCATGCTCCGCCAGTTTAGCTGCGGTCCAGATTGCCTGCACGGCGCTGACCCGCGGGGAGGCCGACATGGTCGTGGCCGGGGGATTGAACGTCCTAACGGGGTCTGATAGCTTTGCTGGTCTCAGCCGGGGCTTTTTTTTATCCAAGACCGGAAACTGCAAGGTGTTTGATGACGGTGCCGATGGCTACTGTCGAGGCGATGGAATCGGATCTATTGTCCTGAAGCGCCTATCTGATGCGCAGCAAGACAATGATAACATCCTAGGGGTGATCCTGGGGACAGCTACCAACCACTCATCCCACGCCATCTCCATAACTCATCCTCATGCACCCACCCAGGAGCAGCTCTTTCGTTCTGTTCTTACTCAGGCCGGCATTCGTCCGCACGATGTGGACCTGGTTGAGATGCACGGCACAGGCACACAGGCTGGGGATGCGGCCGAAATTGAATCCGTCACCCGTGTCTTCAGTCCTTCGGTGCCTCGACGGTCTCATCAGTTGTACATTTCGTCTGTCAAGGCCAATGTGGGCCACGGGGAGGCCGCGGCTGGCATTACAGCACTAATGAAGGCGCTTCTGATCTTCCAGCATAATGCGATTCCCCGGCACGTGGGCATAAAAAAAGTGTTGAATTCCAAATTTCCAGACCTTGAGCGACTAAACGTCCATATCCCCATGGAGACCATCTCTTGGCCGTATCGGTCGAACCGGAAACGATACGTCATGGTCAACAACTTCAGCGCGGCGGGAGGAAACACCAGTTTGCTGCTAGAAGAGCCGCCTGTACGGCCAGATCCTCAGGGACCTCCGCAGACACGATTCGTCGTGGCCCTATCCGCCAAGAGCACGATTTCCCTGCGACGGAATCTCGAAAGGCTGATTAGCTGGTTGGAAGGGAACCCATCCGCACAGGTGGCGAGCCTCGCGTACACTACCACCGCCCGCCGCATACATCACAAGTATCGCATCGCGGTCCATGGCGCCTCGACAGCGGAGATCGTCCAGGCGCTGCACCAGCGCATGCCTAGTGTGGAGACTCGACGAGTGGTGAACAAACCGCCCTCCGTCGCATTTGTCTTCTCGGGTCAAGGAAGCTTCTACACTGGAGTGGGCCGGCAGCTCTTCGAGGAGTATCCTCCGTATCGGGAGCAAATCCAGCGCCTGGATGAGATCTGCCAACAGAATGGGTTTGGTTCGATACTTCCGGCTATCACAGATACTGGCGCGGATGTCTCTCAATTAAGTGCGCTGGTGGCCCAGCTTGCCACCGTCTGCGTGCAGATCGCCCTCTGTCGCCTCTGGAGGACGCTCGGGGTGAAGCCTGCCGTGGTTGTTGGCGCGAGTCTGGGCGAGTACGCTGCGCTGTATGCTGCAGGAGCGCTCTCCGCCAGCGACGTGATCTTCTTGGTTGGGCAGCGTGCTCTGCTTATGCAGGAGCTGTGCACCGCTAACAGCTATGGAATGCTAGCTGTCCAGGGAACCGTCGAGGATATTCGTCGCTGCGTGCAAGGCCGAGCATATGAAGTCGCTTGTATTAATGGGCCCCGAAGTATCACGATCGCTGCGTCGATCAAGGACATCGTAGACATACAAGAGTCCCTAGGGTCACAAGGGTACCGCACTGTCAAGTTGAATGTCCCGTTTGCGTTTCACTCCTCCCAGATGGAGCCCATCCTAGATCGATACGAAGAAATCACGAAGGCTGTCTCCTTCCGAAGCCTCAAGATCCCACTCATTTCACCCACGTTGGCCGACGTGGCCTTAGAAAGTAGGAGCTTGGCCGCCTGTTCGTTCCTGCGGGATAACACGCGGGCGCCCGTCCGGTTCGCGGAAGCCCTTGCGAAAGCGCAGGATATGGGACTCGTCAACTCCCATACTGTCTGGGTGGAAATTGGAGTCCATCCGACCTACTCGGGCGCTGTGCGCGCCACGGTCGCAGATCTCGAGGTCATTGTGCCAAGCTTGCGGTCAGATGAGACTAACTGGCATACATTGGCCGTTAGCATGTGCACCCTTCAGGAGACCGGAGTTCCACTGGACTGGAATGAGTGGTATCGACCCTTCGAATCGGAGGTCCGCCTGCTAAACTTGCCATCCTATCAGTGGGACCTGAAGAACCACTGGATCCAGCATAACGGAGACTGGCTGCTGGTGAAGGATAAACGGCCGGCAACTGACTCAGTCTCCGTTGCAACGCCATCCTTGCGCACCGCGTTGGTGCATCAGATTCTGGAGGAGTCGTTCTGGCGTGATGGCGGAGAGATCGTGGTACAGTCCGACGTCATGGACAAGGACTTTTTTGCAGTTGCGTCAGGGCACAAAATGAGTGGGCGTCCGCTCGTCTCAGTGGTGAGTCAACAATCCTGACAAGCTTTGTGCTAGACTAAATTGCCTTCTGTAGTTTGCCTACACCGACATTGCTTTCACATTGGCGAGATATATGTACTCCCGCCTTAAGCCCGAATCACCGCTTCCGGCCTTGGATTTTGGTCAAGTAAGGGTCTTCCAAGGACTGATCCCACGAAAAGATCGATCCAAACCGCAATGGGTTCGGATGCGTATGCAGGCGGATCTCCAGCGTACAGCGATGCAGTTGTCCCTATCTCGTCTCCTGGATGACAGCTCACAAACCCCGGAGGAGACGCTGGCCAGTGGTGTCGTAACATGCGGTGACAGACAGAGCTGGCAGGATGAATGGGCCGACTACGCCCACCTGCTGACCACCCGGATCGCCACACTACACCAGATGGCGGATCACGGACAAGCGAGCCGGGTATCGCGGGATCTGGTGTACACACTCTTCAAAAATATTGTCGACTACGCAGAACACTATCGCGCCATCCAGTCGGCGGTGCTGCACGGCCTGGAAGCTGTCGCTGATGTGATACTTGCGCCTAGCAATGATAGCCGCTGGACGGCGCCTCCCCACCACATCGACCCAATTACCCATGTCGGGGGTCTCGTGCTCAACGCCGGTCATGCCACCGACCATCATAATACCATTTATGTAATGGACGGGTGGAAGTCAATGCGGTTCGCCGAGGAACTAGTCCCGGGAGAGCTGTATCGATCCTATGTCAAAATGAATCCGGCCCGCAATGGTTCGGGTTTCTTCCTCGGCGACGTCTACGTTCTGCGTGAGGACCGTGTTATCGGAAAGGTCCGCGAAATGACATTGCGTCCGCTGCCTCGTATATTGATGAATCGCTTCTTCGACCCCCCGGACGACGGTGACGGGGCGTTGGCTCACCACATCCAGCCCCGGGACCTGCCGCCGCTACAGCACCAACCCAGTCCGACGACAGAGTCATCATCCGGGTCCGACCAAAAGGACTCAGATATCGGCCCGCCCACCCCGCAAGTCGACTTGCCAATCGCACCATGTGAGAAGAAGGCGAACACTCAGCTTGTCCGTGACGCACTAGCTCTCCTCGCCGCCGAGACCGGAGTGGAACCGGACGGTCTGACCGATGAAACGGAGTTTTCTGCGCTCGGCATAGATTCGCTTCTGTCACTCGTCCTAGTGGAGAAGTTCTCGACCGAGCTGCAGGTTGATATCCAGACTTCTTTCTTCCTGGGGTCTCCCACAATCAGGGAACTGAAGGAGTATCTCACTGCGTCTTATTAAAGGGCTTTCGAGGCATGTCAATTGTATTCTTTTTAGTAGTTCTGCTTTTGCCTTTTTGGTCTTCAGCTGTTCTCTTCGTTCGGACGTGGGCGGGCAGCACAACACAGGCGGTTTGGGAGCGGCCCTGTGTCTGGGCCTCTGAGGTTATCGCGTATCATTGTAGAGGTATGATATCCTTGGTGCAGATAAAATAATAATGAAAAAGAGCAGCATGATGATAAATAATGGCCACAAATTGATGAAATTGCTAGCTAGCGAACCGACTTAGATGGTTGAAGATGGATAACCCGTAGCATACAAAGGATGGTTGGGCTGATGACGCCTGGGGCAGGCAAAGCGGAGCCTGAGGTGTCTGGTGCCCTGTCTCGATTGGGTTCACCGTCACCTACACTAATTCTTTCTTCATACGAACAGTGCGATATCTGAGATACTGGTACTACGTCGCAGTACATGCGTCAACTCATGTCGCTCTGTTTGGATTTTAACCACGACTACCATACAATATGGATCCGACATTAGTGATGAACTGTTACTATGCTCCTGACACATAAAGTCACGATCTCAATGGTCATATGAAGTGATCGAACATGGCAGGAGAATCATGGCTTCCCGTTGCTTCTGGGCCGAACCCGCATCGTCACTGATGGATTAGGCAAATAGACCGGACCATTGGTGTATCCATACGGTGGTGTCTCCTTGTGCGCAAGTTCTACATCGTACTGCAACAGAAATTTGATGAAGATCGTCCGGCAAATCTGAGTAGCGAGAACCCGCGCGGGACAGGTGCCGGCTCCATGAGAGAAGGTCAAGAAAGTCGGCGAGGTGGTTGTCACGCGTGGAGAGCAGGTGCCGCGGCTGGAGTCGTAGAAGCGGTAGCCGTTGAAGGTCGTCGGGTCTTCATAGAACTCGGGATCCAGATGGACATTTCGACATGGAGACAAAACGATCGTGCTGGGACGAAGAGACAGACCGATAGAGTTTAAAGTGACATTTTTCATGACACGGCGGAAGCTGACAACTATTCTGAGTCAGTTCGGTTCATTTGTAACAGAGAGGGAGAAGAACTGACAGGGAGAGATATCGTACAGTCGAAAGGCCTCCTTTGCGAAGCTTTCTAACTTGGGAGTGTGCTTCAGAGTTTCGACGGTCCAGTCGCCGTCAGTGAGCTTCAAAGCATGAAGTGCCTCCTCTCGGAGCGGAGCCATGTACTCGCGGTGGTTCATGATGGCATACACCTGGAAGATAATGTTGAACGCGGTCGGATTAGAGAGTTCGAAATGGTAGAAAAGGAGATCGTCTGCCAGCAACTGTGCCTGTGCCGCATCGTTTGCGCATTTGCCATCTCGGCTCAAGCTGCCGTTGTCAAAGGCCGCCGCGACCAGAGCGTCCAACAATGAAGATGGGCGTACGTCCTTGGTTTTGTCCGCCGCTCGTGCAGCTGCGATCCGGCGCACGACCTCGGGAACAAGTTTCGCTCTCACGATTGACAAGCTAGTCCTCAGATTTCGGCATACGGGCGAAAAGCGCCACACAAATGGCCGCAAGATGCGCGGATATCCCGTCCGTCGATAGCAGCTGCTCATAATGGCTTCCCCAAAAGACATCGCATGGTGGAGGAGCGCCGGATCGGGGGCGATGTCTGGTCCAAGGAGCAAGGTCATAGTGACCGTGGAGCATAAGGAGAGGATGGTCTGAAATGTGTTCAATGCCTTCCACTCTACTGGTCCTGTCAGTTAGGCAACTTTGGCTTCCAACTCTTGTTCTTGTCCTGCTTACTGTTCCCGGTAGGCTGGCCGAAAATCAAAGGCAAGACTTTATCTGTTTCCCGGGCTAGAAGCTTGTTGAGGTGGTCTGCCAAATATCACAAAGGATCAGCTTGTTACATCACTTTCCTCTGGTGGGACTTCGTACTCAATGATTCGGCGTTGTTGCAATTGTGAACAGCTTCAATGGGTGTTCTATCCGTGACGTCGCAGTACATGTTCATATCGGCAAACTATTCGTCCCCCAGCGATTAGGCCGCTGACTTGTGCATCGTTGAAGGATATCACGGGTATTACCTCTGCCAATGCATGAAGAAAGCTCAGCTGGTCGTGTGGTAGAGACCTCCATTCCTTTGACGAGTTCAAGGGAAGCACAATGGCATAGTCATCATTCTGTATCCGTGTCGCATAGGGTTTGCCTGCTTTGCTGTACTGGTTCATGTAGATAATGGTGAGCAGCGAAACAACCAGCTGGTAACATACAAGACGAAACTCACCTGCTGATATGCTCTCGCATACTCTTTCTCCGCATCGAAGCGTTTCCATCGTAGCTGCGGCCGCATGTAGCTACCCTCATCTACAATCGGAATGCCCCTCAAGGCTCTTCTCTGCCGCCATCCATCAAGATAGTCGGATGCCACGACAGTCAACCCGAACAAGAGAACGAGGGCGATGACTATCGCGCCGGCAGAGATGCCAATATCCACGGCGTGGTACATGCTGAATGGTACATGAACTGCCATGGTGGTACGCGTTGTACAAATGGGTCATCCACTAGCAGTTGCTGTCGGACAAGGCTGTGAAGAAATCATAAGAAATAGTCGGTTGATCTTCAGATGGACTTATGCTATTCTCACGGGAAACTCGGTCTAAGTTTGGAGTATGTAGTATGCGTGGATGTACATAGTTTCACGGCCCCTTGCTGATGGGAAGAAATCACATTCTTGTGGCTGTCACACCGCCATTCTGGTGAAGCCAGGGTGCTCTGATGAATGTGTCAACCTGGCTATCTATCATGCAATACAACTGGCTGTATTCTGGTGCATTGTTACCTGTGTGGGTTCCACGCTGAATCAGTTTGAACAAGAAATAGTAAAAGTCTGAAAAGTAATACCACCCTTGGCCCACCTTGTCAAGATTCTTCGATGATGAGACCCTCTTGATGACTGAATATTCATGGTTAAAGGGATGTCCACATACCATCTTCGTTTATTGCCCGCTCAAGGTTGGTTCTTCACTTGAAGTCAGACCTATCAGTATCATCACCTGAGTTATTAAGTGAACCCTTGATATTGATTTCGTTACATCCCTGAGTCCAATATCAGAGGGCCAATGATCAATTCAACCATATCTCGCAGAGTGCTAATACCTGTGAGAGCAAAATTTTGTCACACCCCCTTACATTCTTTATCCTACAGGAAATCTTGTCTGAGGCTTAGGACTCACCTCCAGCTGTAAGCAACTATAGTCATCTCATGGGTCAATTCGGCGTAGCTCGGGAGAATTGATATCGACAAAGTTGAGGGAGCTGAGCCACCAACATTGCACATAGAGACATTAAGGGTACTGTAAATTCATTTCTCTTTCAACTTCCGTTTCCTCCTCCACTTCGTTGGAGGCTGCTCTTTTATTCCCCCCGGATTTGCCACAGCCTTCATGATTACCCCAAGAATGGATGCCACTCATAGTCTCCCTCACCGCGTGCTGCTGGTGAGCATGCCTCGGACCGCGTCCAATCTATTAATGAAAATACTCGCCATTCCGGATCAGCCAGATGTCCTGTCCAACGAACACGCCGGGTATTTTTTCGCACCCGCATCAGACGCCGTCCTCAGAGACGACCTCATCAGCAAGCCCCTCGCACAGTGGACACCGGAACAAACACGCGAGGTCCAGGGAGTCCTTCAACAGTGCTTGGAGAGCATGGAAGAATGCTCGGCGCGGGCCCATGATGAGGGAAAGATCTTCGTGAAAGAACATGCCTCCTGGTTCATGAACCCGGCCGCCTTCGGTAAGATGTTGCATGATGGCGACGCCACCAACGGAGATGGCTCGGCCGCTTTGAAGGCGGACAATTACTACTCGTTGTTTCGGGTTTGTGTGGGTAGCGTCTATGGCCCGCCGCAAGCCTTTTCTCTAATGAATGAAACTGTCCTCCCGGATGGGTACCTGCGCACCTGGCGACTGGCATTTATTATTCGGCATCCCGCCCTAGTGTGTCCGTCGATGTACCGGGCTTATCGGGCTCTGAAGAAGCTTTATCCTCCAGGGTCTGGTACCTCGGATGGTATGTCGCGGAGTTTTCTGAAGGTCAATGTAACTCTGCGCTGGACGCGGATGCTGTACAACTGGTGTGTTCGCCAGGAGGGACAGGCGCATCCAATCATCCTGGATGCCAATGACCTGACCCACAATAAAAGCTCTATGGTAAAATTCTGTGAGCTAACGGGGCTCGATCCCACAGCCTTGAAGTTCGAGTGGGAAAGTGTCAGTGCTGAGGGTAAAGCCTCGTCTGGAGATGATGCTTCCAAGCAGCACTCCATACGTCAGGAAGCTCAAGCTATCATGAAATTAACTCTGATGGGATCCTCCGGGGTAGTGAAAGAGAAGGCGCCCAAGGTAGTGGATGTTGCTTCCGAGGCGGACAAGTGGAAGCATGAATTCGGCGACGAGGAGGCAAGTTTTATTCTTAAGATAGTTCGTGAAGCAATGCCCAATTATGAATTTCTCAGGCAGCAGAGGTTAATCTAAACATATATATTTATTATCATTAGTAAGAGAAATCACCCATTCGTAGGATTATCTTTGTGTGTGCCTTTCTACTCACCCTCATCGCGTAAGTAACCTAGAAATGAGTAAAATCCACAGATATCACCACATTCACATTCATTGCTAATGAGACTAAAAATACAGTGCTCTCTGTACCATAGTCTACAGTTTATAACTAACCAGCTCTAAGCCGCGATGCAAAGGAAATTGTGATCCACTAATAGTGTTTCCTTGCCTGTAGCGCGTGACGACTTCTGCATGAGATGCAGTATGTCACTATGTGGCTGTCAGGCTTTGCTGGCGAGGCTGAATTGATCATGTCAAGGCTCGCCGCGTAGAGTACAGGCCCACATATTAAGAATAAGATACCATTCCCATCAGGGGCGGGGGTTCGCTATAACTATTTATCTCCCCGTCTAGCCTCACTCTCGACAGCAGCTAGCTCAGTCGTGATTCTCGACTATTATTTTCTTATAATATATAGAATTATGATCGCAAAGTGAGCTTCTCCAAGTAGTCGAGGATGCCCCAAACTGGCCGAAGGTTCGCACATGGTGATTACACTGTCGGGTGGATATGTGCTTTGCCAGAGACCGAGTTCGTGGCCGCAGGGGCCATGCTGGATGAAGAACATCCAGTGCTTCCTGCCGTCCATTCGCAAGATACAAATTCTTACCTCCTTGGCAGGATTGGCGATCACAATGTAGTAATTGCTTGCTTGCCTGCAGAAACGACAGGCAAAGTGTCTGCTGCTACTGTTGCCAAAGATATGCTCCGCAGCTTCCCAGCTGTCCGATTTGGTCTGATGGTTGGCATTGGTGGTGGGGCTCCATATTACGGCACGCGGGGATATGACAACACTGAATTTAGTGAGCAGGAGGAGGAGGAGGATTCTGAAGATGGATTGGAAGATATACGAGATATAAGACTCGGTGATGTTGTGGTAAGCCTGCATTCGAAATCAGCAGAAGCGGTTGTGCAGTATGACTTTGGCAAGTCACTGCAGGAGAAGGAGTTTGTTCATACCGGTGGCAAACTCAACAAGCCCCCGGCAATAGTCTTGAGCGCAGTTTCTGTGCTCCAGCAACAGCATAGACGGAAAGGCCATACGATTTCCGAGCTGTTAGCAGACACTCTGTCAAAGAATCCTGGCATGGCTGAAGAATTTCGGTATCCAGGTTCGGCGAAAGATCGGTTGCTCAGACCGGATATAGTTCACTTGGAGGGAAGGAAGTCATGCAAGGCTTGCTGTGGGCCCAACAAAGTGAACCTTGCGAGGAGAACAGACCGGCATGGAACTGCTCCCAAGATACATTATGGAACCATTGGATCAGCGGATCAAGTGATGAGGGACGCCATATTAAGAGATAAGTGGGCACAGAAGGAGAAAATAATTTGTTTTGAAATGGAGGCTGCTGGTAAGTCTTTTTCCCCATCTTGCTAAACTTCCATATCTAACTCTTCAATCAGGGTTAATGGACTCGTTTCCCTGCCTCGTCATTCGGGGTATCTGCGACTATGCTGATTCACATAAGAGTAAGATCTGGCAGCCATATGCTGCTGCAACGGCAGCATCATATGCTAAAGAACTTTTGCTCGTTATTCCTGGGCAAGGAGTCATGGATCTATCTCCGATTGAGCAAAGTACGTAGCCTCGAGGAATTTACCTTGCTCGGCGTGTGTTTAGCAGGAATGCGCAGTTTCGGATGCTTGCTTATGAACAAATTAGCTCTTGGCAAAATCGAAGCGAACGTCGACACGATGAGGTCTACGTTAGCCAGAAAAGAAGATTATGACTTACTCAACTGGATCACGCCAGACGACTACGGCCCTTTGCAAAGCGACCATTTTCGGAGACGACAAGCTGGGACTGGCGAATGGCTTCTCAACTCAATGGAGTTTCAGAAGTGGCTCAGGACAAGCCAGGAAACTTTGTTCTGCCCTGGAATTCCAGGCGCTGGGAAGACAATCTTGACGTCTATTGTAATCGACCACCTCACTAGACGCACCTCCGAAGATCGAAGTCTCGGCGTTGCGTATGTTTACTGCAACTTCCAGCGGAAAGACGAACAGAGGGTTGACAGATTACTCTCAAGTGTGCTGAAACAGTTATCTGAGAGACTACCGACCATTCCAGGAGAGGTGATCGACCTTTATAATCAGCATAAAACTGACCGAACGCGGCCGTCACTAGAAGAAATCTCACGCACCCTCCATTCTGTGGCTATTAAGTACTCAAGAGTATTTATCCTCGTCGACGCGCTTGACGAATGCCGAGAATCGGAGCGAAATAAATTCGTATCGGAGGTTTTCAGCCTCCAAGCTAGATGTGGGAGCAATATTTTCGCAACTTCTCGGATAGATGGCGAGATTGAGAAATTGTTTAGTGACGCTATCTCGCTTGAAATCCGTGCAAGAGATCACGACGTGGAGATATATCTCGATGAATGAATGCAACTCCAACAGTTGGATATCCTGGATGATGACACAAAAGCAGAAATTAAGCAAACAGTGGTTGATGCAACTGGTGGAATGTATGGCATATAACTGACCCCAAAGCTGGTAAGATTGTACTAAAACCGAACATCAGGTTCTTACTCGCAAAGCTGCACATAAAATCGCTCGTAACCTTGCCAACGAAGGGTCATATTAAGGATGCGTTACGGAACCTTGCTAAGGGAGAAGAGGCACTAGACAAAACTTACAGCCAGACGATGGAGAGGATTGACGACCATCCAAAGGAAAGACGAGATCTTGCGAAACAAATCCTGTTTTGGATTTTTTACGCCAGAAGGCCACTTTCGACTGAAGAAATTCGACATGCTCTTGCTGTTAAGAGCCAGTCTGCGAAACTGGACAAAGACTACCTTCCAAGTACCAACCTCGTACGATCTCTATGCCTTGGGCTGGTTACAATCGAAAGAGAAAGCGGTATGATTCGGTTGGTGCACTACACGACGCAAGAATACTTTCAGCGAACGCAAAGCCGTTGGTTTCCCAATGCAGAGCTTGAAATCGTGAAGACATGCATCACCTATCTATCTTTTGATACATCCCAGAGCGGGTTCTGCTCAAATGATGCAGAATTTGAGATATGAATACAGTCAAACGTTCTGTATGATTACGCTGCGCGTAATTGGGGACACCATGCCCGGGAAGCTTCAATTAGGGCGCGACAGTTAAACTCAAGCCTTCTTAACGGCGCGGCCAAGGTATCCTGCCTAAGTCAAGATGGGTCAACAGACATGCCAATTATGCATCTTGCGGCATATTTGGCCCAAAGGGTCAGGGTGTTAGAGTTCCTTAATAGTGAGTCTAGCACGTCCGGCTCAGGTCAGGCAATGTTGGTAAACGAAGACTATCACCGTTTCTCTAACTACAGTCAGGATGTGCCACAGCAAATGACAAGCATGCACCTCGCGGCCTATTTTGGTCTGAGCGACATTGTAGCGGTTTTAATCAGGAATGGGCATGATCCAAACACCGAGGATTCTTATAAGCGGACACCACTGTCCTGGGCAGCAGAGAATGGGCACAAGGAGGTCGTTTGGTTGCTGCTCGAGGCGGACGGAGTCGATCCCGATGCCAAGTCAAAATCTGGAATGACACCGCTATCGTGGGCGGCGTGGGAAGGACATGCGGCAGTGGTAACGTTGTTACTCGAAAAACACAGCGTTGACCCTGACCCCAGAGACTCTGGCACCGGACAGACACCGTTGTCATTGGCAGCATGGAGAGGACATGGGATGGTAGTGTGGCTGCTGCTTGGAAACGATCGAGTCGAACCAGATTCCAGATCAGGGCCTGGACAAACCCCGCTATCTTATGCTGCAGAGAAGGGACACGAGACGGTGGTACTACTGTTACTCGCGAATGATGGCGTCGACCCAGACTCGAGATCTAGCGTCGGACGAACCCCACTGTCGTATGCTGCAGAGGGCGGGCACGAGGCCGTAGTTCGCATCCTGCTCAAAAATAGCCGAGTTGACCTTAATTCTAGAGACTCTGTCTACGGGCAGACGCCGTTGTGCTGGGCAGTTTGGAAGGGTCATGAGGGGGTAGTGCGATTGCTACTCTCAGACGACTGAGTCACTGCAAGCGATGAGGACCTGATAGACAAGCGGACACCGCTATCGTGGGCGGCTGAGAAGGGCCATGAGGCTATTGTAAGTCTGCTACTTGCAAAGAATGGTGTGGATATAGACTCTGCAGATGTTGACAAAAGGACGCCATTGTCATACGCTTCAGAGAATGGATTCGAGGCAGTAGTGAAGCTACTACTCATCAGAGGTGCTGCAGTGGATGCACCGGATAAAAAGCACTATACACCTCTCTCTTGGGCAGCATGGAAAGGGAATGAGGCAGTGGTGAAGACACTCCTCGAAGGAGGTGCTTCAGTGGACTCGAGGGATACTTTTGGCCGGACACCACTCTCATGGGCGGCAGAGAATGGGCATGAGGCAGTAGTGAAGCTGCTACTCAACAGAGAAGCTGAAGCTGTAGAGATTTAGCGCATGAGTAGAGAGTCCTAGGTAATAGTATTCGGCTTGACGCTTTACCTCGATTTTGCAAGGCTCATGCCCCACCAGCGCAAAGGCCACGGCATAGCTAGCGAATTGTTTTCTTCCAAGCTCCTGGATCGCTTTGAAAGCCTTATAATGGCCCTCTAGCCACTCATTCTCTGATATATCGCCTAGAAGATGACTCCTATATTTTCGGGCCATCAGCTCAAGTTTTAACTTATCGTGCTTTGGGAGTTCATGACGGAATGCGCTATTCTTTTGTTGTTTACCCTGACAAATTGGAAAAACTGTTATCAGATCAGAGAAATCAAACATAACAAGAACAGCTGAAACGATTTTAACAATCTGAGGTAAACAAAAGAAGAGTTCGCCCCAGATTATATTATTTAGATTACGGAACAGGCTAGGCTTTGGTTTAGTTTTCCCCTGTTAGTTCGCGCCTATTAGTTCCCCCTGGTGCCTGGTACATGAGGCAATATAGCCACACACTCATAGTTAGAGCCAGCACCTCCCAGCTACCCTGCACAGAATACATGATACAGAGTTTATATTAAAAGAATGAGGGGGAAAATAAACCTTCCATCAGGACTCACTTGGCCAGTAATATAAATGTGATTTGATGATCACACCGCAGGAGATTGCAAATGACAAGCTGCATGCAAACAGGCGGAACTTCAGTGCTGAATTGTCCAGTTTGGATATATGTATCATCAGCGGGTAGATCATTGACAGAATCCTTATGTAGGAATTTGCCTGCTTACTTGGAATCAGGTTGCATGGAATATGATTATAATGACACGCCTACTTGCAGACTACACTGATGATCCTGCTCATCACTATAGAGCACTAGACTTGAGAGCCACAAGCTTTTTCCCTAATCGATGCTATGTGACGCTCTTCTATTGTACTTTAATACGCAATATTAGCAAAGTATTAGAAATCCGAAATATTAGATCCACGGAAATGACCATACTTTCCTTGTGGAATCTGCCTGGGTTGCTCGCTGAGCCCAATCCGCTTGTTCTCTTTCCTTTCTCCATTCTGCGAACCTTCTTAGCATTTCCTGTTCGCAACACATTTCGCGCCAGTTCTGCTCTATCCTTCGTCTTTCTGCTTCAATTGTAATTTCGTCAGAGGGCAAAGATTGGATCGTTTCCTTGAGAGATTGAATCTCCTTCAGTTTGAGATCGATGTCCAAGTCCTTCGCGCAACGTTTCCCAACAATGCTAATCATGATATTCTCTCGTCGTTGCTTCTGTCGTGTAAATTCCGCCGCTCTGCCTGGCATAAAGGAGCACATATAGAGCCACCATGTCTCCTCTGTAGCCTTTTCTCTCATAATGCGTCCTTTCTCTCCTTTTAGACTGTCTCTCTCCACATTCAGTCTAATCAGGTCCTTGTTTGCGTTGTATAACAATATTTCATGGCTCCTGCGCGTATCCTTGAGTCCTCGAAGCTGTCTGTCCAGTTCTGCTAGGTTTTGATTCTTAACTTTTTGGGGACGTATTGTTGATTCATATATTCGGTCATATTCTTGACGTTTATCGACATCATGAAGCTGCTCATACGCATCGTTGAGCTGAGTATAACCGCGTCAGTGACGATGCAGGCTTCTAAAAGAGAGGAAAAGCTAGCAGTCAGGCTTCCTAGCTGAAATTCGGCTGTTGCTTTGGGCTCATTCCTTCGTCGATCCGGATGCTTAGCCAAAGCCAATATTTTGTATGTCGACCTGATGGTAGCCGAGTCCGCGGACTGGGGAATCCCGAGAATCGCATAATAATCATGAAGGACTGTAGTGGGTGGCATTTGTAAGCCAGACCGGATGAATGAAGGCGGATGATATCAATATAAGGCTTCGATGAACGCGAGCGAACCGGTCCGCTAAGAGGAGTCGGTGGACGGAAATAAGATGAACTTTGGAGGGCGACACTGAGGTGTCAGCTGCATTAATAATACACATTTGCTTTGGACAGGTCTAGTCATTATCGGAAAATACAGAACCACCCTTTTTACGGGGATAGTCCAGGAAATCTCTCAATATGTACTAATTGTTGGCGATCAGGGTTCGAGAGACAATCAAAGAGTGTGCATGGCTCTGGGGGTCTGATCAGAGGCGAATCAACAGCCCACCTTACAAGAAACTGGCGATTTAGCTGTCGAGTTAAGTTCTTATTAAAATATAAACGAGTGCGTCTACTATAAGGTTAGTCCCTATAGCATCCGTTTAAATACTCAATTCTCTAACTCTTATGTAAAGCATCTCTCGTTTCATATAAAATAGAGTACTAGGGCAGAATAGTGAAATGATAAATAACAATCAATCCTTTAGTTCCTTAAAGCATGGCGCTACCAAGATGATGGAACTTTATAGACTGTCTCCCCTCCTTTCATCCCTGCGCTTTTAAGGGCTATCGCCAGATCATCTCTCGTCCAATCCGGATATACGGAGTAGAAGCTTCGTATTTCTCAGCTAGTGCCTTTGCTCAGCCTCGCTCACCCCACACGCTTAGTTTCAGTTGAGTTGATTATCCAAGACAGAAAAGAGGGTCAACCTATTTCATTCCTCTTCCGTCTCTTACGCCACATTTCTTTGATTTGGTGTCGCCATGAAAGTCCTGAAAAGGCTTGCGGCCAAATTCAGGTCGAAGAAGAACAAGAGCAAACCCCCTGAACCAAAACAAGATAAGAGGTTAAAGCGCAATAGAACAGCTCGGTGAGAAAAAAGAAGGATCCAGGCTGATGGTAATTGCAGCGACGGTTCTAAAGGCGCCGCCGCGGCCGACACGGCACCAACCAATCCAGCACACGGGAAGAAGACGGATTCAAAGACGTCGAAGGGATCAAGGGGCACAGTCACAGACGAGGAAAGATATCGCTATCAGAAAATAGTGCTGGGAATGACAGATGCGCAGATAGCCAGGCAATTGAAGCCAGGGCACTATGAGTTCCAAGGGGCGCCGTTAAGTGCTCGCCCTATTGGCGAGGGTGAATTGGCATATGCATATGGATATCGGTACAAGCAGACAGCCTGTTGAATGAATTTCTGCTTAACTATAAATAGACAATTCCTCTTCATTATGGAGGGTGGAAACTCTATATGTCGGTTTTACCAACCGCCTGCATTGCACCCACTTCCTAGCGCTCGACTCGTAGCGCAGTACATACATTCCCTAGAACCTGTATATACGTCCCAGAACAATATCATATGGAGATCGCCTGTTGTCCAATGGTACAGAATTAAATCATATCCAACGTGCACCGGCCACTGATCTACACTATACTTGAAGATATTCTCCCCCCGTCCACCGAAGGGCGGCGGCCTGAAGTCACCGAACCCAGAAATCTTCGCCGCGAGTTTATTGTCTACTATACGTTTGACGTGGACAAGTCAAGACGGTGTTCCTACTGGAAAAGTTTCAGCAATAGCTATATTTTTCAGGCAGTGGACGATCCCAGGCCGCTTCATGGCAGGGCAGCCAGCCTTTGAGGTCTCCCAGCTTATAAGGTGATTGCAGTTCGACTCATAGGCCACCTTGGAATCTAATAGCTACAGGCACGTATTAAGGAGCTAGCTAGCCTAGTTGTAAGAAGGTAGTGTTCTAGGCAGCTACTATCCATAGTTCTCAAGCACAAAGTCGACATCTTTGTCGCCGCGCCCCGACAGATTGACTAGTATTCGTTCGGATGAAGGGCGCTGCGTCGCCAAGCGGATTGCAAACGCCAAAGCATGCGCACTTTCCAATGCAGGGATAATTCCCTCTAATTTGGCCATGCGGAAAAATGTACTGACGGCTTCCACATTGGTAACTGCTGCGATGGAAAGCCGGCCGGTTTCATGCAGCATCGCAATCTCCGGGCCAACGCCGGGGTAGGCGAGTCCCGATGCCACCGAGGAGACACGAGCAGGCGTACCGTCCTCTTTCTGCAGCACAACCGATCGAGCACCATGCAATGTTCCCAGACTTCCATAGGATAGCGTCGCTGCGTGTTGGCCTGGTCCATCAGATATGCCAAGAGGCTCCACTGCGTGCAGAACAACCCCCGGATAATCAATGAAGCCAGAATACAGACCCATCGCATTGGAGCCACCTGCGACACAGGCAACCACATGCTCAGGCAAGCTTCCGTTCGTGATGGAAAGGAATTGCTCGCGGGCTTCTTGGCCAACTACACGTTGGAAGCCTCGAACAATCATTGGGAAGGGATGTGGGCCGATAGCCGATCCGATCGCATAGAGCGCGTGTGCATGCTGCTCTACATACGCGTTGAATGCGGAATCACTAGCCTCCTTGAGGGCGGACTGGCCTGTAGTTGCCGGTACCACGCGCGCGCCGAGCAGCTGCATGCGACCGACATTCGAACTCTGTTTAGCAATATCCACCTCCCCCATGTGGACTTCGCATTCAAGGCCAAAATAGGCCGCTGCAGTTGCCAGCGCGACGCCGTGCTGGCCGGCCCCGGTCTCGGCAATCAGCTTCTTCTTACCCATTTTCTTGGCGAGAAGTGCGAAGCCAACACAGTGGTTGATTTTGTGCGCGCCGGTGTGATTCAAATCCTCTCGCTTAACGTAGATCTGAGCGCCCCCGACCTGATCTGAAAGAGTCTCGAGGTAATGTATCGGGGTCGGCCGCCCTTGAAGTCCGACCCGCACCTTGTTGAGTTCGCGCTGAAATTCTGGCGTTTGATGAAGCTCCTGATAGCTGCTGGCCAGTTCTTCCAGCGCAGGCCGAAGCTCCGGTGGATAGTGGTTACCGCCAAACCGACCGAAATATCCCTCATCGTCGGGGTAGCTTTGGAAATAAGAACGTTGATTGTATGGCGCCATGACCAATCCTCGGAGATGAGCGCAGGCCGTAGCAATGGAATGACGAAACTTGGGCTTGAAAATCCCACCGATCGCGATGGGGTATCAGAATTGAGGCCTCGTGCAGGGCGGGGTTCCTGAATTTGTAGCTTTTCGGCTCGCTGGTTGAGCAAAGGACGCACGAAGCTGATGGATCTCCTCCATTGGTGGCATTTCTAGTCCCCGCGACGGTTGGTTGTCCAACCTAAACTGAGCCGCGATCTGCTACTACCTTATGTTGTCCGACCCGCTTGCTTACATTGCAGAGGATCTGTCAAGAGCGGGTCTTGGTTCGGAGTCCATTGGGGAGTTTCATTCTGCGATGATTCCACAGCCTTTGCTTGATCTTGTCTTCTGAGCAGGAGAGACTGAAAAGAACAGCCAGACGAATCAGATCATAGATCACTATAGCCAGCCTGAGTGTTAGCTACCTGTTTACTTACGAGCCTGCACCTTGACACTCTACTTATTATTGGGATGTCTGTAACATTATATTGTTTTGATATAGAAGTATAGCTTAAATTTAATAGTAATCATTAACTATCCTAATCATTACTGGAGGATTTAAAATACTATTATAAACCTTCTATTAAGGTTTTATTAAATTTAACTCTACTTTAAGGAGGTAAGTTAATATTAGGACTTATTAGGCCAATCATTCTTATATAAGAATACTACTTATAGAAAAGCAACCCTGCCTCATCAACCCATCCTAGCGTCTACATTGGCATTGGATATCGAGTGCCTCAGCATACTTAGATCTCGAGGCTACAGATATAAGCGTCCTTCGCCTTCCCAGGACTCAACATGAATTGGTGATGGTGAAGAGTTTTCACCCAATGTATCTTGAGTACATGCGTGAGGCGCCAAATAACAGTGTGACAAAGGCAGTATTGCAGGGGTATTTATTTGATGCTGGATTTATAATTGCATAGAATGCCCTTGCAGGATGAAGAATAATGGGTTTTGGTTTCCATAACCTTAGAGCTTGTGCAAGAGATGGCCCGGCATTTATTGCCATGCCCTAGGGTGTCCGCATCTCATACCTGTGCCTTAACAAATCAGAATCTACAACTACTGAACTGGTTAAGGGGCTTAAAATGTTGGGAGTATCCTCTGAGGTAGAGTGGTTTATCTAAGTTACTATAAAGTCAGGCTACTGGATTCATAGGATCAGAATACAAGTAGGCTGGACAGGATTTTCTCCATGCTTCAAATTTATATTAATAGGGGATCTGGCTTTGGCGATGATAATGCTGTGAAACGTGAAGCGTTCTGGAAGGATGATATCCAAGAGAAAATAGGCCTGATTTCAAAACTACCACAGGGAATCATACCTTTGTGAGGGTCATTGGACTAAGCCTATTCATCGCAGCTTATGATAGTTCTTTAGTTTACAATAGAATAGGACAGCTCTCTCAGGAGGTATATGATCTTAATTACCATTACAATAAGCACTACAGTATCCAATGGGTATAGTGCGAGCAGACAGACAATGGCTATATCAGATGAGCTGGTGGCTAATCAAGCCATATAGCTATACCTATTAGCTAATTAAATTCATGACCATCGCCCAGGCCTATTGCACAAAATTCACTAAGACCACAAAGTAGGTGGTAAGTTGAAACAGACCATCACTTATTATATATGAATGTGAAAGGATAAGCACCATTACTACAGAAATACTGTACTTCCATGACTAGAACGCGTGTTCTGGCTATGATACATAGATTAAGTGCCCACTCATTTGATCCTATTCTTAGAGAAGATGTACATTAGCAGATAAACTCTAAGTTAATCTACATCACATCTTATCACGCAGACAGCGGCTATGACTCCTGATAAAGAGTTAGGCATCTGGGAAAAGGACCATGGATATAAAGCCCTTGAATTAGCCTACTTATAGCCTAGTTTTGCCAGTTTTAGAGAATAATCTATTACACTCAAGCGTTCTCTGAACAGTATCTAATCTAGTTAGCACTAGATCTAGCTATATCCTGTGAAGATCGCCCGCACAATGCTATCAAATAAAGATCGTCTGTATGTTACTCTCTATGCACGTAAAGGCAATTCTACCATGCCAGGCAAGGAAGACATATGAGTCTATTATATAGAACTTCTTTGGTGTTATGCTATTATAATCTGGAACTAATATACCATCTAAGCAGATACCACTGGGCCTTAATTATAGGGCTAAAAGTTAAAGCAGAGGATGGCGTGGGTGTCCACTACCACACAAAGAAGAGGCTAAAATTAGGAGGAGGCTCTAAATAGTTCTTTAAGAAGTATGAGTGTCTACTCACCCCTACTAACATATTGCTTGTTTACATTATGGTTAGAAAGGTAGCAGATAGAAATCACCTAGTTAATATTTTGCGGAATACTCCTATTTGCTAAGGCCAACCAGGCTGGAACTATGTCTTCTGGGTAAAGGAGGCCTTAGAGACGCTTAAGCTTAATCCTAAGGCATTGGGTACAAGCATTATTAATTAGGAAAAGGTGCGCAGTGAGGCAATGGATTATTATTAGTAGAAAAAAGACCAGCACTGTTTTGATGGCCAGGGCAACTTTAATATAAAGAAGGTTCCAACCTATGACTTAATAGAGTAGAAGGAGATCATTCTCTAAGTTATCAACTAGAATTACTTAGATATCTCTAAAGTGTCTTTAACAAATCTGTTCCATCGCGAGCTCTTCAGGCATTGGTTACAGGAACTTGTCAATCTCCTTAGCCTAAAAAGAGTTCTGTGGGTTGACTTAGTGGGCAGACGTATATTCCCAGTATGATGGATACTAACCAGCAGTTTCCTAATTAATAATACTAATAAGATCATCTCCGCGAATAAGAATATTGAGACTACTAAGATCACCATGAGTAAACACCAAAGGCCAAGACTTGCTCTGTTGCTTAATGAGTTCCTGAATTTCAGGGTCAAGTCTTGAATCAAATTCCATTGCCCTGCGTAAATGCTGATGGAAGTCCTGGGTGGTATCAAAGGGACCAAAGTGTAAGGAAGAGCCTGGAATATGGCAGTCAAAAAGTGATCCACTATTAATAGAAGCAACCCCCATGCCTTCAGGGGGCTGCAGGCCTCACATCTCACAGATCTTTTCTGCTAATTATGAAAGAAGTTTTGCCTTTGAATTCTCACTTTGTTTTACCCAGCCATTGCTAATTATATCTCCCTTAATCCTTTCCATCACGATGTACGTCCGCCCAGAATGAGTAAATGCATATAAGACTTTTGGTACTGGGATAGATATATGTTGTGATATGAAACGCATTATTGATGCTTTAGATAAATGTATATAGCACCCATATTTGATACATAGTTTACCAGTCAACATAAGAACATTCCCTTCTCGGGGTCAAATACGCTTGAGGACTTTGATCGCCAGAAGCGCCAAACCCCAGTACAGAAGGTTGTCATTGACTGGTTTGGATGCGCTCAATGGAGCGGTGGATGATGAGGAAGGAGGCCCATTTCGACGCGCGGACATTGTGTATTGGCTAGACGGGAAGTGCTTTAACAGGAATATCTCGTTCCTGGCTTCCAAAATGACTCGGTATGGGCAGTAAGGGAACGATCTAGAAGACCGAATGATGATTGACAATGTACAGTGACAAAATAGAAGTCTTGCGTTGGAAGTGGGTAGTGGGTGATGATGTGAAGCTAAGGTTCATGACCCCTGAACTTACATACGGAGTACACGTGATATCACCTGACCCTGGTGACCTGGTCTATTCTCGGGTTTGAGCGAGAACATACATGATACATATAGCCCCATTATACCCTCCACTGATATCGATCACTGAGCCGGTCAGTACTCAACCCAAGCGAAGAAGGAAACGAGGACTGCGCCTACCACCTTTTCAAACCGAGCGAGGGAAGGCTATTCGAGTGGTTCCGCGAGGCATGTCGCCAATAGTTCACTGTGTGCGCCACACGCAAGGCGTCCACAATCTCAGCCATGCACCCACCATTTGCCTGACCCCGAACTGACTCCCTTGGGAGAAGAGCAAGCCCGCGCCCTGGGTGCTAGATTCCCCCCATTGGAAAATATTCAACTGATTCTGTCCTCGCCCTTGCGACGCGCGATTCAGACCGCGCTGTTGGCCTTCCCCTCGCAGGTGAGGGACGGCGGCCTGCAGGTTGTCGCCTGGCCAGAGGTGCAGGAAGCAAGTGATCTCATCTGTGACACTGGTAGGGACCTGCTTGATATCAAGGCTGAGTTCGAGAAACTGCCGGTAGATTTTACTCTGGTAGAGCCTGGCTGGTACATCAAGGTACGCTTCCGGCCTTTAATCTGTGGGCTTAGGGTCAGGCTAAGCAAACTACACATGTATAGCAAGGAAAATGGGCCCCAATCGCGGGCAGACTTTTAGAGCGAGCTCAACTGGCACGGCAGTGGCTGAGCCAGCGACCTGAAAGGAGATCGTGGTGGTTTCCCATGGCTGTTTTCTGCATTTTCTCACGGATGACTGGGTGAACGCTGTTAATTCACATGGTGGGTTGTTGGCCTCTAATTTCCCACCGGCTCATGCTAATCCATATTGTAAAGCAACGGACTGGGCCAACGCTGAGGTTCGCTCCTTTGCTTTTGCACATGACGAGGGCGAAAGGCCGGCTTTATGTGAGACAATAGAATCTAGAAAAAGACGAGGATTGGGACCAGTCGCGCCGACCAAAGAACAACAGCTAGAGCTGCGACAGACGACATTGTGAATCTGGATCGAATGGGGTGTGATATTGGCGTGATCTATTTCGCCAGTGGTGTAGATGCTGGACCATGGAGTATCCTTATCAATAAGCCTAGGTCTATAAAATCATGCACTCTCTTTATCCAGCAGGGTCTACGTGCATGGAGGAGAATTATACAAATCACTAATCACAAAGTATACAGTGCCTTGTTGAATCTTTGTCCTCACCACTTCTTGCTGTGTCCTCTCTTTGTCCTTCTATCTACACCTATTGACCTCCGAGGTAATGAGCAAAGGATCCCGGACTTTGTCTGGTTGGAGCTCGGTGTCGATGATCTGGGTAACGGGTGTTGGTACGTCCGACACGGCCGGAGCTCGTTTGGATTGAAGGTCATAGTGTGCCTCTGGGGTCAATCAGATGCAGAAGATGGCTGAAGCAGTCCATGGGACTGCTGATTGCTGCACGCACACCAGCCGGACATACCAGATCTGTATGAGTGATTATGGGAGACTACTCATGCATGTGTGACTCAAAGAAGTCATAACTAAGAGCATCATTGCATATATTATGTGATTGGCATGTCTTATTTACTATCTCACCTGTCTTAGCAGTAGCTGAACTTTTCTAAAGGGTTGGCTGACCTGTAGTCACTGTTGAAGCCACATGCCAGCCAGTTAGTAGTTAGGTGGATGACCACCAGCGAACCCAGGCTTTTATATTCCTTTTTTTTTTTTTTGATCTTTTGCTGCTCCGGGAAGCTTTTCCTCGCGTGCATTGTGTTCGGGAACTCTGTAGAGGCCCGCTAAATGCCCGTGGACTAACTGTCACATGGAGCGCGGACAGAGGATCAGGGAAGGGCAATTAGAACAGTACTCAGCACTGTCCACTACCACAAAGGCCGCATCATATCAGGTCTTGGGACGGGGAAATGACCGAAAGTCCATTGACATATGCTGGAAACCGTGCTCCCCCGGATGGAAGTATCATTAATGGCTTTTTGCAGGTGGTTGTGCTGCGCATAGAGCAACGGGTGTGCGACAAATGGCACCCGCGGGAGCATTCTCTTGACCTTGGGCGACAACAGGCTCAGCTCGGATGGATGCGACATGCAAGGCAGTCAGAAACACATGGCCTGTCGCGAGCACGCTTTCTGCGAGGGCACCCGGAACGGATGGCAAAACGGAGCTCGAGCTAGGAGTGACAACCTGCTTGAACCAGTGGGGCAAGTCGGAGCTTCATACCCTATTCCTCTCCTTGCCAGCTGCAAAGGATCTGGGGTCCATCTTCGGCATCGCGTGCTATTATTACTGGATAGCTGACGCCTCCAGCGCTTGAGCCCGGTACTATCGTCTCATCCCACAAGGGCTTCTGAGGATGGGTAAGGGCTCCTCAGTTTCTGCTTCAGAAGATGCCAAGCTGACCTGGTCTCTGACTGCTGGCTGCGATGCTACGTCATAATGTCAGCAGATTGTCTCTGGTTTCGACAAAGCAATTCAACTTACGTGGCGGGCGAGGCCACCAGCACGGCTCCGGCGGAAACCTCCACGCTGACCCCGGGGCTGCTGCGACGTCATCTGCCTCTGTAGCATCAGGTGCTAATGAAAAGAGATGCTTGGTGTCTCCAAGTGTATGGGCAGGGTGATGTACCGCAATCCCACTCTGCATTACCACGAACAGGACGAAGTTTTGTTGTTCCAGACGCAATTGGCACACGCGCCGACGAAAAGGGCGCGATGCTGTCCGTCATGCCAATGCCTGCACTAGCCTGCTTTTTTCCGGATACTCGCAGCTCCTCCAGAGAACTGACCCCCCAGATCTGGGTTACTCCCCCTCCGTTTGAGCTGCTTGAAAACCCACTCAGCTATATCAGCGATATCAATGGCTGGGACATCGCTAAAGGGTTGGAGGTCGTAGAAGGACACCACCCCCTGGGAGTTCTTCCGTTTCGACTGTGTCTGATGGACGTAGGTGCCACCATCCGTCCCCAATGCTGACAGGAGCAGGTATAGTTTGCCGTATGCGTCCATCCTCGCGTAGACCAGGCGGCGTAGGTGAGGATCGGTGAGATGATCAGGTTTGAATGTACCGATTGGAACTCCATCCATGCCTTTGTAAAGTAGAGCTTGTTGACTCATTTCGCTGAACTTTGGCTTTCGATCTTGAGCGTTGGCAGGCTGATCACAGGCCGGTTGGCTGCGATTGGTTTTGACCTTTTGGGTTCTTATGTATGGGAGTTCTGGGTCCATCTGGGCTGTGATTTGATCTTCCGGGATAGCCGTCTTTGGATCCTCTTGTCCACTGTTCGGGATCATACTCGTCCTCAACGAGTTCGATAGATGATGACATCGTGTAACCTTTGTAAAAGGAAAAAAAAGAGGATGAATCTTAATGGATAATGGATCCCGGGGAACAGAGATAACAGGACGAACCCGTCCGTCGGTGTGTAATAAGTGGATATATTCGGGTGCTGAGATGCAATGACGAAAAGTGCCAGCACCGTTCGAACAGGACTTACAAGAATCTTCGCATTCGATGCCCCGCGGATACAAAAGGACAGCGTTCTGGTGAGCTTCACTAGTAATAGCCTTGGTAACATCGACATCATTACGTGACGCCCGCTCGAGCTCGCGCTCAGGATCCATCAGTTTGACCAAGGACTCCTGTGTCTTACTGAGAACGAAAGGGACTTCGCGTTGGGCGGCCGCAAGGGCATCCTCACGACTGGGGATAGTAACGACCGTTCTGGGTTTGAATGAAGCAGCTTGATAACCGAGCAACTGAATGAGACGAACACGAGAAGGCAAAGAAAGTGACTGCAGCAGTTCTCCTATCTGCACAAAAAGTAGTCTCGCCAGGGGATTATTCATCGAGGCTTGAACTACAAGGCGTCTGGCGCGACGAGCGAGAAAAGTTGGGAGTATTTATACCTGAGGGAGAGGTTAGCACTGCTGCTTCCCTTTGGGGGCATTCGCGGCTTGGGCTGCTCAAGCATCTGCTGACTGCTAGTTTGTATCGATAGGTCATTGCCTGGTAGGACCTTCACCCAGTATGGGGTGGGTCAAGATAGGATCTGTAGGTGTATCACACGCGAAGACTTCAACGGAGCCACTGCAGCCCCCGAATGGTGAGGTAGGCATGTTTCCTATTATAATAATATTCGTTAGCCAGATGGTCCAGGTTAAAAAAGTAGTAGAAAGAATAGGAAGTTTGATAGGAAATAAAAGATCGAAGGTAGGAAACAGAATAACAAATATCAGATAAGCACGAGTGGGAACCTTACCTGAATAGTATGTCACCATAAAAGCGAGTACTAATCGCCTTGACTTCGTCCATGAAGAACAGGAGGGCAGCGGCCCAGGCCACGTACCCAGTGTCTCCAGGCATTAGACGGAGTGCTTTCGCGGAACGATACTCGTCCCAGTCATCCACGGTAGCCTGGCTATCGGGATACAGAATGTGTGCCATCTCGGCACGGCGTCCTTCGAGGAACTTGTTGTACGCTTCGCTCTGCAGAAACATCAGCATAAAGACCGCTCTTCACCAAACAATCAACGGAGAAACGTATTCCCTATTTAGTAGGTATAATGAAATGATAGATTTGAGCAGTTTAGAAGATTGGAAGACTGGAGTAGGAGCAGTATGATTAAGAGGAGGAAAAACTGCCACTATGTCTGCTTCGCAGCCATCCGTCATTGATCGACCTGATCTTTGCATGGCTTTAATCGAGTTGGCTTTTTTGCAGCTCATTGAGAAATGTCGAGAGGGACTTGATCAAGGCAACATTTACTTGGTCTTCCCCTTCCGAACGGGACCTCTCGTCCGAAGTCAGAGCAGAACTATCCGAGGGCCTCGAGAGGAATTATATGGATGTGGAGACTGCTTGATTTTGATGAAAGGATATTTGATAATGATAGGGGTAGAGGAGGCATTGGAGTGCAACCATCTGGTCCAAGAGATACAGAGAGAAAACAATGAGAGGAGAGGGACGAAGGGAAGAGAAGGGAACATTCAGATCCTAGAGGTCTGGCAGACAGACAGGGTAAAGGTGGATAGAAAGATGGAAGCTTACATTATTGCGGCTCCGGACTATACCCTTCTGTGTTATTGCAGGCTGTCCGTGGCTGATCTTCTACTTTGCCCGTACAATCTCGGGGATTCATCGATGCACCGATATCTGTAAGGAGATTTTCGCGTCGCACGCCCAAATCGAAGAGATGAGGACGCGGGACTGGGAGCAGATCAGAGCAAACACGGTGCCTTGGACTATTAGACCTGGTCCCATGTTGTAGAAGTCATCATCATCAAGTAGGAAGCATCATTGTAGACGAAATATGGTGGCAAAACGCGCTGAGGAAGATCAAGATGTCCACCTAACCACAGGTACCAGAAGGAGAAGAGGGAAAGACCACTGTATTTATACCCCAGATGGCGAATATAGGCCTCATTCACTGCTCTGAGGCTCTACATTCACTTCATTCTTTGGAGACATTGCCCTCATGGCTCTGGACTCTTCCCAGTGACGTATTCCTTTGTGGTGAAGGAAGGCTACAGGCACCGTTTGTCAGGGGGGACAAACCTATGGCAGTAGTAAGCACATCATTAAGAATTTTGCATGGCCTAGGACCAGCAGGTATCCTTAATGGAAGGACAATTCCGGTGGCTTAGAACAGATTCATTATCCTCTGCGGGAGGCCACCGCAGAGAACAAAAGTGGAAAAAATTGCACTGGTTTTCTTGACTCAAACTTATATTCGAGTCTTTACTTTGAACCGTCATCCAAAATGGTCTGCCAAACTCTCGGAACGTTGCCCTCGATCGTAGGAGTATAGATTCAGAAGAACGTGTCCTGCGGATCAAGCTTTCGGCTACAACCTAGCAACGGGCATCCCAAGGGCACTTCGTAGACTAAGGAGTAAATACGAAGGGAATGAATTTTCTTCAAGTATCCAACACGCCAAGAACCGTTCGTATTCCCAATAGAACATCACCATGAACTGACACTAAAATCGGCTATAAGCGGATGACTCATACGCGTCTCACTCTAGTAAGCAGACAATAAGCAAGCCAAATCGTCACGTAGAATACATCTCTTGACGCACAGTAATAATCCTACTAACAAGCCAAATTAAACAAAGCCAAGGACCACCATGGCCTGCACCCTGGTCCCCATCAACCTGCATAATCCAACCGAGTACGCCGAGCTGCAGGCCCAGCGCGTCCAATGCGGCTGGGACGCAGAAGACAGCAAGATCCTTGTCTGGCGCGAGAAGCAAGACCAGAACCTGAAATCGTTCTTTTGGATCACACTTCCCGCCCAATCTCCTCCAAGGGACGATGCAGACGACCAGGCAGATGAGAAACGCACTGTCCGCGCAGGCCACATAGCCCTAGACGCCTACGCGGACCCTCCAGACCCCGAACTCGCTTGCACCGACAAATCCGTCATGACGATCCAGAGCTTTTTTATCCTGCCAGAGTACCGCGGTAATGGTCTCGGTGGAAAAGCCATGGATCTGGTCGAGGGGATGGCGAGCCAGGAGCCGTGGGGGAGTCCGGCCTGCCGCTTTGTGACGGTCAATGCGATGAGCAGGCGGTATTTCTACGAGGACTGGCCTGAGAAACTTGCGCTGTGGGAGACGTGGGCGGACAACCCGCCAGTGATGTGCAATGTGGATTGGTATACGCGGCGGGGCTACGTATATTGGAAGACGGAGCCTCGGTATCGGGAGAGGTTGAAGAGCGGGGAGGAGATTCTGATCTTGGCGGATTTTTTGAGGAAGGCTATTACCCGATAGATGCGAAGCAGGTTTGGGCTCGTCTCATGGTGAATGCAAGAGTGTGGTTGGGATGCGAGTGACGACGATTGACGATGCGAGGAGATGTACATAGAGTCGGTTGTCCTTGCATTTCAGGAAAGCACCAGCAATAATTTATCCCGTGCAGTGAGCCAGTAGGCCCAGTACTAGAGCATTGATAGCTTGAAATAAGCTTTGTCGAGGATCGGCTGAAACGAAGGTAGTACCCAGATGTGAGATTCCTTGCTTCTACGCCACCATCGGGCCATGCATGATCAACAGATCATGCATAGTCCGTTGAGAGAGCCTTACTGTATATCTATATGAACAACAAGTCCTACGGTTTCATCTCGTCTAATAGAAGATCAACAGCCCGGCCATTGCCAACCAATATATAAAAGGCCCGAACAATCGAGCCTTCTCCCGTCATCATCATTAACACTCTTCTCTCAACTCAACAAACGTTCTCGTCTCTCAAGCTCCAAACCAAAACCCAAACTCCAAAATGCAGTTCTCTACCATCCTCTCCCTCCTCGCCGTTGCCGGCATGACCGTGGCTGCCCCTCCTGTCGTCCGTACGTCTCCTCATACCCCAGAGTAACCCACTCAACTAACGGACCAGGCCCCCAATCCAATAACAATGGTGTCCTCGGCCTGAATGTCGCAGATACCACAGTCCCCGTCGACGTTGATATCCCCATCCAGGGCAACAACGTTGCCAACAACGTCGCCAACGGTTTGCTCGAGGGCGGCGCGAACCTCGACCACACCGTGGACGGTCCGTTGAACGTTGCTGCGCTTGGCGAAGCAGATCAGGTTGCCCCCAAGGGCGTATTGCCGCCTTTCTAGATGAAGGTCATGTAGGAACGGTATGTAGTCTGTGCTTGGTGGCTGGTCACGGCTAATGTTAATGGTGTTGGTAGATCGAGATGAGTAGATATAGTCGAGGATGCTGGTTCGATGTGTAATTAGGTCGTAATGGGTGGTTATGGTGAAAATGAGATAGTCTTCTGGCTTCTCTTCACGGTGGATATAGTCTAATAAGAAAAATGCCTTTGATTGTCAATATATGGAGTTGATCCTGTAGATCAGTATAAGACTTTGAGTTGGACACAGTACGAATTGGGCGCAACGCTGACTATCACCATAATTCTATAACCTCCAATAAAGACAATTATAATAGATTTACACAATATCAATAATGGTGCAGAACTTGAAGCAGATCTGAGTCCCGCAATGTCCAGGCAATCCTTCATTCCAGCCAAGAAGTCAATTTGCTTTGCAGCATGTAGGAAATTGCCGAGTAAGACATCCCAAATGACCAAATAACGATAATAACATTGCAGACCAATCAATAACGACAATTTCCCTGTCAATCCCTTGTTGTCCATCTGCGCAGTCTTGGGTTACAGCGCTAAGGGCCTACTCCGCTGATAGCCATCCTCCGTCTACAATTGTTTGCTTGGCAGGCGAGAACAGACAATTTGAATGGTAGATATCGTGCTCAAAAGCTATCTCCTGGGAATTCTCCGTCGGGATTAAAATGATACAATCATCTTGGCTCTGGTATGCGGGGTCATTCCCCCATATTTAAGGTCGGGGTAGCCATGCAAGTAGCTCGCCGTGTCGCCAGCCGCAATCAAAATGAAGGTATGTACTTTATCATACAAACCAGAGAATGCATAGGCTAACAATCACAATTAGTGGTCAATTCTCCTTCTGGTCGGCTGCGCTGCCGCCATTGACGTCCCTCGTCACCCATATGCCCCCATTGGAAGCGGCAAGAAACGACTGACCTTCAATGAGACGGTCGTCAAGCGAGCCATTTCCCCCTCGGCCATCTCAGTCGAGTGGATTTCCACCTCAGAGGATGGAGACTATGTCTACCAAGACCAGGATGGCAGTCTGAAAATCCAGAGCATCGTCACCAACCACACCCAAACCCTCGTCCCTGCGGACAAAGTGCCAGAGGATGCCTACAGCTACTGGATCCATCCCAATCTCTCCTCGGTGCTCTGGGCCACCAACTACACCAAGCAATACCGCCACTCGTACTTTGCCGACTACTTTATCCAGGACGTGCAGTCCATGAATCTGAAGCCCCTCGCTCCGGAGCAGTCCGGCGATATCCAGTACGCACAGTGGAGTCCCACCGGCGACGCCATCGCCTTTGTCCGCGGCAACGATGTCTTCGTCTGGACCAATGCCTCGACCAGCCAGATCACCAACGACGGCGGGCCGGATCTCTTCAATGGCGTCCCGGACTGGATCTACGAGGAGGAGATCCTGGGCGACCGGTTTGCGCTGTGGTTCTCGCCGGACGGCGCTTATCTCGCCTTTCTGCGGTTCAACGAGACAGGGGTCCCGACCTTCACCGTGCCGTACTACATGGACAATGAGGAGATCGCGCCGCCGTACCCGCGCGAGCTGGAGCTGCGGTATCCCAAGGTGTCGCAGACGAATCCCACCGTGGAACTGAACCTGCTGGAGCTCCGCACCGGCGAGCGGACGCCTGTCCCAATCGATGCGTTTGATGCGAAGGAGTTGATCATCGGCGAGGTGGCGTGGTTGACGGAGACGCATGACGTCGTAGCTGTCAACGCGTTCAACCGCGTGCAGGACCGGCAAAAGGTCGTCGCTGTGGATGTGGCCTCGCTCAGGACCAAGACCATCAATGAACGTGACGGTACAGACGGGTGGCTAGATAATCTGCTGTCAATGGCGTATATCGGGCCCATCGGCGAGTCCAAGGCGGAGTACTACATCGACATCTCCGACCAGTCCGGCTGGGCGCACCTCTGGCTGTTCCCTGTTGCCGGCGGTGAGCCCATCGCCCTGACCAAGGGCGAGTGGGAAGTGACCGACATCCTCAGCATCGACAAGCCGCGCCAGCTGGTCTACTTTCTCTCCACGAAACACCACAGCACCGAGCGCCATCTCTACTCTGTCTCCTGGAAGACAATGGCCATCGCCCCCTTAGTCGACGACACCGTCTCCGCCGTCTGGTCCGCCTCCTTCTCATCGCAGGGCGGATACTACATCCTCTCCTACCGCGGGCCCGACGTGCCCTACCAGGACCTCTACGCCATCAATTCTACCGTGCCCCTGCGCACCATCACCAGCAACGCGGCCGTGCTCCACGCTCTGAAACAATACACCCTGCCTAACATCACCTACTTCGACCTAGACCTTCCCAGCGGCGAAACCCTCAACATCATGCAGCGCCTTCCGGTCAAGTTCTCCCCAAAGAAGAAGTACCCCGTTCTCTTCACCCCCTACGGCGGGCCCGGCGCACAAGAAGTCTCCAAAGCCTGGCAAGCCCTCGATTTCAAGGCGTACATCGCCTCAGACCCCGAGCTCGAGTACATCACCTGGACCGTCGACAACCGTGGCACAGGGTACAAGGGCCGCGCGTTCCGGTGCCAAGTCACCAGCCGGCTGGGCGAGCTGGAAGCCGCGGACCAGGTCTTCGCCGCGCAGCAGGCCGCCAAGCTCCCCTTTGTGGACGCAGACCACATCGCCATCTGGGGGTGGAGTTACGGTGGTTATCTGACGGGCAAAGTCATCGAGACCGACAGCGGGGCGTTCTCGCTTGGTGTGCAGACGGCTCCGGTCTCGGACTGGCGGTTCTATGACTCGATGTACACGGAGCGGTATATGAAGACGCTGAAGAGCAACGCGGCAGGGTACAATGCCAGTGCGATCCGGAAGGTAGCGGGGTACAAGAATGTGCGTGGCGGGGTGCTGATCCAGCATGGGACGGGGGATGATAATGTGCATTTCCAGAATGCGGCGGCGCTGGTGGACACGCTTGTTGGGGCGGGGGTGACGCCGGAGAAGCTGCAGGTGCAGTGGTTTACGGACTCGGATCATGGGATCAGGTACCATGGGGGAAATGTGTTTTTGTATCGGCAATTGTCCAAGAGGCTGTATGAGGAGAAGAAGAGGAAGGACAAGGGCGAGGCGCATCAGTGGAGTAAGAAGTCGGTTCTGTAGATTTGCACGTTGGGCTTAGACATGGCAGCAATCGTGTCCAATTTCACTTGCGCATCTTATAGAGCCCAAATACGTCTAGTGCTCCGTTTCTGCAACAAGTCTAGGTGCAAGGCGGAGGCAGCACATCCTTTCCAAGTCTGAAATCAGCCGCTGTGGATGCACACAGTTGAGGAGGGATATCTCCACTCAACTCCTGACATGAGTGAGATAATGACAGATACCATCCATAGGGCTGTAAGCCACCAGCATGGATCTCTCTCCCTAAGATAATTTGGTAGCATGATGGTCATGTCTAGAGATCCCGTGATCTCGGACGCGTACCTGATCGCCATCTTCAGGCCTGAAGTAGCATCCTGAAGCCTCGGGAGATGCAGGTCGAGGAGACGATATGAGTCCGAGCACGACATTGCGCCTGCGATCTTTTTTGGCTGCTAAGTTCTAAAGAGATGATTGACTTGGTGATGAGAGAAAAGTCATGGTAAGGTAGTGGGTGTCGTTCCCAAACGGGCAATGTGTCGACAGAGACTAACCTCAATGAAGTTAGACCTGGAAGGGTTATCCCAAAGAGGTAGTCAGATCAACATAGGTAATCTCTGGCCCTGAAGACACCATCCAGTCTTGATTGATACATTCAAAAGGATTCTATATGAAAGCATATGCCCGGCTGTTGTGCGTTTCTCATTTGAGTAGTTTCGCGACTTTGCGACCATGAAGTATTCTGAAAGGTCAACTTATAGAGTCTTCGGCCATGCAGCGTGCCAGCGACGCGTCTGATCATCATAAGCAGCTTAAGCTTATGCCATTCATCAATAATAATAACCATGATTCTCATCACGGTCCAACGCTAGACAGCACCACGGGTCGATTTGCTCCGTCAAACTCTGTCTCCAGCTCGCTTGATAGGCAGAGAGAGACAAGGCAGACTCAAAGTGGCTGTGATGGGGGCCTAGCGGACGAGGCTCCCCCGCCAGGCGGCCTCGCTGGTATTTAAACTCCACGAATTCACTCAAGCGACTTGAAATGCATATCTAGTAATAAGCTATTGTGAAAATGTCTCTGTCTGTGTCAACGGCCGAGATTCTGGTGTCTGACCTTCCCACCAAATCGGTCACTCTGACTCCGCTCAGAGCGACAGTGGTTCGTGAAATCCAGACTACTATCCAGGTAAGTGCTTTCTGCGATTTCTAATATGTATGCTAATTTGTACAGCCCGGTCAGAATGAAATTACCATCCTTGGGCTCGATCCTCAGGTTGACCCGGATTCCATCCGTGTCGACGGCTCCGGTTCCGCAACCATCACCGACATCCAGACCGACAAGGTTCCTCGCCGTGAGAATTTCGAGGATGTCTACCCTGAAGAGTCGGACAATGAGTCCAGTGACGCATTGGAAACCGACCCGGATGAAGATTTCGGCATCGATGATTCGGAGCTTCAGGCGGTACGAAAAGAGATCGCAGAGGTTGAGGCTGCTCTCGCCAAAGCGCGTGGCAATCAATCCATGTCTCTCGCCGTTTCGACTATAATGGAAGGCTACGGGAAGAAATTGAGTATGGAGAATGCGGACGCGGCGAAGCTGAATGATTTCCTCCAGCTTTACGTCCAGCAGCACTCGGTCGAATGCGAACGTCACCACGAGTCTGCAGTGGAAATCCGAGAGGCCGAGAAAAGCCTAGAGCGACTCAATCGAAAGCGAGCACGACTGGAAACCACGTATAACAAAGCCAAGGAGGCTGCTTTGAAGGATGTTCGTAAAGAGCGCAGGAAGCGCCTGCGGGAGCGCGAAGAGAAAAAGAAGAAACAGCAGCAGTTGCGAGACGAGCGAAAGCGGTTCTGGACCCATACCGTCAGTCAGGTCGTGGTCCATCTCGACAGTCACTTGATGACTCCGGGATCGAGCCGACGTAGCTCGATCGTGGAAAAGGTTGGGAGTAGCGCCGATGTTGTAGACGTGACCCTGCGTCTGACATATGTGATTCCCGGTCCCTGCTGGGTGTCTCGCTATGATCTCAGGATCAGCACTCCTTCTTCGTCGGCTCGTCTGACCTACCGCGCCGAGTTCCATAACTCCTGCTCGGAGACATGGCGCGACGCCCAAGTCACCTTGTCCACCTCCCAGGCTTCCTTTTCCGGGCTCGAGGAGCGCATTCCTCAACTGCAAGGCTGGCATATCAAGTTGGATCCCAACAACGCAGGCCAGCCTTCGTGGAACAACATCTTGCGCAGTCTTGACGAGCCTGGTCAGCCCCTTCAGACTCACGCAAATTCACTTAAACAACAGCTTGTGGCAATGCAAATGGCAAATCAACAGCGGCTTAAAAATGTGTCGCAAGTACAGATGCAGGCCTCGCAGGTTGCGCCCGTCTCACTGTTCGGAGCTCCACCGCGCCCGGCCGCTCAATCGGGCTTGTTTGGCTCTTCAAGCGCACAACAGCAAATGCAAACTCAGCAACAGACTCAGATCGAGCGCGTGACTGAGCGGGGAGAGAGGTTGGATAGCCTACCTGCGCCGGGTGGGTTCGGGATGGCCATGCGGGCACAAGGACCGGCAACAGCCCCATCTGGGCCCTCATACTTCAACAGCGCCGGCTTGAATACCGACAACAACGACGACGAAGAGGACGAAGACGAGGATGAGGACAGCCAAACCCTCGCGGCAGCCAGTCTGGAGCATCAGGACTCCGTCAAACAAGACTACGGCTTGACTACGACATACGACCTTCCAGGGCGCCGGACGCTGGTGCCGTCGAGCGTGCATCGGCGGCACGTGCTGGCCGAGCTGGACCTAAAGTCCATGACCCTCACCCACATCATCGTGCCCAAGATCCGCGCGGCGGCCTTCCTGCGCGCCCGCATCCAGAATACATCCTCGGTAACCATCCTCCGCGGCCGAGCGGGTATGACAGTCGACGGCACGTTCCTGGGAACGACCAGCTTGCCCAACTGCGCGCCGAACGACGCCTTCAATACCTCTTTGGGCGTCGATCCGTCGATCCTGGTGACGTACGCGAAGCCGTCTGTCCGCCGCGTTGGAGGCGGGTTCTTCAGCAAGGAGCATACGGCCGTCTTCCGACGGACGTGCTGGGTGAAGAACACCAAGAGCATCGCCGTTGATCTGATTGTATCCGAGCAGGTACCGCTGAGCGAGGACGATAAACTGCGTGTGCAGATCCTCGAGCCAAAGGGGCTGGAAAAGGAAGGCGATCAGGTGAAGATGGCGATGGAGGGCAAGGGCAGGGGGAGCGTATCCCTGGCCAAGAACGGCGAGGTCAAGTGGATGTTGAAGTTGCAGCCGGGCAAGGATATCCGATTGGCACTGGAATATGAAGCCAAGGTCCCTCAGGGATGTCAGGTAGAGATTGTCAAATAAGCAATTGCAATCATAGCTAGCTTATCAATCTATCGTCTATCGTCATGCGTCATGCGTCATGTATCTACAAAGTCCAGTAACGTGCTATGCTACCAGTCAAAACTCCCTGGTATCCGCTGCCCACACCCTCGATCTTTATCCCCTTCCTCCCCCGGCTTTGTTTTCTCTTCAACAGCAGCATCCCCCCACCTCTCTTTCCAGCATGCCAACTCCTCCCGCCAGAGATCAGTCACGCACGGATCACACGAGCTCCCACAGCACTCCCCCAGCCCCGGCGGCGGCGGCGGATCATCATATTCTCGCGCCGCAGCCCGGAGAAGCTGTTTCCGGCGGGTGGTGCTCAGCCGTTTGGCGTTTTTGATGCGCGGGACGGACTCGGGGGTGTAGAGGGGTGTTGGCTTCGATTCTGCTGGGTCTTTGAGCGCTGTGATGGTTGGTACGAGGGAGGTGAGTGTCATGTTGTCTATGTTGTTAGCTTGGACGAAGTTGCATCTGATGATCCAACTGTACCTGGAAGGAAGAATGATTTCCCGGGTATGGTTAGTCAGCTGCTTGGTGGTTTCGGCAGGGATTTGTGGTAGTCGGTGAGGGTTGGGATATGAAGTGGATTCATGATATGGACATGATTCTTTTCGATTGTCTTCTGTCTTCAACTGGTATTGCTGAGTATTGGCATGTTGATAAAGGCCATCTCATCCCGGGAGTGCCCGTTACTGTGGAGTGCGGAGTGTGGGGTATCACCATCAGCATCAGCATCAGCATCATGTTTTGGCAATGTTAAGACAAGTATGGAGTAGCTATGGGTGTCATGAAGTGATCGTTGAGCTACTCTTGAAATCTACTGCTGAGAGATGTCAGTATGGAGTGGCCTAGAGCGCGCAAGTGCTTGACCTTGACGTTGGCTTTGGTTGAGTTGAGGCCAGTCAGGTATGCAAATCAGAGGTGATATGGAAGAATATATATCAATATTCACTACTCACTACAAGACTTAATTTCTCAGAGTGCAATTATCTACTGCGTAGTATTAATTTTTAATTCATATAACCATAGTGAAGACAATATATATCGATAGTCTAGAGCGCCGACCCTTGTCCCACCAACACCATTAACTCTATTCTGCAGTATATAGTAACAGATACTCACTCTGCTCTACAATCTCATCCTTGTTAAATTTACGCACTTCATCCCTCTAATTCCTCACCTGAGATATCTTATCACATGACAAGCCATCACCATAACAACGCGCAGAATATCCCATCCACCCTTTCAGAGTACATAAGCAGAAATCTGCATAAGAAATATGACTCATTCTTCAGCTAATCCCTCTCGCATATGACTGGAAGAGTACTCAGAAAATACCCGGCATTTGCTGCAGACAGCCACGACATCCCGAGCTCGCATCGAATCGGAAACGAGGCCTTGCCCGTCGTCCGAAGGTACCTTGCTTCCGTGCAGGCGGTGACTCGGCAACTGGCAAGCTCCCCTGTCGGGATTCAGTGATCCTTGTCCTTTGTTGATGGTGTATCAATTGAGCTGAGCTATCGCTGTCATTGCATATGCGTCCTGCGTTCTGCATGTATGTATCCATTCCCAACGTCTCATTTTTGTGTATTGAGCAAACAAATGGTGAGTCGCGTTTGTGATTCGGATTGCCGAGCCGATCAACCGCACGTACGGCTATTTCAGTCAAACTGAACAGATGGCTACGCAACGCAATTGATGCATTGGATGATTTCTTACAAGATAATATAGTTTACAAGGAGGATTAGATGATAATTGTCCGTATTGAACAGTAGAGTAGCTGGGATGAAGCCGGGAAGCGCCGACCCATATCCGCCGCGGCAGTTGCCTCCAGATCGTACACTTTCTGTACTGACACTGCAAGTGACAGATTCAGTCTAGTTTACTGAAAGATGAAATACAAGAGATAGATGAGAAGCTCCCAGGTGAGTGGCCATTTTAAACTCTATATGTACAGTTTATTTGATTGGGATGATTGCTGGCGGAAAAGTAGTACATGATATATCAAAAAGACCACCACAAATTACCTCTAAAACACACACCCCCCGAGCCAACGCACACAACGCCGGACGGAGAAGTCGAAAGCAAGAAGTTTCGGTCTTGATTTCATCACAGACATGCAGTCGTATGGCAGGAATTTTTTCGATTCGACTCGATTCGATTTCGTTCAAAACCAGGGCGACGGGCACATCTTGACCATAGAGGCCACGTTTAGACGTACTTGCACATCATGGCAACCATCAGGTCGAACAGACCGATGGCTTCGACGAAGGCGAAACCCAGAATGGCGTAGGAGAAGAGCTGACCACGCAGAGCAGGGTTGCGGGAGACACCGAGGAGGAGGGCACCGAAGACGAGACCGATACCGATACCGGCACCACCGAGACCGATGGCGGCAGAGCCCATACCCATGTTCTGGGAGACCTGGACCATGGCGTCGGCGATTTCAGAGGAGTACTGGCGGCGGGACTGGACGTTGGCGAAGACCTGGCGAGCGTTGGCCTGGATGAGGCTGGGCTGCTGACGCTTGATGGTCTGGAAGGGGGTCATGGGGAGGGCGGTCTTTCTCTGGGTGGTGAAGGTCCGCTTGGGAGCCAGCTGCAGACGAGCGGCAGGGCGGGCAACCTTGGTGGTTGCGGCCATCTGGGAGGCCAGGCGAGAGGCAAAGACACGAGAGGAGGCCATTGTGATTTTTGTGGTGGTGGTTTTGAGATGAGATGGATGGAGTGTGTGGGAGGAGAAAGGGAAAAAAAAAAGAGGAGAGAAAGGAAAAGGAGAGCTGGGAGAGCTTTTGGGGGGAGAAAAAGGCGGGAAGGCAGGATTACCCAGAGACCCATCTAGGACATAAATACTTCCATGCCGAATTTTCACCAGTCGGGGTTAGTGCGTTGGGAAGCCCTATCTACAATGGATATCTGTTTCATTCCCTCATCGACCAGACAACCTACCTGATGGACTTATCGGGTTCGTCCGGGTTATGGCCAAGGTGGCATTTGTCCTGGTACAGCCAATTATTCAGGGTCCTTGCACGCCGCACAGCTCCGTAGAGTCCACCAGACTAACCATCGTGATCATCCACTGACTCTACTGTTGAATCGATATTTATACAATTTACTGTTATCTCACTACACGCTATTAGTCAATTGAGTCATTGACAATAAATCAAAGCAATTGACAAAAGACTGGCAGAACAAAAGGAGAGCAGAGCTGGAGCTGGACAAGCAGGATGGATGACGAATTTTTTTCTCGTGCGGTGGATCGAATTATGGGTCCGATAATTTGGTTCGGCCCACCCGATCCAGAGCTCTCCGCCAATCATAAGCGGCAACCAAGCAGGCCGCCGTGTCGGAGTCAATAAACCCGGGCCGATTCGGGCTGCGGCTCCACCAGAACCGGAGTTTGCACGCCAGAATCGACCAGAACAGGACGAGACCAGCCACTGGCTTCGGCTGGAGGGAAAAATAGTCCTCTTGTTCCGAGGGAAACTGCCAAAGTGTCTCACCGGCTGGGTTGGTGCTCCAGGCTGTTGAAAATTGAGAAGAACGCTGGTCCTAAGCAGCTCACCAGCTCTGTCGTTCAAGGCGGCCTCTGTAGTGAGCAGAATCGAGAGGTCGAATGCGACTCGTCCGAGGGAGCTGCACCAGTTATATATCCCTGAATACATCAGAGGGTTCGCCCTGTTTTGCCTTTCTCCGAAGCAGGCTAGAATCCTCCGTTGTTTTAGCCTGAAATTTCTGCAGATAGATCATCCTGAGGTCACCGACAGTTACCACACCCCGGAGGACATGTGTAGTCTACGTGTTGTTGCTAGAAAGTTGACATTAATCTCTTGTCTTTAACAATACCTATCTACAGACTTCCTGAATATAAACACTGATCAATTGATCAGGTACTGTGTTGAGTTGAAAAGGAGGTAATTAGCAGTTAGCGTCCTGCAGGTTAGCCTCACTCTCAGCCTCATTTCCCGGCAACTGATCATCATGACTGGGTGATTGCACATGCAGGGTTACGTAAGCGACCTCTGGAATTATTCCCTGCCAATGATTGGAGCATGCGTATTGCTCTTAAGCTACCGACTCTGCCGACTTTCTCCGATACTCGCTCTCAACAGTATCCTGCTACGTGAGTACTCATATAGTACGGAGTAGATTGATATTCGAGAGATCATGATGTATGAATTGAAGCATTTGAGCTGTAAATATTTCAGATATTTCTGATATAGAGAGTGGTTCATTCCTTATGGTAATTGGTGACTCCGACCGGAATGAATCGGACTGTTGTGCCTGAGGCAGCTAGGCAGCTTGTTACCTGTTTTGGATTGCTCCGGAAGCTTCAGCCGAAGTCACAATTCAGCAGCAGCAGATATACCGATATACAATGAGCCTGCATAGTAGACATTATCTACTACCGAGTACATAATCTATTGGCTCGACTACTATGAAGTAGTAGACGATGCTAATTGACTTCATAAGGCTGCAATCAAAGTATCATTGGCAAGGTCTTTAGACTACCCTATGATTAGTAGTCAACGGTTATTTTGCATCGGGGTAATTAACGTCCAGACTTGACTTAATTGTAGTAATTGGCCTGAGCCTTTTGGTTAAAGTATATATGAACGGTCATCAGCGTTTATTCTGGGGTGGTACTTCAAGACGGCATAGAGTCGGTTATATATTTTCGGCTGGATACAGGCTAGGATACTAGGTAGGATAAGATCATTGGAATCACAATGACATCTACTAACAACAGATGTTTAATTTAACCATCAGTCTATTTAGATGGCTCCAGCGACCTCCATATTAGATCGGCAGATTTACTAACTACAAGTGCTGCAAGCCAGATAATTATGGTTCTGTGAAGCCATACTCTATTACATCAACAATTCGGACACGAGATGGACAAGAACATCAACAGAAGACAAAGAGAGGATGATTCAACATGCGGAGATTAATAATCAAAGTCATCACCTCTCGCCCTCATTCTTCGACTCCTATATATCCCACTGGCTTCACACATCTCCTAGTCCTGAGCTAAAGCAGTGGCACACTAGGACGTTGGTTTGCAGTGTACGTCTGCAAATACTCTCTGAATCACTGAATTCATGACCACTAACATTACTCTAGACTACGATCAATTGCAATGGCTGCCATTGCTCTCTTAGTGCGCTATTGCCTGAGTTGATTGAATCAAGGGCGATGCTCATATCTGGCTATGATGCGCCACTGGAATGCCAGACTGGAACAACTCATTCCATGACAAATCAAACAATCTCATCGACAACACACTAGTTTCTGCCTACTACCCTTCTGCTCCCCCAGATTGACCATCAGAAGCTGCTTTCCGCAGCTCGGCACCCTGATCTCCCTTCAGCCAACAACCCTCCATCGCTGCAAAGCATGTTCAAAACTCATAATCCTCACTTTTGCAGGGACTCAGGAAAGTTGATCAAAGATCTTCCAAAGATAGTATGGGCTAGCGTGACACAGTGAAGACATTCTCTTGTCCATGGAACAGTCCAAAGGATGAGTTTCTGGTACAGTATGCTATACTTCACAGATTCTGATCTGATGTTATCCATCAAGAGCGAGGATGATCAAAGCCAGTTCCTCCCTGAGGACAAGGTCCGAGCGAACGGACCTTTCCCCTTGTTGACAGATATCTTGATCTCCATGTCTTCTGCGGACTACGACGCAGTGGCCATGTTAAGTGATTTCAGCCACTGGCTCTACCACCACTACATCGACGCTTCGCATTCCACCGATCGACCTCTTGACGCACGATGTCCCTCTACATCCCTGTTCGACTCGATTCTCGGTGTAACCTTCCAATAGCAAGGCCATGCTTTTGGGTTTATGAAGAGCTGACATGCCGATCGACCCAGGGGCGTCATTTCAGCTTTTCCACAACATTCTTGGCGCATGGCGTGAGCTCACACGCTGGGAATCTGCCAAAGCGTTAAGCATCAACACCATTAATAGGCGTCTTCAAAGGGCAGGGTCTCAGCATCAACGTAAACAAACAAACTTATTCAATAATATAATAATGCCGGTGCGACCCAGCTGCCTTCTGAGTCCGGACTCTATCCCAACATTCTTGCACCACCGCCATCAACATGACATCCGTCACTGCGAGTCTTCCTGTAGGAGCTCAGGACTCAAAAACTTCATCACAAGATGCCCCAGGGCGATTGTATGATGATGGGATGTACTATCCTGGTAATGTTCGCCTGGCAGTCGTTGCAGATCCTTCCAATGAACTCGGTAACAGAGAGACGAAGCCAATCAAGGCAGCAGACGCAGTGGTTGACGAACAGGGCTCGACTGAGCCTGGAATGCTTTGTGGGACAATAACAGACACCCTGCCCGACCCCAAGGCCGCTGCTGTAAAACCCGCGGCCCTTCCGTCAGAAGTCCCCCTGGATCTGCGACAAGGACATTTCGACCATCCACTTCAACTTGTCACCACGATGACTACCTCGACAACAACCTCTTCGTCCACCACATCCTCGACCACCTCTTACAACTCTGCAATCCATGTTGCCCTTCATACCCCCTCGATGCCGACCTTCCCCCAGCCTAGCTCTACCACCAGCGCCTCCCATTCCGCCTCCACTACAGCCTCCGCCGTCCTTCATTGGGAGAAAATGACCCCTGGCGCGAGAGCCGGGATTCTCATCTCGGCCGTGAGCGTCGCGATCATCTTGATTGGGATGATCTTCTGGTGGCTGCATCGCAAGAAGCGGACTCTGCTGAGGGCCATCCGAGGGGAAGAGGCCCCGCCCCCGACAGAGAAGCCAAATCCTGCGTACGGATTCGCGTCAAATCTGCACACAAGCAGCACCTCCACGCTGGTCAATGTAACGGAGATATTCAAGGCCAGCAGGGAAAAGTCACCGTCTATCAATGACAGAAGAAGCAGCATTTACTCCACCAACCAGACACGAAGCAATCTATTCACCCTCGCAGCGGACAAGATCAGTCCATTACGAGGCAAAAAAGAACCCCCCGGCAGGCGCAGCCGCTATTCCCACGGCTACATCTTTGCACAGGAGTTCAAGCACGTCCCCCCACCACCACCGCCGACGCGTCTGCAAAAGATTGTCGCCGGCCTATACGCCAACGGTTCGTCGACGGTCAAAACAGTAACGGCACCGTTCAAAACGCAGGCTCCACCGCCGCGGAAGGACAACGCGTCCTCAACGTGGAGCTCCATGAGCAGTCGCACCCCATACGCCCGCGCTTACGACAGCTACCCGCATCCGCATCGGTTTCAGCCTCCATGCGACATCAGCGATGACCTGGACCTGGTCAAAGTGCGGAGTGTTTCCTCTGGCACCGTCGCCATGAGTAACCCCGCGGAGATCGGCGTCGATGCGCTGGCGGGTCGTATCTCGGGAGAAGGCAAGCGACACCAGGACGGTGTCCGGGAGTCGAGCCCCTCGCCGTCGCAGTCCTCCACCGCTCCATGCCAGCGGCAGTCACCGCCACCAGAGACCTCGCGGGAGGGAAGCCCCGCGCATTCTGTGCGAGCGCCGTCGCACACCCAGCTGGAGGTGCCGTCGGTGAAACTGTGGACAAAGCAGGTGTACCGGGTCGAAATGGACTTTACGCCCCGCAGCGATGGCCAGCTGCAGGTTGGCGAGGGACAGATGGTCCGCTTGGAGCAGATCTTCGACGACGGATGGGTAAGTCTAGTCTAGTCGAGTCCCCCGGTTCCTCCAGTTCCTCCGAGTAAATAGACTGACTCTCCAGGCACTGTGCGCTCTGACCAACACCGAAAAGCAAGGCCTCCTCCCCCGCGCCTGTCTCTCCACCTGGCCCATCAAGGAACGCCGGCACTATGCGTCCAGCAGCAACACCTCGGAGCGTGCCCTGGGCATCTCTCCCACAGATTCACAGTCCTTCCGGTTCTACCGACAACAGTCCCGATCGGGGAGCCCAAAGCCAGCCACCGAGTCCAAACCGCCGAGCGTGAAGAAGCAGTCGATCTCGCCTACGCTGTCGACATTCTTCCGCGTGTAGTCTGCTCCTCTCCATCCTCTTCTTGTAGATATTCGCGTATATGTTTAATCGACTGTACGTTTGCGGATGCAGTCATAATCAAATTATGTACATATCAAGAACCGAGCTCGAAGCGGCTCCGTGCCGGCCTCGCAGACAGTTCGCTTGGTGGTGCGTATGCGCACGCCTCGAGTTCCGCTCGTCTGGCTCTGGCGCCACTTGTCCGGAATGTATGCTTTTCACTTTGATTTTGCCCTGGGGTGTTAGCTGCAAGTCTGCGTGCCCTGAGTAGCAGTGCGACGAGGACGATGATGATGATTCCTGCTCCGGCCGCGCCAATCGCAATGCCCGCCTTTGCGCCTGTCGACAGGTCATTTGTAGCTGCTGCTGCCGCCGTAGTCGAAGGTGAAACTGACCCCGACGCCCCAGCCAATACTGAACTCGAACTCAAACTCAAACTTGAACTCGCAGAAGCAGAAGCAGACGGAGACGGCGTCGCAGAGGGTAAAGTCGAACTCTCCGGCACCGCCAACTCAAACGTCCCACCGTCGCAACAATCCCCCTGACCCAAACTCGCCTCATCATCATGACAACAGTACTTCGTCAGCGCGGCGTTACACGCCCAGATATACTGCCCGCGATACGAATCATCTACCGTCATCAACACCGCCAATTCCCGTCAGTGGGCTTGAGAGGAAGGAAACGTACATGTCGTACAGGCTACAGAACACCCCTTGTAGCTCTTGTCCTGGCAGGAGGGGGTATAATACAGCCCGGTGTAGTTGTATGCGTGTCCGTCCGGGAAGTCAGTCAGCGAGCCGTTGGCGTGGTTGTTCTTGTCGCGGCAGAGGAGGTTGTCGGTGCATGTTGCGCTGGAGGGGCAGCAGGTGTTGGCGTTTGGGCAGGGGGTGTCGTCTGCGGCGTGAGTGCCGTTGCGGTAGTAGCATGTCATGTTGCTTGTTGCTTTGGTTTGGGCTAGGAGGTAAAAAGGAGGATGAGAATGTCGTTTTGGGTGGATGTGAGGCGAAAGGGGAAGTCGGCGCTTATAAGTCTGTGTATTCTGGGGAAATTACATTGTGAAACACGGCATATGCATGATTTGATGCTAAAGCTGCAAGCTGCGCCGCAATTGGAACATGCAATGAGGTGCAGGATTTAGGCGCCGACTCCACCACTACGCGCTGGATGAGGGGATCTAATTGCAAGAAAGATAAGAGGTGGTGTGCCCAGAATGTAGACAGATTTCGAGTGTTGAGTGACTTCATCTATAGAAATGCGTACCTTGTACAGGAGAAACGACGAGAAGCAACGCCTCGTGTCGCAACGCAGAGTCTCGGAGGATTCTGTCGAAAAATCACGGCAATCGCATGCCACCTGGGAGCATCTGCTATTCTGTCTCCTGCTGATTCCTACCGTCTTGAGCATTCTCCTCGTGCTCAGCGATGTCCGCAACTGGCATATGCCTGCGGGCCTCTATGCCCTGGTCGACGAGTACCGGACCTCCATCCAGACGGCCGTCCAAATCGTCGCGACAATCCTTAGCACGATCAAGATATTTGCTCTCTGTCGACTCATCAACTTGGCCACCCGTATACTGTTCGGTAAATCTCCTATCTCTCTCAACATGCTCGGCCTCTGGTCCGCCATGTCTACGCCTTCGATCAACTGGACCCTCCCCCTCTGGATGATCGCCCTGTCGATCGTCATGGTCAACCTCTCTGCTGCGATATCAGCCCTCTGGACCGGTGCTCTCACCCCCGCCAACTCCGTCGCGTTCAATAGCACCACGCTCATGGTCCCCGACTGGTCAAACACCACGCTGATCAAAGAATACCCGTCCGAGGTCGATCAGACCGGCCCAACCATCCGAAACACCAAAGGCTACTTCACCTACTCCGTCGGCGTGGGCCTCCTGACCCCCCTCGTCGCCTCCGCCAACACCGCCACCACCGTCGACGGCAGCATCCGCAACCACAACAAGCTCGACAACTCGGGCTACACCTACCACGGCCGATCGTACGGCGTTGGGGCCTCCGTTGGCCTCGTCGACGATACCCTGCACCACGAGAACCCCCGCGCAACAAACTACACCTACGAGGAGACCGGTCTCGCAGCCGACGTCGCATGCATCTACAACCGCACCTCACAATTCACCATCAACGACGTCGACGACGTCCTGTACGCCCTGATGGGGCCCCTCCCAGACAGCAACCTCAGCGCCCCCGAGTACTCCGTCTACATCGGCCGCGGAGACCGCACCATCGTCGGCATCGGCGTCTCGGCCCAGCCTGCAGCATACACAGCGAAAAGGTACCTCGCCATCGCCGCGGGGGATTACTACACCCCGCTGAACGCAACGCAATGCACGGTAACATACACACCCGCACGCTTCAACGTCTCCGTCGACATCCCCTCGCGGAACATCACCGTTTCAAGGCTGGACAACGCTGCCTCGTCAATCGATCCAACCCACCGCATCGCCCACGTCGTCACCCGCCAACTGGAACTCATCTCAAACGACCTCACCAGTTTCTATCGATCAACGCTGGGCGATGCCTTAAACGCAAGTATCAGCGACTATCGCACCGCCGTAGCAAGCACAAATACCTCTTTGTCAGAAGAGCAGATCGCGCTCACAGGACTGGAAAACGCCATCATCTCATTGGTGGACGATATGCTCGTCGCGTATGCGTCGGCGCAGCTGGTAGTCGGCGGGTTCGCGGCACCCGCCAGCGCGGCAGTGCATGTCTCTGCGCTGCGGCTCGGGTCGAGGGTGTACATTGTTGCCACGGCGGTGATTACGGGGGTTATTGTGCTGCTGGTGGTTGCCGAGATGGTCCGGACGAAGGGGTGGAGGGGGCTTCCTGCTTTTGACTATCTGGATAATCGGATGTTGGTGCTGGGGGCTAGTGCTGGGGGAGGTGAGATTGCCGAGTACGCGGCGGAGAGGCGGTGGAAGTCTACGGGGAGGATTCCGGTTGTGTTGAGGAAGGAGGGGGGTCGTCAGGTTATTGCGTTGGGGGTGGAGAGAGGCGGCGATAGGCAGCAATCGGAGAGCACGCTGGCTGAGGAGACTGTGCAGTCGACTGCCTTCATTGAGACGRGGCGGGTGGGGGATAGGAGGATGGGTGAATCGGGGTGGATCTGATGCGTTCTATCATAGACATGAGTTGGCGTACAATAATTGAGATTCTAAGGCTGTAGTCTGTACAATTGAAGGACTGTGATCAGTAAGAATTGGCCAGTCATACCATCCGGTGTAGCGCCGGCGTGGGGGTTGTACAAGCCCTAATTTCTTGGGTTGCAGGGGATACTGACACAGCCAACTCGCCAAAGCGCGCGGTTAGCTGTACACCAAGCAGGTTTAATTACCAGCGTGAGACTCATTGAAGGCACATTATTAAGTAGTGCTGGTACCAATACTGCATGTGGAAATGACAGCATTTCTGGACGACCTCACTACCCGTTGATTTTCAGTCGATGAAGCACACAAGACAATGGATCTCTACATGTTGCTACTACTGCTTTTCAGCTTCCCTCTATCTAAAGCACATATTCTAACAGATCTTTCCAACGGCTTCTGTCGAAGCTACCAATTCGGCGGTATGACCTTTCCTTCTTCCAGGCAGACCAACACTAACTTTCCCAGCGAACATCATAAACGATACCCTCTACCTCATCAATCTCGACGCAGCCCTTCTCCATCAACAACGGCTCAACCTACCACCTAAGCCTAATCGACCCTACCGTACCCCAGCTAAAAGGCCAAACGCTCTGGTCCAACGCCGCAAACACAACACTATACTCGTATGGCGGACACGGACTGGGGAATACCTCCCTCGACGAGGGGATATGGACGTACGACCTCGCGGGGGAGAAGTGGGCGGTGCAGAGAACGAGTATCAAGCCTGTGCGGCTGTACTCTGGCGGTATCTGTTCCTGTCCCCCCCGCAGTTTACTCTACTGTGAGGTGAATGTGAACTGACGAGCAGTTAGTCTCGAGTAATGTTCCCCGTTTGCAGAGTTCGTTCTGGGTTGGGGGGTATCAGGATCGGGATACCACGCCTGCAATCACGGATCAAAGCAAGGTATATGCGGATGGAATGATCGCGTTTAATACGACGAGTGGGGAGTTTCGGCAGCTATCGGCGCCGTTTTCGCCTGTGCAGAATGGGGCGTTGGTGTATGTTTCTGTTGGAGAGGGGCTATTGGTGTATGTGGGTGGAGAGACGCCGTCGGTTGCGGACGGGGTGAATGCTACTATGACTCCAGTAAGTTTTGAAGTGAGCTGTGCGTCCAGATGCTAAGTTGCAGAACTCGTGGGAATACGTGTTTGTGTACGATATCGCAGAGGATAGATGGTATAACCAGACGACTACCGGAACAGTCGCGGCGAGGACCGAGTTCTGCGCTGTGGCGCAGCATGATCCGTCCTCGTCGACGTACGAGGTCTATGTTCTTGGAGGCGCGGACTACGAGTCAAAAGAGGTTTTGAGCGATGTGTACGTGTATTTCTTACCTGGTGGGAGCGAAGCTGATATCCGCAGATCCTACCTTTCCGTTCCATCGTTCCACTGGTACAAAGCTGCGGACCTCGAGCAACAACGGATGACGCTGGTTTGTGAAGCGTATGGGCCACAGGTGTTTGGGATTGGGGGACGGATCAACTGGGCTGATGATCAGGATGCTGGCTGTTATACCATGCCTGCTTTCATTTATGATGTGAATAGTGGAAGTTCCAGGACCAAGTTCAATGTACGTTGCCTTGGTTGTTGCATTGGATGATCGAACACTGACGAGGCAGCCCGCTCTGACGAGCTATGCTCAACCATCTGCTGTGGCTGAACGGACGAAAGTCTCGCCATATCCGGCTACCTGGGCAGACTCGTCACTGAAAGATCTATTCGTGCCGACGGGGACCTCATCTTCAACCGCTAGTACTTCAGAGACGAAACACAGTCATGGTACGCCTGTAGGGGCTATAGTGGGCGGTGTCATTGGAGGAGTTGCAGTTATCATTATTGCGATAGTAGTAATAGTACTCATGACACGGAAGAAGAGGAGTTCAAAGGTCACGACTGAAAAAGGGTGCTTGCAGACAACCGAGCTGCAGGGGTACAGCTTGCCTGATGAGCTCGATGGAAATCCAAGACCGAATGAGTTGAGTGGTAGTTCAAGATATGTCTTTGAGCTACATGGGAATTAATAGAATTTCCTCCTTCTGGTATTCATTGTTAATTCTGCGGCAATAAATACCTTCGGGATCCAAAGATAAATGTTCCTAGACTTCATCACGGTCTATGGTGTCTCTGCATGCAAAACGCGTAACAACTGGTGTCCCTCCCTTTGCCAAGGACAGACGCGCCGAAGGAGCGCTCATCACATTTACAACAATAGTCAAAGATCACAGTGCATTATCAAGAATCTGGCAACTCCCAAGCCGTCAATCAGTTGATGCTGAGTTGGTGTCATGAGGAAAGGTATATCTACGGCGGACTATAGCTACAATATGGACTTTTGGATTTTTTTACTGTTTGCTATATATATTACCTACTACCACTACCTCCATAAACTTCCTATCTACATATAGTAAAGCTTGGTTACTATGGCAGCATACTAATAATATATTAGAGGTAGTATCTTTGTAAACCTAGAGAGATATAATTAAATACTTAGATAGTATAAATATTAAATACTTACACATTATAGTAGTTTATTATATAGTATATTAATAGTTGAGTAACCTAACTTACCTAAGAAAAATATATATATTTATATATAGAATGAACTCCTTAGTTCTAGCTATTTATCTATCCTATTTCTAAGTAAACTATTATGCTATTAGAGATATAATTATCTAATAAAACTAAGTTTATAATAATACTATTAAGCTTTAATTCCTATTATAGACTAGACCTAAGTATATAGTATAGACTATAAAGCTATTAGAGCCTTATTATCTTAGTCTCTATAGCTAGGGTATCTATAGCCTGTCATATATTACTATATCTATTAAATATAATATATATCTTTAGTCTAGATGGTGATACACTTTATATGAATAGTAGTAAGATTAACTACTATTAATAATATTTATTAGTATATTAAGTATAATATTTATAACAGAGTTTCTTACTTATAAACTCCTAGATTAGTATTACTTTTACTACCTCTTATAAGACTATTAAGATAGTTGCCTGCTATAGCTACTCTTAATTATTAATTAAATAGGTAATTTCTCTAACTAGATACTAGAAGAGAAGCTTAGGTATAAGAAGATTAATACCTTTCTAATACTATTAAATCTTATAGAGTGCAGTAGCTAACTCTTAGTTAGACTTATTATTAATACTAAATATATTAGGATATATTATATACTGCTAGATTTATTATATCTTTTCTTATACTTAAAAATAATACTCTTCTAGCTAGAGAGGGTCTTATATATATCTCTTTAGACTTTCTAGGCTATATTCTTCTTTTAAGTAGTAATAGTAGTAGCCTTATAAGTAGTAATAGTAGTATAGCTTCTAGCTATAATATAGTAGTACTTAATATACTAATCTAATAAGTATAGCAGGGAGGTAATAATAAAGAACTAAGAATAGTAGAGATAAAATATAGACTTAGTAGCTCTAAGAGATCTTAAGGTAAGACTTAGATATAATAAGACTAATAAGAATAGATAGAGAGGAGTTAATATTATAGTATAATAGTAGTTAGAGATAGGAGACTATAGTATAAAGTAGTTAAGTTTTATTATATTAGTATAGAATAAAGAAATTTCCTAATTTAGCTAAATTAATACTAAAGTATTCTTTATTTATTATTAATAGATAATATATTAAATTTTTACTTAGGCCTTACTAGTATCTTACTAATATCTTACTTTAAATATATTTCTTATTATTCTTATACTTCTATTATCCCTTAAACCTTCTACTTTTACTATCTCTTAAATATATACTATATTTATACTGCCTTACTATATTAAACTACTCTATATATATTAATATAGCTTAGTCTAATCTTAAATTATAACCTTAATAACTATTACTGTAAGTCTAAGGTAAGTTATATTTATATTATAAATATTATAAGATATCTACTTTAGATTATTACTCTTATCTAAACTAATATACTAATTAATATACTACTTTATAGATAGATCTTATAAAGAAATATCCTAGTGTGAAACCTAGCTAGCTTACTAGTTAGAAAAGAAAGTCTAATACTAAGCTATTAAACCACCCTTTAATAAAGAAAGTCTAGGAGTGTCTGGATAATATATTACTAACTAAAAAGAAGATTAAGAATATAAAAAATATAGACTATTAAGCTATATGCTGGGCTGTTCTCTAGCTTAAAGTAACTAAAGACTATTAGATAGCTAGTAAAGTAGAGTAGGCTAGTCTAGTAAAAAGAATAAAGAAGTATATTATAGATAGGTAGTAAGTAATATCTATACTAATTATTATAATAATTAATACTAATAATTAAATAGAGTTAAAAATAGTAGAGTAGCTATGTATATTATAGATAAGCTTAGTTATACTAAGTAAAGTATTTTTATAATATAGGATAATAGTAACCCTGTATAGAAGAATAAGGAGAAGACTAATAAAGTTCTACTAGACTAGTAATATAGGTAAGATAATATTAAGAGTTTTAAAGTTAAGGTACTACTAGATATACTAAAATCTCTAGTTAAGAAGAAGTATATTAAAGTATAAAAGAATAGTAAGAAATTCTAAACTAGCTATATATAGTAGTAGTAAGTAATCTATTAAGTTAATAATATTAATATCTTTTACTATAAGATTACTTAGCTTAATACTATGCTAGTTAATAAGATCCTATAGAAAAAACCCTATAAGTATTTCTCTAATAAAGACTATGCATGTATAAGGACTCTCTAATAGGCTTATACTAATAACTAGGTTAATCTACCTAGACCTATAGATTAGTAGCCTGATAACTATAACTTTATTAAGTATAGATTTACTATTAAAGGGGAGTTATATACTTTTATATAGGGGTGTATTAAGGCTTTAGATATAATTTTTACTAATAGAGTATCTATAGACTTTAATAAACTAGTATTTAGTAATAAGGAGCTGATAGTTTTATATCCTTTACCTAAGTACTTTATTATTAAGTAGAATTAATATATTTATAGGCTTCTAGTAGATATTATATTAAGTGCTATAATAGGAGTCTACACCCTATAGAGTTAAATAAGAAATACTAGTCTTTCTATAGTCATAACTAGTAATACCTTATATATATATATATATATATATACCTCTTATATACATGCCCTCTTTGTATTTAATTAATATCTAGTTAATATTATATTAAGTACTATAATAGGAGTCTATATCCTGGAGTTAGAAATATACTTAGTAATACCTTATATATATATATAATTCCCTCTCTGGGTTTAATTAATGCTACTAATATATATACATAATTAGTGATTAACTATATACTGTAGTGGTAGTTGATATAAAATATTTATATATTTAGAATTTAATAACTATAAATATCTATTCTTTATTAAAAGTGAAATCCTGCTTAGTTATAAGATGATCAAGACCTTTATTCTAGATATTAATCTTATCTATCTTAGGGATATTAAAGCCTTCCTAATTCTAAGTATCTATAGGTAGTTTAAGTTATTTTAATATAGGATTTTCACTAGATATAATATATTCTTGAATACATCTATATAATTAAAGATAGGCTTACTTATATATTTAGGTGCTGTCAGATAGCACCTATAAACTATTAATAATAGAAGGGTAGCTAAGTCTTTAAAGCTTATTATAATACTAGTTCTTTATTAATTAGGGTAAGTAGTCATTAATATCTTTAGATAATTAGTAAATAGATTATAATATATTAAAATATACTTACTATATGAAGAGAGTCTTGCCCAGAGGTCTTCTAAGATAGATATATTAGGCTCTAAGCTATAGTCCTAAATATTATTACCTAGCTAGTAATACAGCATGACAGGTTGCCTAGAGATATAGTTAGGTTATTAAGGTTAGTGGTGAATTATATAGGAATTCTATAAGTAGATAAATCTATAGATCTCTGACTAAAGTATAAGTATATAGATTACTAGAAGAGTAATATAGTTAGCTAAAGAGTCCTTGTTAAAATAACCCTTTAATAACTCTATAAAATAGTCCTAGAATTATACTTAGTAAAAGTTAAATATAGCCTTAGGTTTAGATTAATATACCTACTAGAGAAATAGAACTAACTTTATTAACTAACCCTACTATACCTTAATCTGCTAGTTTGTAGTACTTATTCTATATTAAAAGCACCCTCTAAAGGATGCATCTGGTTAAATTTTTTAGATAAAGGTATAGTAAGTAGATATAATAAGAGGTATCTTAATATCTCTATTAGTATATAAGATCTACAGTAAGATATGCTATATATCTAAAGTATAAAGATATTATTAAAGAATACTAATAGCTATGTGATTTAAGATGCTAATATATATCTAGATAATATATTAAGAGTATATATTAATAGTAGTATATATATCTATACCCTAAAACTATAGCTTACAGTATCCATTAATTAACTAGAGATAATTTAGCCTAGGGATAATGTATTTACCATAATATTATTAGAGGTTATTTAGTTAATAGGTAACTTTATTAGGATCTAGCTTCTATACTATAGTAAAAAGTTAATTACTATTAAAGTTAGTATTATAATATTATAATTAATATAATAATTATAGGAAATAAGATATACTAGGAAGCAAGATGCTATTTATTCCTAAAATATATATATAATAGGCTATAGCCTAACCCTTTAATACTTCTATTATCTAACTCCTTCTATATAATAGCTAGCAGTGCCTGGTTAGCCTCCTCTTAGTTCTATAGATAAATTTATCTCCTAAGGCTCATCTATCTATAGAGCTTAGCAAGGCCTCTTATATTAATTTTATAACCTTCTTTCTATAGAATTATTATAATATTTCTGTCTAATAGGCAGCATTTATAAAATAATACTATAATTTAGTAGTAGATAGCTTTATTATTATCAGACTTTAATCTCTATTAGATACCCTATTCATAGAGCTAGTAATTAATAGTCTTTCTATTTATTAATATATTATAATGCTCCTATAAATAGGTAGCTATATAAGATATTAAGATTTATTTTATAGCTATCTTAATAATCTTATTCTTGTAGGGTTCTAGGTTAATTATCTAATAAACTATCTTTGTGATAAAACACTATTATACTAAAAAATTAATATAGATAAGATAAGAATAAAGGGGGATATTTAGGCTACTTATAATATTAGCTATAGTTAACTATACCTAATTAATACTAGTAAAATAACTAATTTCTATAGAATTCTACTCTCTACATATTTCTGACCGTAATTTGGACATATTAATTAAAGGATTAGAACTATTAAGCTAATCTTTCTATATTTATATAAACCTTAGGGCAGATCACTATTTGCATAGAAATATATAGAAGAAACTAAATAATTATTAGGAGCTAAAAAGAAGTATATAAGTAGATTAATATACTTAAACTCCTTTTAAATAATACCTAAATATTACTACCTCTTATTCTACTATTTTAACTCCTTATTCTTTATCTTTAAGATGCTATAGATACCTTACTATACTAAGTAGCCTAGGTATTACTATTATACCTAAAGTATAAATAATAATACTTATCCCTATTATAGTAAGGTAAACCTGAATAAGTATTAGGATTAGAATTAGATTATAATTCTATCTAAATCTAATTTAGATAATAAGGTAGTATTAGTTAGTAGTCTACTAATAATATTTACTTAGTAGGTTAAGCACCTAGCTCTAGAGAGCCTAATTCTAGAAGTTCTAATATCTAGTATATTACTTAATAGGACTAGTAGCCTTATAAGGATATAGTAGAGAAATGCTTAAGAGGCTATATCTACTTAATTAAATACTAGATATCTATCTCTTAGTCTGTGGGGTGGTGAACTAATAGAGGGTAAAAAGAAAAAAGAAAAGCTAGAGAAGCTAAAGAAGTTAGAGAAGCCTAAAAGTAAATTTTAGTAGATTAACTTTTAAGTCTAGATAGGTACATCCTATAATAATTATAGTATTAAAAAATATAGGAAGTAGACTTTTATTAGTAGTAAGTATAAGCTTAACCTAGTATTACCTTAAATATTCTAATAAGTATTAGTAAACTTTTCTATAAATATTCTACTAAATTAAATCTTTATAACTATAGATGCTTTCCTTGATGACCTTATTAATAGATATAGAGAAATAGTAAACTAGTATATATAGAATAGTAATAAAGTCTTTATTTTATCTATATTCTAACTAAAAGATAGTCCTAGTTATATTAAGTAAAGTGCCTAGAAGGGAATACTTAAAAAGATACTTATTAAGTACTTCCTAGCTAAGTTATCTAGTAAAATAATATAGGATACTAAGGCTTATTATAATAAGCCTAATTAGATTATACTATTTAAGGTAAATATTTATATGGTAAACTAAGAGCTAGCTACTAAATTAGAAGAGGAGGACTTATAGGATAAGGAGCTATAAAAGAATAAGATAAAGGGAATTAAGAAAGAGCTAGGTATTAAGAAAGAGCTAGATATTAAGAAAGAGCTAGGTATTAAGAAAGAGTATAGTATTAAGAAAGAGTATAGTATTAAGAAAGAGCATAGTATTAAGAAAGAGTATAATATTAAGAAGGAGTATACTATTAAGAAAGAGTATACTATTAAGAAGGAGCTAGTTATTAAGAGGGAACTAGTTACTAAGATATAGTAAATAAAGAAAGGGTTAATAAAGAAAGAATTAGAGGGTAATACCTTAATATTAGAGTCTGCTAATATAATAGAGGTAGTCTCTTAGTAGATAGGACTAACCTCCTAAGCTTTAAGTAAAACTAAGAGTTAGCTATCATCCCCCCTATCTTTAATTAAAGCTAAGAGTTAGTAATTATCTCCCCTAATAATAAATAGTATACTATTAGAGCTGCATAGTTAACTTTAGTAAAAGTATTTATATTAGGACTTTTTAACTAAGGAATAGCAGCCCCTAGAGGAACTATAGTAGATAGATAAAGAGGTAATAAAGGTACTTAGATTACCTTCTAATAATATTAATAATATATTTACTAAGATAGAAACCTTAGATGCACCTACTAGACAAATATAATAGAAGTAAGCCATAGCTAAATAAATATAGAGTAATATCTATATATTTAAGTTTATTATTTATATTATTAAATTTATTATTATCTAGGCTCAACCTATATAATATCTTAATAGTAAATTTAATATTTAAGTTATTTAGCCTTTATACTTCTTTATTTAGAGATTATTACATTAATTAGTACGCGGCTATATAATTAATTTTTATTATTATTTAGAAATATCACTATCCTACCTTCTAATTAGCTAGGCTTTATCTTTTATTCTTATTCTTTCTATAGTTATAGGTTTATGCTACCTTCACCCTCTGCAGCATGGATTTAGATCTCTATTTATAAAGGGGTGTGGCCCCAGTAGACTATATACTATAGTATATATATAATTATATATAATTAATATTTAATATTTAGATAGTTTAACCCTCTGGTGATGACCCTTAGTGATAAGATGAATAAATAAACCTAAATATAGATAATTAGTTAAGTTAAGAGGAACCCTATTAGCTTAAGTCTTCTAATATATAAGCCTTTATTCTAGTAACTAGTGAGGCAGGTTTACTATAATCTTAGTTATCCTTATCTAAGAATTTATAAGCTTACCTTCTAGGTAATATAGGAGGCTGCAGGTTTCTTTCTTATTAGAGAGTTTATATATAAGTTAGTCTTAACCTAATATATAGTAATTAATATTATAATCTAATTATATAATTATAGTAGCTAAATCTACTAGAAAGCATGCTAGCTATTAGGAGATTAAGGTTATGCTAATTTCTATTAAACTAAATATAAGGGCTAGGCAAGAGATAAGCCTTAGTATAAATTATATTACTATTAATTATAAGGCTAAAAGTATTTAGGACTAGGTCTTTTATATAGTTAAGTATTACCTTTAACTTATAAATAGAATTAAGTTAATCTATAGGATGAGATATAGTATACTTAATTATATATAAAGTCTGATACTTATTTAACTTCTATAGATATTAGTAGAGTCTGTGAATGGTTAAGACTTCTATAGGTATTAGTAGAGTCTATGGATAATTAAGACTTCTATAGGTATTAGTAGAGTCTATAGATAGTTAAGACTTTTATTAGATAGATAATACCTTACTTAGTTATCTTAACTATAGGAAGCTCCTAGTAGTTTAAGATTAAATTATACTTTTTCTTAAAGTAGATCTCTATACTTATTTTCTTAGTTTTTCTAGTAGCTTTATCTTTAATTTTAATAATATATATACTTAATTATATATAAAGTCTAATACTTATTTAACTTCTATAGATATTAGTAGAGTCTATAGATAGTTAAGACTTCTATTAGGTAGATAATACCTTTCTTAATTATCTTAACTATAGGAAGCTCCTAGTAGTTTAAAGTTAGATTATACTTCTTCTTAAAGTAGATCTCTATACTTATTTTCTTAGTTTTTCTAGTAGCTTTATCTTTAATTTTAATAGTATATTACTAAGTATTTACATTAAGCAAGCCCTTAATAATAAAATTAATATTAAGGTAAGGATAGCCTTTATAATATAGCTAGACTCTAAGCTTATAAAGGTAATAGTAAACCTTATAAAAGCTAGTTAACTTAGTAATATTACTATAACTATTAGTAACAGGCTTAAGAAGGTATATTAAGTACTAATAGTCCTAGTAATTAAGTACTACTATAGTAGCACCTATAAAAGAGGTCTATACCTAGAAGTAGGTATTAAATATATTAATATTAATAATAAGACTATAGTCCTAGTATAATAATTAGTTAAGATATTAATTAGCTTAATAAGAGTAAGAGGCTAGCTTATAAGTATAGGATAGATTATCTAGTAGATACTCTTAAAGGCTAGGATAGCCTTTATAATATAGCTAGCTCCTATACTTTAAAGGTGATAGAGAACTTTATAAAAGCTAGTTAACTTAAGTAGAGAAAGAAGATAATATCCTAAGGGCTATAATATTAAGTACTTAGGATAGAACTCTTAAGTACTATATTAAGTAGTATATTCTTTACTATCTTATAAGTATCCTCTATATTTAGATTTCTTTATTTTTTATAGATATATAGCCTTACTACGCCTGGGCAATATATTTAGGTGTAATAAGGTCTAGGAACTATTAATAGTAAGGTACCCTTATAGAAATCTACTACTAAATATACTAGGTTATGCCTAAAATTAAAAAAAATCTATTATCTAGAGGTTGTAGGTTTATTTCTAGCTATTACTAATAGAGAAAATCTTTTTCCATCCTAAACCTAGATCCTTAGTACTAAGACCTGACTACTAGATACCTTTAGTACTATATAAAAAAGTATGAATATCTATATACCTCTATAGGTGTTATATTAGTATATGGTTTTACCATGAGCATACAATGCATATAATAGTAATAAGGATTTATTTAATCATCTACCATATACCTAGATATCTACTAGGCTTATCTGACTGGACCTAATATTTAGTTAAGAATTAAAGCTTTTTAGTTAAATATCTACTTACTACCTTTGCTCTGGTCATAAGTAGTAGTCTATAAGATATTTTAATTTTACTATACTAGGGATAGTGCAGTGCGTGTAACCATAGGGAGTGTAGGAGTGGTGGCATGTAATCATTATAAAAATACCAAAAGTCCACATTGTAGCTATAGTCTGCCGTAATATCTTTAAGGTTGTCAGTGATCAGCTCATGGTGTTTTGTAAAGTGTACCTCCCGCACCGCGTCTTGGACATTACCACGTGTCAGATCCTTCACAGCTACAGGTATTACCGGTGGCATCCCTTACACCCTTCCTAATGTTGAGTATATACCCATCGACGATGTTGAAAAGCTTGAGCGGTACCGTCCAGGAGGGTACCATCCCATAACAATCGGAGCGTGGCTGAATGATCGATACCGCATCGTCCATAAGCTTGGTTTCGGTACATACTCAACTGTATGGTTGGCAAGAGACCAAGAGGCCGAAAAATATGTTGCCATCAAGATCACAGTCGCAGCAGGTGATCCAGCAGATTCCCAAGAAAGCAACATCCTCCGTCAACTAGGCATCGGAGAATTGAAAGCAAAGCCGCACATCGGGGCCGCATATATACCTCGCATACTAGATGAGTTCTCCATTTCCGGGCCCAATGGGATCCATCGGTGTTTCGTCACCGTGCCGGGAATGATGAGCCTCGCCGAAGCCAAAGATGCCTCGTCTGCTCGACTCTTCCAGCTGCCTGTAGCCAGAGCCATCGCGGCCCAACTGGTCCAAGCTGTGGCGTTTCTGCACTCGCAGGGGATCGTCCATGCGGGTAAGTAACCCTCCGGTTCTCCATTCTCCCTCATGCTAAACTCGCAGATCTTCATGCCGGCAACATCTTACTCCGTCTCCCCGAGAGCATGGACACTCTCTCGCCAGAGCGATTATACGAACAATGTGGACGCCCTCATACCGAGCCGGTGGAACGTCTAGATCAGCGTCCACTCCCGAATGGTGTCCCAAGCCATGTTGTCGTGCCCGTCTGGCTAGGAAAAGCGAGCGAGCAGATTTCTCCGTCAGAAGCTCAAATAATCGTCACGGACTATGGAGAGTCCTTTACGCCGGCTACGACAAGGCGGCATTACTCTCATATTCCAGCCCTTTTGGTTCCCCCAGAAGTTCATTTCGAACCTCAAAGGCCACTTTCGTTTCCTGCTGATATATGGACGCTTGCGTGCACTATCTGGGAAATTATAGGGCAGCGGCCGCTGTTTGAGGGATTCAATCCGTCAGTCGACTGGGTAATCAGAGAACAGGTTGACGCGCTTGGCAAGCTACCTCTGGAGTGGTGGGTGAAATGGGATTCCCGGACGAGATGGTTCAACGAGGATGGAACACGACACAGCGGTGCCAGTCCAAGGACCTGGGAGCAACGATTCAGCGACTCGGTGCAGGAGCCAAGACAGGAGGCCAAGACGCAAGTGGTGGAAGAGGAGGAGCAAGCTGCCCTGCTGGCCATGTTGAGGGCTATGCTTGCATTTCGGCCCGAGGAGAGGCCAACTGCGACGGAGGTTATGGAGAGTGAATGGATGCAAAAATGGGCTCTTCCTAGCTTGCCAAGTCAAATGAAGGGATAAACAGCCATATATCTTGCGTATCGTATAGAAATTGTACCTGATTTCCCTGGAGACTTGGCCTATAAAAGGATGTTTCATGAGATTCTCACTTGCTCGGGTGGAATTCGACTCGTTCGAGTCCTTTGCCAGGGGTTCTGTATGCCCTATACTCTGTGACTTCTGTGGATCCAAGATCATCATGGCTGCACGCCTTGTCTAGCCGATCAAACCCAGCAGAGACAACCCACTCTTCCAGTGTTGTGATTTGCCTGATCTTGGAGGTTAGTCCAAGCCCAAGTCCAAGTCCAAATCAATGCTTTGAGGCTTATTGGTCGAAGAATCTAGCCAGGCAAGTCGTTTAGATTAATCCTTGTTCATCTAGATCAACATCCCAGCCAGCCCCGCCAGAATTCCGCAAACATCTGGCGTGGTATTAAAGAGAAGAGACCCTACTGTAAGTTGTAATCCATCTTGTCCTTTCATACCGTTCTGCAATATTGATACATGAAAGCTGCACACAGTATACAATGGCCAGCGTCGAGGAAAGAGTGAAGAATTTCTTATCAAAAATGTTTGAACAATGGCATTAACCTATCTATCCAAGCTTAATTTAACCCCAACTGACATACTGCTTCTATAGGCAACGATGGATACTGTATTTATAGATAATCTGAGCTGCGATTCCCTTGACCTGGTTGACTTACAGATTAAAAGCAGAAGAGGTATATAGGAGTTTGATATTGAGATCCCAGACGAGGAGGCGGAGAGGATGTGGACAGGTAAGACTCTGTACGTGGTAATAATCTGCCTGAGTAGTTGGTGATGTTGTCAATTACATCAATCAGCATCAAAGTTGCTCAGAGATGTATCTATCAATACATCCTGGAAATAAGCTTTGTTGACGCGGGGAGACCAGGAGAATGATGTCGGTGATGTCATCCGGACATCCTCCGCCTTATAAATGATAGTTAGTGTTGCTCATAAATGATGCCGACTCAACTGTCAATATAGTCTACATGCTTGATAAACACTGATATTCCTCATGCCAGATCCTCCAGCCTATCCTCCAGCCCGCGCGCTGTTTAATTTCTCCCCACAATGGTTCCTCATCCCCCAAGGGACCGGCATCATCTCGGTCATCCTCCACCAACTGCACTACCAGTTTGGCGCATTGCGTATCCTAGCCAAGATCGTCTGGATCTACACTATTGTGCTTCTCGCCATCACGCTCTTCCTGTACATCCTGCGCCTCATCCGCTACCCAAGGGAAGTCGCCTATGAACTGCGCCATAACCTCATCGAGACCTCCTGCCTGGCCAGCATCGCCATCACCTACACAACCATCATCCAGATGGTCGCCCTGCAGTACGGCAGCACCCACGGCGTCGCAGTAGGCGTCTACGTCCTCTGGTGGATCGACGCCTTCCTCTCCACCCTCGCCTTCATCGCCATCCCCTACGTCCAACTCAAACTCCAACCCAGCGGCCTCGAGCGCGTCCCCCCAGCCATCTTACTTCCGCTTATCGCCGCCCTAACCTGCGCCGCAGGCGGCGGCGCAATCAGCACCTCCGCCGCGCTCAGCCCCCGCCTCCAAGTCCCCATCATCATCGTCTCATACCTCCTCGTCGGAGCGGGAATTGCCCTCGCCCTCGGCTTCGACGCCGTCATCCTCTTCCAGCACTTCTCCGATCAGCAGCCCTCTCCCCAAAAAGTGTGGCAGGATATGATACTCTGCGGGCCATTCGGGCAGGGCGGCTTCGCGCTGCAGATTCTGGGGAATGCGGTGCAGAAGAGCTTCCCTGCGTATGCGCGGGGGACGCTGCTGCGCGCGCAGGCGGCGGGCCCGATTGCCGCGGTGAGTCAGTTTGCGGGGCTTCTGTCGTGGGGGTTTGCGACGTTTTGGTGGTGTTTTGCGATTATTAGTATTTTGCATACGTTGGCGGCGCAGCCGGGGGGTTTTAAGAGTACGACGTTTAGTCTCGGGGCTTGGTCGTTGGTTTTTCCTTGGGTAGGTCCTTCTTTCCTTTCCTTGCGATGCATGGGTTATTGATGTCGATAGGGCGTGTATACGAACTGTGCGGTGCAGCTGGGGAATATTATGGATTCGCCTGCGTTTGACGTGTGGTCGACGGCGCTGCTGCTGATGCTGGTGATTATTGCCATTGTCAATACGCTGTTTACCGTCAAGGGGATTATTACTGGAAAGGTGCTGGGATTGGAGCATGGATGGAGGAAGCAAGCACGCCAAGATGACAAGGAGGCTTGATGTATCGTCTATATCATCTGTCTGTATTGAATTGTCTATATTGAAGTATAGTGAAACTCAATCCGTCACCATTTGCGGGGTGAATTGCGAGATCATCTGGCTTAAATACATATATACAGACTGTCTGAACACCATCTCACTGTCATCCTGTACGTATCCATATACAACTATCAAAATGACCAACATAGCAGCCATCGAAGCCGCCAACGCGCAGTACGCCGCCTCTTTCAACAAAGGCCACCTCCCGATCCCCCCAAAACGGTACGTACCCTACCCTACTCCTCTCCAACTGCTATCAAACTAACAAGCCTAGCAAACTGGCCATCGTCACTTGCATGGACGCCCGCATCGGTACCCCCTCCCCCAATTAATCACTTCCATTTCCCAAGACTGACAGGTTAGACGTCTTCTCCGCCTCGGCCTCACCGAAGGCGACGCACACATCATCCGCAACGCAGGCGGACGAGCCAGCGAGGCCCTCCGCAGTCTGATAATCTCGCAGCGGTTGCTTGGGACGGAGGAGGTTGTTATCATTCATCATGTATTCCACCACCTTCCCTGTTCTTGACTACTTTTACTGATAGGGATAGACGGATTGCGGGATGCTCACGTTCAGCGACGAGGATATCAGAGCGAAGATAAAAGAGGAGCTTGGCGAGGATGCTTCAGATATTGAGTTCCTGCCGTTCAAGGATCTGGAGGAGAGTGTGAGGGAGAATGTGAGGTTTCTGCGGGGAAGTAGGCTTGTCCAGGGGGTTGTGACCGGGTATGTGTATGAGGTGGAGAGGGGGAGGTTGGTTCGGTTAGAAGTTGAGTGATATACATGTATGAGGGATTTAGGATGGCCAGTAGATACAAGTGGAAGGATTGGTGTCATGGCTGTCAACCAGTCAGAACTTTTCTACCTACTGTCTACCTATCTATCTACCTAGTTCTGTCTATATCTACTACCTACCTACCAGAGAATAACCCCTGGCACTGTTAAGCCAGCACACCGTGATCGACCTTCCTCCCGCCCACCCGGCGGAAATATACCCTCTTGGCAAACTTCCACAGCTCCACCCCCAGGAAGAACAGCACCGCCTCCGCAAACACAATCCCCCATTCCCACGAGATCCCCGTATGCTTAAACACAACATGGTTTAGGACTGGGATATACAGAATGGGAAAGGTCGTCACAAACCCCGCAACAACCGACCAGAACAGGAACTGGTTCCGCCAGATATCATACATCCACTGCGTCAGGTACTTCTTCGACCCCGGCTGCATGCGGAAGAACGACCGCCGCATGTCGACCATCTCCCACGCCAGGAAGAGCGCGAACCATGTTAGGCAGACGAATGTTGTTGCGCGCGCGCGGAAGACTAGGTCGCACTCTGCCGAGTACTCGCGGTTACAGCCGCGGGCGAGATCGCCGTTGCCGAAGCCCCMGACGACCACCGAGAAGGACGCAAGGCACAGCGCGGCGGTCCACACGCCGTAGACTAGAATGTCCACGATGACTTCCCAGGTGAAGATGCCCTGTTTTGTCTGCGGGGGGCGGTCCATGATGTCCGGCGCGGCGACCTCCATGCCCAGCCCCATGTCCGGCATGCCTGATGTGATCATGATGATCCAGAGGATCTCGACGGGCGCCAGCGGGAAGACGGATTGGCCGTCGAGGTCCTTGAAGGACAGTCCGATGAGAAGCGTGCATGCCTGCGCGATGTTTTCGGACAGTAAATGCAGCACGAATTTCTGGATGTTGTCGAAGATGCGCCGGCCTTCTTCGATGGCGTTGAGGATCGACGCAAAGTTGTCGTCTGTCAGGATAATGTCTGACGCGTCCTTGGCTACGTCTGAGCCTGCCTGGCCCATCGCGATGCCGACGTCCGCGTGCTTGAGCGAGGGAGAGTCATTCACCCCGTCGCCTGTCATCGCGGCGAACTTGCCCCGGCGGTGCAGCGCGTCAATCATCCGCACTTTCGTCTGCGGTGCACACCGCGCAATCACCAGCGGGAGGGTCGGCAATGCGTCCACCTCACTGTCGCTGAGCTTGTCGAACTGCCCCGCTGTCATGACCATCGCGTCGGCCACGTCCGCGGCGACACTGCCCAAATCCGCAGGGAGGATCCCGACCTGCTGCGCGATGGCCTTGGCCGTGCCCGGGTGGTCGCCCGTGACCATGTGCACGGCGATGCCGGCCTGGGCGCAGGCGCGGATGGCGCCGGCGGTTTCGGGGCGGGGCGGATCATACAGCCCGATCAGGCCGAGGAAGCACAGGTCGCGCTCGATCTCGTCGCGCTGCAGGTCCGCGCCTTCGAGCAGCCGGTTTGCTTCCGCGTAAGGCTTGTGGGCTAGCGCAAGCACGCGTAGCCCTAGCTTCGCCAGCTCCTCCATGTTCTGCAGGATAGCCACGCGGTGGTCGTCTGTCAGATCGACCGGGGTAGAGGCGTCCTCCCAGATGACGGTCGTGCAGGTGTCGAGGATGCGCTCGACGGCGCCCTTGGTGAAGACCATGCTGCGTTCGGTCTGGCCGTCGAACCGGGAGAAGACGACGGACATCTTCTTGACGGTCGAGTCGAAGGGGAACTCGGCCTTTGGGTGCCAGACTGGAGTCTCGCCCTTGGTCCACCGGTCGCGGTTCCAGTTGAACCGCGCGGCGAAGACTTGGATGGCGATCTCGGTGGGCTCCCCGCGCGCGTGCCACTCGCCTTCTTCGGAGCGGTACACGTGCGACAGGTTGGCCATGGCGGCGACGTTGAGGAATTCCTCGAGCCGGGGGTCACTGCTCGCCGTTTCTTCAAGGTTGACGATCGCAGAGCCCTCCTTCTCCTCGTCGAAGCGCACCGGTGGCACAGGGGTGAAAGTGACCTCCCCGACGGTTGGGTTGAACGGCTCGTTGTTGGTGCCAACAGAGTACGTCCCCTTGGCTGGGATCCACGCCTTCTTGACCACCATCTTGCCCTGCGTCAGCGTGCCCGTCTTGTCAGAGCAGATGTCTGTCACAGCGCCCAGAGCCTCAAGAGAATCAAGCTTGCGCACGATGACATGCCGCTCGACCATGCGTTTGGTACCGACGGCCATGGTGATGGTCAACACGACCACCAAACACGCCGGGATCATACTCAGCCCCGTGCCGACCGCATACAGAATCACTTCGTTGCTACTGGCGAATTTGTTTGATGCCATCACAATGATAGCAAACAGCACCGCGACCCCAAACAACAGGATCGCCAGCTTGGACAGCTTCCGCTGCAGCGGCGTCCCGACATTAACGCCCAGAAACCGACCGACCGCGTCCGTCCCGGTCAGCGTCCACGCCTGCACATACCACCGTTTCTTGGTCTCGCCGTTGGGGCCCTTCTTGACAGGTCGACGGCGGCTGTCGCCCGCGCGCAGGGCCGCAGCAATCGAGCCGATCTCCGTAGCCATGCCGGTTGCGATGACCACGCCGCGGGCCCGGCCGCGCGTGACGGTGCTGGAGCTGTAGGCCAGGTTGAGCCGGTCGCCGGGGCCGGTGTCGTCTTTGAAGATGGCGTCGCAGTCTTTCTGCACGGGGAGGGATTCACCGGTAAGAAGGGCTTCATCTGTCTCGAAGTTGACTGCTTCTACCAGTCTTCATTCATCAGATTCACTTCAGTACAATAGATCCGGGAGCGAGGGACATACCGAATATCAGCCGGAACGGTATCGCCCGTGCGCAACTCGACCATATCCCCCGGGACGATCTCCGCACTGGGGACGGAAAAGGTCTGACCACCACGGGAGACCGTGCCCGTCGGCGAGCTAAGCGAGTGCAACGACTCCATGGTCTTCTCGGCAGCATACTCCTGGAAAAAGCCAACAACAATATTAAGGACAATCACGGCGCAGATGACGCCGCCTTCGATCCACGACTGGATGCCAAAGCTGACCGCCATGGCCAGGATGAGGACCTAGAATTGGATCAGACAAGTTCGTTTGCACGCCAAAAGCAAAGTGGGCCCCTTAACTAGCATCATTGCGTTGGCCACCTGCCGGACGAGGATCTTGGCCACGGACACGCCCTCGCCTTCGTCGAGTTTATTGGGGCCGTACGTCTGCAGCCGACGAGTGGCCTCGTCGGGGGTGAGACCCTCATCGAGTCTGGTGGAGAGTTCCTTGAGGACGGTCTCATAGGGAAGAGTGTGAGCTGGTTGGGAGAGGGGGGCCTGGCCGGAGCCAGAGCCGGGAACATCGCCTTTCTCCATGCTTACTCTCAATTGCACTTGGGTTCAATTGAGAAAATCAACTGACTGAGAAGCAGAGGGACCAGCCTGTTTATAAACCATCCCGAGGAAGACCAGGACCCCACCACAACGAAAACTCATCACCGCGACCCCCTTGGCGCCGAGAATCGGGCATTGGCACTGGCACGGGCAACTCGCTTGGCACCGTCATACATTGCCTGCATCGTTGTATCTGACAAACTCTCCACGAGGCGATTCCCCACAGTCTGCGCCCAGACGAGAGACGTGCACCCGGGGGCCAATCAGGGGATGTTGCCAAGAGGATTCCTCTGGTTGCCAAGAAGGCGGAACCTGGCGGGCGAATCTGGTCGCATATGCAGCTGAGTCACTGCGTTGTATGCATCCTTACGCGACGATCATATGTAGATATTCAAAGTAACAGGTATCTGGACTCGTATCATATTCTTATCATATCACCAATCATAATAACGCCATAGCCCATAGGTATCAATCTGACTCAATCAATTTCCATCCATCCATCTATCAAGCAATCCAATCCAAATCATATATAGATTTATCCCCTCGAACTCGCCTCCTCAAGGGTATCTACTCATCATCAGCATACCAGAAGCTTTTTGAGGTAAGACCGTAAGAGAAACATACATCGACTCTCCACATCCTTGCCGATCCCCACAGAGGAAACACGACTCTCGCGATGAAAAACCCCCAGATTCCTCATCCGCACCGACCGCATATACATCTCCTGGGCATGCGAGGGCTGGAACGGGCGCTCATCTTCGGCGGGGTACAGTTGGCGGGTGAGCGCGGCGCCCAGCGAGACGGCGGCTAGACAGGCGACGATGACAATGACGATGATGGCGGGGGTGGTTAGGCCCATTCCTCTTCAGTCTAGTAGTATAGTAGCCTACTAGGATAGTAGTATAGTAGTAATTTGGTGTGTGCCAAGTTGACTGGCAATTATTACATAGATGGAGACTGGAGTAGATTGATATGAATTATGATATTGTATAACTGTTAACTACATGATAATGAATGGAAATAAAAGGGAAGAGGGGATGGAAATTTCTTTCTGTTTCCTTCCACCAGCGCATCCTTGTCTTCGGAAGTGATAGGAAGAGAGAAATACTATTGATGGCGTCCATGGTCTTATTGTCTCTGCCTAATTACCGTCCACTAAGATTTATTGTGAAGCAGATATTCCATTGCTATTGGCTGGTGTGGCCACGTGGGTCAAACCTACCAATGATCGGCCAATGGAAGATTCTGGAGAACTGTCTCATTGGTCAATTATCTCAGTGTCCATCACTTATGTATGTATGCAGATTTACTGCTCACGAGTCACGACTTATGCTATTAACATAGGAGGAGTGTAGTGGCAGTAGGCTACTGTAACCTTAACTGGTCTCCTCTAAGAGAGATTTATCAGCCCTGGAATATAGAGTGAGCAGACTGACTGTGATGTGATAGAGGCGGCTATATGATTATATCATATTAGAGACTAGAAGTAGAGAGACAATGTCTGACTATAAACCTTATCATTGTTCAATACTCCATATATATTATTAACCAAGTCGCTGCATATGAAGCTTCCTGTACAATGGATAGTCCCATGTATTGGTAGCCAGAGAAAACTGAGAGCACATGAAATAGGCCACCGTTTCCATGTTTACTCTACCTGAAAAATGTTGCCCACCGAGATCTCTGTGGCTCCGGCAATACTCGCATACACCAGGCCGACAGACCCCCCTCAAAGGCAAAATCCACCGTCCCCCACTTCTCCGACAGCTTATCCTTCCATTCTTCGATCCATATCGTCTGCATCTTGCCATCGGAACTTTCAAGGGCCATCATCCCCTCAGGCACACGTTCAGAGGGCCGGTATAATAAAACTCGTGCCGAGGGTCGCAGATGCCCGGGGGATGGGACGCACCCGACTGGCATATGGCTGACTGGATATCGTGGTAGCACCAATCGCACAGCATCATGAATGGGCAGGAACGACACAAGTACCAGTGGCATATCGACCTCATATCACACTTGCAGTTCGAACACTCGGCGAAATACTCGATTGTGTACGGGGTCTGGCGTTCAGAAACCTCTTCATCCGGTCGTTGTGTCTCGTCATCGGCAAGATGCACTTGGTTCAAAGATTCGGTGACGCCGTCTTGAAAATTCCCGCTGTCATCGCAAGACACTGCCACGGCTTCGGATATGGGATTGTCTTTCTGCGCTCCCCGCAGATAGTCCCTGTACCAGGCCTTGGTCAAATACAAGGCCCCATTCAGATCTTCATCACTGTCCGCAGCCGTCAGAAATGTCTGCAAGAGGCTGATGAAGGCGTCATTATCGTTGGAAGGATCATCATCCAATAACAGCTCGATACTTTCCTTCACACGTCCGCGGAGAGCTGTTCGGGCGTTTACAAGATCACCATGATCCCGCAGCCAACTCGAGATCACCAGACAGATATCACTAAACTCGGCCGTTTTATCCAATCTCAGAGGGGACCCGTCGCAGAATGGAATCTCTGGATGATATAGACACACGGCCGCTAAGCGAATCTGTGACCACGCCCAAAACCATCTCATATCCAAGACATCGGGGTCGTCGGGGGAGGCAACCTCGTACCAAGCTTGGATTCCTTCGCTGACCCGGCCGTTTTCGATTAAGTATTTCGCCGTCGCCAGCTCACTGTTTATTTCCCCCACTGAGGTCTCGAGTCTGGCCGCAGCCGAGGCAACAAGATCAATAAGCTTCCCATCATCCCGCATACGCTCATAGTGAAGGACCCTATATATTGTACGGGGCATCCAAGTCAGTACTGAAGTGAGGAACTCGGCCAAACCTTCTTTTTCGGTCCACCTGAACTCCTGAGGATGTGAAACGGCAAAACCGAGCACATCGTGAACGCGGTGTGTCTGGCGCAGCTCCAGGAAGACCGAAAAGAACGAACACAGCGTATACTTGTCTCGATAATCCTCCTTTTGTCCCATGAACACTTCCCAGGCCTCATTCATTTGCGGTGGCAGCAGCTTTGTCGGTCATTTTCGCAAAGTGCTCCATCTGCGCTGTGTTTAGCAGTTTGCCGACAGGATCCTGCCAGCCACGCTCCCAGGAGGCGTCATGCAGCGACTCGGCAAGATCAGTTGCTCTAATGCCTCCTTGTACCTTCCGGTCTCGGTACATGCGCGACCCATGTCTCTATGAATCACAGATAGCGCTTGTTTGCTCAGGATAGGGTTCCTGTGATGTTCATCAAGAGAGATCTGGAATTCTTCGAGAGCTGCCTTGGAGTTGTCATGCAGGAGGAGCGCCTGAGCAACTCGAGCATGCCAGACGGACGTTTTCTTGAGACGCTGCGCCTCGGCTGTGCACACGATCTCGTCAGGCTTCAACCTTGTAGAGTCTGACATGATGCCCCTCATTTCATGCAGTGCTTCCTTTTCAGGATTAGCTCGTTTACAAGTGCTATAAGTCATTACAGCTTCAATATTGCCATTTCTGGTATCTGCTGCCTATCTAACTATAAGAAATGCATCTCCTATACCACTCGCGTATTCTAGGATAGTTGGGTCAGGTCCATGCAGAGCTGTTCTTTCCGGTTTGATAGTAACACACAACCGTATCCTGTGTGCCACACAGTAGCATTGAACTATAATGATTGACCTACGCCTCAAGGTTCACTTCCTCCGGGTAAAAGTCAAATGCAGCGGCCCCATGTACAGCACAAAATTGTCCTGCGCCTGCTGCTCAAACGCGCGTCCATCCTCCCACGGGGCAAATCCTACATCAATCGTCGTTATCAGTTTCGCGATTGTAGTACGCAGGTTTAGCAACGCCAGTGGTCGGCCGATACAGTTATACGGACCTGCTGCAGTCAGTACTCAGTATATCAAAGTCACAAGGGGATATCTACCCAGGGTAAACGGCGCAAACGCCGAGCGATCCTTGATCAGATCCGGGTACTTGTACCATCGCTCAGGGATAAACTCGTCCGGTCGTACATAGCATAGCTCAGCTGTGAATGTGCCGTGGATTAACATCTCCTGACATATTCCACAGACGTAGACTTACATCTCCCCATGGCATATTGCGGACAATACACCGTCATCTCCCCGGGAATATGCACCCCCTCCACCTCAATCCCCTCCGCGGGCGTCTTCCGCCACAATGCCGACGGCACAGCCGGATACATCCTCAACGCCTCATTAATCACCCCATTGAGATGCTCCAAAAGTGCAATATCAGCCCCGCGTACCTCTCCCGCGTCGTCAACAAACGGCTCAACCTCCTCCCGCAGTCTGCGCATCTGCTCCGGATGCCGCGCGAGCTCATACAAAATCGCACACAGCGTCACGGCAGTGGTATCGCTGCCCGCCACGACAATCAGCCGCGCGTCGCCGTCGAGCATCAGTTTCTCCGCTGGGGTGGGCTCCCGCCCCTTCAGCGGGGCGAGCAGCGAGGCGCTGATATCCGGGATCTGCACGTCCATGCGCATGCGTGCTTGGAGCCTCTCGCTGCAGAAGGCCAGAAAGCGCCACCAGTCCCTTGCGACTCCGGGGATTCGCAACAGGATAAGTTGCAGCCACGGGGGGAAGAAGAGGCCGACTTGGTTCATGGTTGCGTTTAGGAGGGTGATGGCTGGGTGTTCGTGGCCGGTGGTGAGGCAGTCGAACCCGCGACCGAAGGAGAGGTCGCCCATGACGTCGAAGCTGTACAGGTAGATCCACTTGCGGACGTCGACGGTTTGTAAGGTGGTCAGCTGGGCGATGAGCTGCTGCTGGTAGGTCTTGATGCGCTGCTCGTAGCCGCGGACCATCTTATCGCTGAAGGCGGGGCTCCAGGTCCGGCGGCGGGCGTTGTGCTCTTTGATGTCGCGGCAGTTTTGCAGAGGGCGGGAGGGGTAGGCCAGGTCGTACCAGGAGGATTTTGTGCAGGGGGATTGGGAGCCGTAGATGGCTGCGACGGCGGATGGGTAGATGATGGAGAGGTCTGAGGGGCCGGTGCGTACGATTGGGCCATATTGGTTGTGCAAGGCCTGGAGGGTGAGATGTGCGTTGCGCTTTGGGGAGATGGACCAGAAACTTGATACGCGGGCGAGGCGAGGGCCGGGGAAGGAGTGCAGGGGGTGGAGCAGGAGACGGTATACTAGAATGCTGGTATAAAGGCTGGCAAGGTAGACCAGGATATAGCTGTAGTGGGAGAATACGAAGACGACGGTGGTGGAAACGACAAAGAGAGCGAGGTAGATATGGCTGTAGACATGATGCTCGCCATGTCGAAAGTAAAGGACATGGCTGAGGATGCCGGCAATAGCGATGAGAACGTATGGAGCCATTGTCTGCTGGAATCTGGGAGCGGGCAGGAATCGACATTTATAATCAGTGTAGCTGACGATGACATTCCGATTCAGGCGGAGTGTCTGTCACAGCGACTGCACTTGCATATTGCTGACAGCGCATCAATACTTCATTGGGATTGCCAATGCCCGTCACAGTGCTTCTGTTATGCAAGGATGATTGAATTGTGTAACCCCGCACCATATGTACAACTGTCCATACATAATGCCACATCACAGGGCAGCAATGATGGCATTATACGCCGCCTTGGGCTGGTAGTTGCTGTCGAACAACAGTGGAGACGAGCTGGAGCGCCACGAGTCCTTGTCCGACACCCCCCAGACGGTGATTCCCACACATTTCGAGACACCCAAGCATGCATTGACAACCTGTTCTAATTAGCTTTGATTACCCTGCACCTGGCGAGCAAGAGACATACGTTGACGTAATCCTGGGAGCTAGCACCCGCGATATCAAGCTCAGTAATAGCGACCTCCGAGACGCCGCTAGAGGCAAGGGCAGTCAATGCTGTGCACGGAGTCAGCGTTACGTAGACAAACCAAGAGGGGGAACTTATCCTTTGACGCCAGAGGAAGCTCCTGCACCAAGGTGGGTTTGAGAGCCTTCAGGAAGAGTCAGTATACATCATCACAACAGGTGATATTCAGCTCACCGATTCCATCGATAGGAATGCCCGCAGCCAACCACTTCTTGACATGAGTCACCATTCCCTGCGTTTTGGCATAGCTAGCCGAGTCGAGGCTTTGACGGTCAGCTACAGCTCACATCCAGCAAAACAAATGCTTACTTGTAATCGTTGATGTACAGCTTCGCAGAGGGATCCACAGAGCGCGCCGTCTGGAAGGCAATCCGCACAAAGTCCTCGCCCAGCACGCGGGAGAAAACGCTATCGCGGAGGGAGCCGTCCTCGTTGAAGATCTCGTTGACGACGTCCTTGGACATATTAGCGCAGCTGGCTTCGTGTTGGATAGATGGCAAGTTACCCAGGCGTAGATCTGGCCCTTGTACCGGGTCATGATGGTGGTGATGTGGTTCTTCAGCACCGAGGTCAGGGTGTTCTTGTCGGTGATAGACGACACCCAGGACGGGAGTTGGGAGTGCCAGACTACACTGTCAGCTTATCCTATATCCTTGAGATGGTGAATACTGGGGCATACCTAAAGTGTGCCCGCGGACCTTTTTGCCATTCTGTTTGGCATAGTTGACCTATTCGAACTTAGTATGTACTCGACAGAGATGACCAAATTGCATACCAGAAAATCAGCACCGGCAAAGTTAAAGTTTCCTCGCGATGCTAAACAGAGATATGTCAATACGTTATGTCAATCAGAGTGACAGAGACCTACGCTCAGTAGCATCCCACTTCATGCTATTCTCCGGCGTCAACTGGCCAAAATCTTTTCGCACAATGGCCTCATTCTGCGAGTTCTGGAGCAGAGCTTGGTCACTGCAGGTGCCAAAGTACTTTTTGCCATGGGATGTAAAGGCCTGGTTGATGCTCGTTGCCCGGCGTTCGATCACAGCCGCCGAGACCAGGGAGACAAAGAGAATGCTGCTGAGGAGCTTGCTGAGGACGACCATTTTGAATTTGATTGAACTGAATCAGATTCTTGGATGTTTGAGGTGTTGCTTTGCTGAGAGTGAAGGCTTCTGACAGCCGTATTTATAGTCGAGACTGCTGCCAGAAGTACAGGTACTCCACATGATTCAGGGTCTGTCGTTTAGCCTATATTCAGTTTCACCCTTCAGTCCAATCTATCTATCTGAGGAAATGCTGCAGAATGTTGTCACTCTGCGACTGGGCTTGTTTCAGCCAAGCTTTGCTTTAATATCTGTTTGTTGATCCCCCACCGGTAGTAGAGTCCTATATCAACTCAACGGCAATTGATAGGCAGTCAATTAGCCGGTTGAAGAGTTCAGCCGGTGGTTAATATTCCTGTCTATACTATACAGATCGAGCCTTTGCCCCTTTTGTCACGGGTCCCCTCCAAAGACCACCCTGTCAGCTCCATCTGACCTGGTCCAGCACGGCCACCATCTGCACTCTACAGGCATCATCACCATCATACGTATCAGAAGACAGGCTGAAAGGATAAAAGTCACCATCCTGACCATACCATCCCACCCAATCCCATAACTCGTTCGGATTCGAAAACAACGTCCCCCGGATCACCCGCAGGAAATTATCCCCCGTCGTCTACGAATACAGTACAAGCATATCGTTCGCATCCGCCTACCGCCTCTACCCCGTATTCACAAGGAGATTCTTCCCGCTATGCCCATGGTCTTCAGACACCCATGCATCGCAACATGTCCACCGGGCTTGCACGACAGGCGTATACAAATAGCCTGTATGAACCATGGCAGCTGCTCCGTATCCGCTACTCTGCGCGAATGAGACACCGATTCGGGCAGTGTGCCTTCCCTGCGGGGGCGAAGGGATTCGTCTATCCAGTTCAGCACGACGCCGCCGCCGCAGTTTGGTGTAGGAAGGTTGCCATGCTGCAGGGGTTGTTGCGAGGGCGCCAAGGTTTGTCTGGAACGTATGTGCTGCGGACTCGGTGGTGATTGGGGGGGGGATATGCTGGGGATAGTGAATCAGGTGAGCTGGCTGTGCAGCTGGATCATCATGTTTGAACCGACGGTTGTATCCGCCGTGCCGACTTGGAGGTACGTTTTGGAATCAGGCAGATGAGTGTACACGAGCTCATGTTGCATTACACTCTATGTACCCTTGTTGTAGTTGATGCTGTGAAACCGCAGGACGGACGGACGGATCTCCTGACAGGATGAGCGTGATCTGCTTCGAGGATAAGGGGGATTGATGCTGCTCCTGATTCGCAATCCCACAGCAAAGAGGCTCTGGTTCTAGGCCTATTCCTCTCGTGGCTATCGATCCATATCCGCATCATGTTGTTGCTGGAGCGCAACTGCTATGGAAGGGGGTCAAGTGGGACTACAGGCTGGAGCAATCATGTGGATACATGCGAAAAGCTTCGAACTCTTCTTCTACAGACGCTAGAACCGCTTCTGCAGACATCCATGTCCGTTCAGATGGCACCAGAGGAGACAGAGATTCACTCATACTTTAGCTGTGAATGCATTCTATTTTGGTCAACCATCAATCCCGTTAGGAAGACTTATTCATAGAAGAGTTGAATGGTCATTCGCTTCCAGTTCTTGGATTCAGGTCATATTCAGGTATGTGGGCAGTGACATAAGAGTATATTCACTAAAGATATTTCAGCTGCTTGTGCCCAGCGCCCTTTGCAAATTCCCTCTCCTCCCATCATCTATCAGCCTCTTGAATGTACACAATTTTATCTTCATTCCTATAAGAACCTTGAGCAAATACCCGTCGAATGGCTAGCGGACTTTGACATACCCCGGAGATTGAATCGAAGATCTCCTTCGTTGGCTCTATCATCTTCGTTGAGATCGGCCATAGAAACCCAAGGTGCTCCCAGCCCTCAGAAGAGATTCTGAAGGGTTCAATCCCAAGCCTCATCACTTTGAGATTGGGCAACTACAACTGATCGGTCCCAAGGATTGATTATGCCCATGTTGTGTTCAGGATCAACTACAATAGCGTAACAGAGACACTGCTGATCAGAATAATGCCGACACTTCTCCACGAATGCCATACTTGGTGCATGAGGTTCATGCAAGGGCGATAAGGTGTGCGGGATATATAGGCTAGCATGCTGTAGACTTGTTCTGCTCCTCCTGCTCATCCCTGCTATACACGGTTGTCCGGTTGCGGCTCAGTTGACAATATATGAGCCGCACAAAGTTGAAAGACCTTCCCCAGCGAATGGCAGGCTCCTATAGACAAAGGTCAGTATACGTCAACCAAGTTCTCTTCGACCTATTCTTTGCCCTAGAACAACACAAAGCAACAGTTACTGTTTGATACATTCTACTATGGTCTACGCTCAATCTTTTGGGAAATGTCAATCACAGACGAGTTGAATAGTCACTCTTAGGTCCAGTGCAGTATTTGTACTCGGGAAAAAAGAAAGAAAAAAAGAAAGGGAGAACAGAAAGAAAATCTGCCAGAGTCTCAAACCAAGGCAGCAAGGCCAACAGACTCCCTATACTCACGCAACCTCCCAAGGACAGCCGCACCATTCCACAACTCGCCGTCTTCGCCGTCGCTCTTCTCCGGCATCCCTACCTGCTCCAACGCAAATGACCCTCCCACGGCCCCGTAGCAAGCCGCCTCAACCACATTTCCCGTATGGAGGTAGCCAACGGCATACGCCCCGAGAAATGCATTACCGGCACCGGTGGGATCGACGACCTTGGATTGCTGCGTCCACCCTGGTCCGGACGTATAGAACGGGGGCAGCCACGTGGGAGGGATATCGCGAGCGACAACGACGCTACCGTTCTCGCCTGCCCGGACGACCACGGTGCCTTTCCCGTCTGGGCCGATGCCGCTCTCCAGAATTCTTCGCGCCAAGGACTCAATCGTGGCCTTGTCCTGAGCGGTTGCTGGTGATTCGCCAAAGAGCGCGGCGAGCTCTAGGTGGTTTGGCGAGAGGACGTCGACGACGCGTGCAGCGTCCAGACATGGCTGGAGGTTCTCGGGTTTGCAGGAGTAAGGGGCAGGTTCCCAGATTATGAAAGGGCGGTCTAGTGCGCCTGCTTCTCTTCTGAGAGCGAGGAGGCTCGAGACACGGGTTTTGATGTCATGGGGGGTCTCGAGGTAGTGGTATGCTTTTGAGGTTAGGAGGGGTGTGTTCTTTATGTTGCTGTCGTGGACTGGGAGGAGGGGTGTTGTGTACGTGAAGTGTTTCGCTGGGCCCATTAGTCCTTACTCTTGTTCATGACGAATGAATCGGGAGGTTCCGCACGTCCAAACGTAGTATCCTCATACTCCAGTAAACCTCTGGTCGATGGCTTGTCTGATTCTCTTTCTACAATCAACGTTGCATCCCAGCTTTTTAACCGGTCCTCCATGAGCTTTGGAAAGTCATTCCCAGTATGGATCATCCAGCCCAAGGTATGGCTCAGCGGATGGCGGAGGAATAATCGAGCACCGAGCGTGGCTGCACCACGGATCAGCCCATCGACATGTTGTACAGCGCGATCAGCTGAGAATGCCAGAATAGAACCAACCATAGGCACCAGAACCGCCCAGAACATCGAGTAAAGGCTCCTGGTTGGGGAAGCGGATCTCGTCGAGGACCACCAAGCCGAGGCTTGTGAAGGAGATGCTGGGTGTGTTCATGATTGGAGATCGCGATCAATCACATATCAAGAGGTGCTTTAGTGTTAACACTAGTATCTAGCCTGCCCTTATCAACAATTGACGTTCTACGATTATTTGACAGAATTATATTCACCTTCATGGAGACTGCGCGTCGCTGGCTTGCTGATCACATGACTGCAATGACAAATATTTGGCGTAACTCAGTCACCTGACCTCTCATCTACCAAAAGTCCAAAACCCTAACTCCTTACAGAACCAGCTCTCCATGAAGTTATAAGTGACTTATAGCTGTAGTTCCTAGGATATTTATGGATACACTGTAGGATAGGTTAAGTTGTCAAATCTTATAAAGCATCATTGGCCTACCATTACTTAAATTACTATCACAGCTGCTGGCCACCGTACGTTTTGATGATTAGTGCCCCCAGGGCCCCAGCCTTGGAACGCACTATCTAGTGAAAAGCATATTATTAACATACTGGGATATATACCAGGTATGTTAGCCATTTTCCTGGGCCATGCAAACTTTACCTCATCTATGCCATTACGCAATTCTGGATCATCAATGCCAGATTCAAAATGTCTCACCTAACTCTTCGCTGCGTCGTTTCTCGAAGCAAACGGACACGGAAGGAGGACTGTCTGCAACATGGAATACAAGCGCATTACGAGCTTCATAACAAGAGTTCGCTCTCTCGAGTCCACCGAAGAACAGCCCGAGCCACTCATCCAAGTCAGAAAGTATCCGGTATTCAAGGACAAATACTGGGAGCCATGCCTCATGTTGTATCGAGCTCGCATCCCCTACAAGGTCTGGAGTTATCGCGACGTCCTTCTTGCGTATGGCGCTGCTCACAATGAGGGATTCCGAGAACTGCATCTCCTCGTCAACGACGTAGAAAAGGCTGCTCAGACTCTACAGGAAGGTGGATACCTTCGCACAGGCCTGAGCCACCTCCAGGGTGACCTGGGGATACCTGAAAGCGAGATTTCCAAGGCGTGTCGGCTGGTTAGTCCGACCGCGCTTGATGAAGGGATCGCTCAGATCCGAAGACGGACGTCCCGCGATCCGGCGGAGATCCTTGCGGACATCCGCAGAGGGCACGAATGGCTTTATGTCCGGGGGGTGGCATTGCTCGCGGCAGAGAGCTGGGCCTACGAGCCGATTGGACCAGAGGACGAGGAGCCCATCCCCGAGCTACACGAGTACTTCAACTCTCATGTTTCCCTGTGGCTTGCCGGCAGTTCCAAGAAGCGTGTGCAGGACATGTATGTCCAAGATGTTATCGCGATCATCATCACTGAGCTTGATGAGGCCTGGACTGTGGGATTTGAGAAGGGTGTTAGGGTGATTTACCGGCCTATACTCTTTGATCTAATGCGGCAGAACCACGAGAAACTGGTCGGTCGTCTCCGAGCGTGGGAGCTGGGGACGCGGTTGTTGTCCTATGAGGCGTATCGTGATTATCATCGGAGTCGAATCGAGAGGGATATGAATGTACAAGATCTACCGTGTCCGTTTTGGTCGCATGGCGCTGTCCGCGAGCGGCCCAGATTGATGATCGAACGGAAAGTCGAGAGAAGCGGAGGCTGCCCCGACGCGGTAATAGGGTACAGGGCCATCCTTCCGAGCTTTACTTGGCTTGTCAAGATTCCAGCTGGGAAAGGATGGATCCAGATCTCGATGAATGTTTTCCAAGTGATTAAGAACAGACCCAGCAAGCGAGCCTTGGTAAGGGACTGATGCTGGCTGTGGAAACTTAGCAAAGAGTATTCAAAGAGCTCCAGGCATACTGTGTGTTAACTAATTGCGTATCACATGTGTCATTGAATCCACAATTGAAGAAAGTCTCATAGTGTCAGACGATACATTCGGCCAGAAGTAACAGGAAGAACTCATAAAGTTTCATTTGCCTTATTCCACGAGTAACACACCATGAGGAAAATTGGCAGTTCTAACGCCTTGTAAAGTGAATGCAGTCTTATACCCAGGATTCTAGGATACTAGTATGATATAATTCACTGCATGCACTGCAACTCTATCATAGAGCACAAGACAGACAAATCAACAATTACATGCATCATTGCAGAGTATGACAGTCAACTTGAAGCACCCACTATTGATGCTGCAGGCCTTAATTGCACATCTAAGGCAGCTGCACCACAAATATACAGGAGGCGAGTGGGTAGTTGGATTGGATGCTCATGATGCTTGGATGTCGTCTGATAGCTCGAAATGCGTGAATTCGAAGCTCTCCATAAAGGATGGACTTTCAAGAATTATCAAGGACATATATATTAAAGAAGAACCCTGGGAACTGTTGAGCTAGCTTCTAAGAGCAGCCTTGTCATTATTAACGGCTGATGACAGATTAAACAGTCTATTAAGATTCATCTTTGAATAATGAGCTGATATCTATATCCTTTTTCAACCAAGGTCATGATTTGACCTCATGGGAGAATCTAAGGGGGTCAGAAAACAGATCAGTTTTGTTTTAGCACCTTTAGAAGCAGGTGGCTGCCATAGTTATACGGGAGAACTTGATCATTTATGATATTATCAGAGATGACAAAGACTACTATCCAGTGAATCTTCCTGCCAGTATGAATTATTGGCTAAAATTAACTTACATTCAATTTACAAGTGAATGAAGCATGTAGATTGAACCATGGAGCTACTGTAAGATTCACTTGTGTCAAAGTATAGCTCCCTCTAAGAACACCGAGCTTGAAGGATCTACCTGTTTATAAATTGCTGCACACCTTAGGCAGTCTGACTTAACGAGACGGATATTGAGTATCATTCTGCCAATAAGCCCTCACGATGGCAGGGGAAAAGGCTGGCTCAAAGACCGGAAAAGCTCTCCAGAAGGTGAAGAGTGCACTGAACCTAAAGAAGCGATTTTCGAAGATAAACCTGCGCAACGAAGGCCAGAGCCAGAAGACCCCTACTCAGGGACGCAACGAACGATCTCGCCAATGCAAGTGCCTGGGAGCCAGGCCCGGTGATCCTCCAAATATCGGGTTGCAGAACATGACTAGCGAGGAGCTCAGGGAGGTCTTGAAACGAAGCCCGCTCGGCGTTGCCTCAAGGGCGTGTTGACTATGGATTCATAGGAGGTGCTGCTTTAATCACATATGGTCAACTCAGAATGACAAAGGACGTTGACATCTTGGTCCCTGATGGCCAGGTCCAGTACGCACGCCAACTGTTGAGACAAAATTCTGGTGGACGCTTTAACTGGGACCCTGCCTACAGCCACACCCATATGTGGTACGAATTGGATCATCGCTGCGTGAATATTGACGTGGTCAGTCCTCAACAGCTCGGCCTCCCTCAGGACTTCTTACAGACACCGAATGGTGCAAGAGTTACATATCATAGACGCCGCCTGGTGCATCCTCGCGGCATCATGCAGATGAAAAGGATCGCCCAGCAATCCCGAGCGTCGCCTACGGACGCCGAAGATATAGCGTGGCTGGAGGGGCGCATCGAGGGCTTGGAGAGAGAAATCGCCGAACAGAGACCGACGGATCCGGTGAGCTGGGATGCTGCCCGGCAAGGTCCTCCCCCATGAATCCTGAGAGTCTTTCCCAGAAGCATTGGTGCGGGGATTAGCCAGTGGACAGGACAATGTTTGTCCATGTCGGATTCAAGGTCCACAAGATGTGCTGGCTGGGACCAGGATTTGGCACTTTATGGTCTAGTCCGTCTGGAAGACTACATAACGACAATGACTTTGAGGAATACGGTGAAGATTAAGCATGACGGGAGGGCTTCAGCACCTGAGATTTCCCATCTCACCTAGACAGGAATAGCACTAATATGCCAAATGATGGGAGAGGAAGGAATTTGCGACGGGCTCTGGATGGAGGCAGCCGGAATATCTTCAGTGAATATACCCTTGTGCGCTGCTACAGAGCTCCTGGGCAGGAACAGAAATACTACAGTTCGTAAGGCTTGCAGGGCTTCTATCTTTAGTACCGATGGGTATTTCACCTCATTCTCCGAATGCTGTGTGCGCTCTCCCGATCTGTTGAGCAGTGAGTATTAGGCTCGGTCTGGAGAAATATCTAGTAAAAGGCTGTACAAGCTGTTTGAGATATCTGGTGTACAATCATTAAGGCAACCCGAACCGCTGCATCTCCGCTGATAGAAGCTGGAGTCCCTTATTGATCAGTTACTGCAAGGCTAATATCTTTATTACTAGTTTATTGCTCAGTTAACATATGAAACTCTATTAAGTCTAGCTAGCCTGAACGACAGGGTATATGAAAGTCAATGATCGTCGTACCAGACCCCGCTATCGACACGTCTATTGAATGCGGGGTCCCGCGATCTGCCTTGGAGGCATCGAGGGCATCACCAGAGCACATATATACACGGTATGTCGAGGAACCTGGGATATGCATCAAGCCTCAGTAAATGAATGTTCATTCGCCGATTCTCCTGGTTTGAGATGGATCCTTCTTCAAGCGGGTAATACACCCGGTGACGACATGCCGGTTCACTCGAGACTGTCATCTTGAAAATCAATCTCACAGAGCTCTGGACGAGATGAGATGCGTGATCACTTCCCTCACGGCATTCGGCCGGGCCGGTGATATGCGGTGGTGGAGCCCGCCCCGATACAAGTCCGCAGTCCGCTAGGGTTAGGGCTGCCTGCCCCATATGTCATGTGACGTGACCATGATATCTTTTATCAATGTTTATCTTGAAATAAACGAATGCATGGCATTATTCATGATTCAGCCGGTAGCCGGTCGAGCTGTCCGTGTAAAAAGGCTCTGCCTTCGGTGTTTGCGAAGCCTCCAATCCCAAATGCCGGAATAATCCGGCACATGCGCGTCAACGACGCCCCGATCCAGTCCCGACTGACGCGTGTGAAGCGCTCCTTGGCGGGTAAGTGCGTGGGACGGTTGTACAGGTCCAGCCCGAGTAGGTGGATCGGGGTGCTGATCAATTGAATCGACGCGGGGACGGCGAGCTGCGCGATGAGGATTTTCAGATTCTCGTTGGAGGCGACCGAGTCGGGAATCGAGGCAGACACTAAAGGCGGGAGATTGAAGGAGCCGAAGATGGTGAGTGCGTCGCGGATGAGAAAGGCCGAGTAGGTGGCCAGGGGAAAGGAGCGAGTGATGGTGCGGATTTTGGGCTGAGAGGTGGCCGTTGATGTTGCCCCGGACGGAGGGTTTGTAGCCTTGGTTGCAGATTCAGTGGTAGTGGTCGTCTTGTGGCCGAATAGTTGAGCAAACTTGACGTCTTTCCAAATGCCTACGGACGAGTTCACCACAAAGGTGGAGAAAAAGGTGGTCGTGCCTGCGATGGCATGGTCGACGGCGGGGTAGACCTTGTTAAGGATGGTTTCAGTGGCATTGGCCGTGGCGAATGTCGCGGTATATAGAGACCACACCAGCAGACTTGGCCGCGACGTGAGGAAGGTTGCAGGTTGTGTGATAGAAAGCCAGAGATGTCGGCGAAAGGCAGGTAGCAGAGGTTGATTGTAGGATGACTTTTCCACCACCAGCCTGGTTGCTGTTAGTATCAACCCGGGACAGGAGCCAGGCTGGAGACTAACCGGTCGAGAATCATAACAGCTGGAGTCACTAATGTCGCTGAACCTGCAGCAACTAGAACATCCGCCGCCAGGTATTCGGCGAGCCTATTGCGTTGGCCACCAAATGACCAGGAGTGGCGGACGGGAATGTCTTGGTCCATGGTGCTCAAACCACAGTCATCAGTCAGGCGGTTTCAAGTTCAAACGAGGTATAAATATGCAAAGATGGTAAACGCTTCTGGCTATGCAATGCTGCTGCGGTTGTTAGATGAGCAGTGGTAGACGCATATCGACGGACACGCGGCACTCACTGTGATCAACGCTAATGAGACGAGACAAATGAACGACGGTATCAAGCAAGAGTAGTAAGGATCAAGAACGAAGATGAACCACCGATATAAGAGACAAAACCCAACCATGCCAACTGTCACCGCACAATTCATACTACCGGATATGGACCATTTCGGCGGTTGCGGCCAATCAGACACTCACCGGGCCGGGAGGCCGGGTACAGTCGGTGATAGGAAAAGGGAGAAGCAATGCCGAGTCCATCGGGGGGCAAGGATGAAGGACTGTTATTGGAAAACCCATGCTGAAAAGTGGATCGGATTAGCAATAGTTTCACCTTTGAGTGTACCTTAAACCGCCAGGGACCAATCCAAATTGCGTGGTTCTAGAAGACTGGATGATCGGCATCCGGCTTTATCTCAGGCACGCAATCTATCCTGGCGATAATTGATTAAGGTGGGGTTGCCCTAACGACTGTACCCTGTGCCCTATTGCCCGTTTTGGTAATGTACCCCGCCACTTCATAGCAAGCAAGTCATGAATATTCATCTATTGTTCTCATTTCTAGTCTCAGCTGTGTTCAACCTGTGATTGCATAAGGACCAATTTACGCTGGCAGACGGACGAGGCTCAAGATCTGGCTACTTCTGGCACTGGGGATCGAGGAACTTCGCGTGGAATTACCAGATCGAGCTCTCCTAACTCAAATGGCGCAAACCTCCACAGGGACGTAACCGGGACCAGAATAACAACGATGACAGGCTACACCTACAAGCAAAAGGTGGCTTGCAGTCCTGCCGCTAAAAATAACTACGTGATAAGGACGGTACCAGAGAGCAGCACGTGATTTGATGCCTCAGGCCGTAAATCTTCGAGGCCGAGTTTAAACCGCGCAAGGCAAACTCGACGTAATATGATTCAGGGGCGAGACCACTGAAACGCTATTTCGGTGAATCCGAGCAGTGGGTCTCAAGACAAAAGATAACAGCATTCTTGATGGTCATTAATTAAACAAATGGTTTGAGCAGTAGCAGTCTGATCCAGCGCTTGAGTGAGTGGCAGCCTAACTTATCAAGAATCGCGAGATCTATCAGACCACGACGGTATGCATCCAACCTCTAGTCTCACCAACAGAGAAATGAGCAACATAGCAAATAGGCGAAAATTCAAGCCATGTCACCGGATCAAAACGCCAATATCTGCAACAACGGGACTGCCTGTATGGCCTTCCACCGTCGGACACCATCGTGTCCAATATTGACAACCTTCGCTTTCCGTTTGTGCACCCACCCTACATAATCACGCAGCACGAGTTCTGCTTCTTCGCGGACGTGTAGAACATCTTGCTCTGAGCGCTCAGCCCCTCGCTCTTGGAGACCAGGTCGTCGATTTTCTCTCCTCGTTCCAGAACCTAGCAGGTGTCAGCTCTCGTCTCGCCTCGCGAGGTTAGCTTCCAAACCACAACTTACACTCTCGATAGTCTTATGTAGTACGATCTTGGTCTCATCCAACTCCTTTTGAATCTTCATGATACTGTCAACCTCCTGAGGGTTCTGGTAGGTCGTAATGTATGTTCGCAGCTGAGGGAAGGGAACGGGGTTCCGCGAGGTCGCGGCGCCGGGGTTCTGGGACAGGAACTCATCGAGGATTTTGGAGAGGATCTGATGCGCGGCGAGGGAGGGGTACTCGTTATCACTGATGATGACACCAGCGATGCCTTGGGTTCGGGCGTAGACGTGGAATGTAAAGTCTGCCTTGATCAATACGAGCCAACCGGCGTTGATGGATCTGCCGTACCCTGCTCTTGAATATCCTGTCTCTGGCCCTGTTTTGTGCGTTCGGCAACGGTCTTGCTGAACATGGTCATGAACTCGCTGATGCTACCTCGAGTGAAACGGGAGTAGCTGCTGAGCTCGCGCTCAGCGCAGAGCTCCACAGCGGGTTGCTGGGCATTTTGTAAGATCTGGGAGAAATATCAAGTCAGTGGAGTCAGAGATTTGGGAGATAAGGGATGAGAGCACGTACTCCGATGTAAACAATCTTCATTTTGACGGACTGGGGTAGCTGTGATGACGGAATGGTGGTCCAGATCAGGTGCGGGGAAAAGATCGGGTCGGAAAAGGGGTGCTGTTCTGCCACCGCCTGCCTAAACTTCTTACAAACAAATGTCTTCGCTGATGTCCAAGCCTACAATCAATCAACACCTAGTATTACTCGAACTCTTACATGAAGAGTGATGTGAGAATCTAGATTAACTGCCAAATTCATTGATCTTTGAATGTGCAAGCAAGAAACCTTGCATATCAACAGGGAGTGTTATCCCGCACGACATGATACTCACCCAAGGCCTACTAACTAGGTAGCCTGGTACTATACTAACTAGGTATAAGCTAGACTGAACTGGACCCTCAGCAGTTGGACGACCTACCGATCGGTCCGCTGCTGCTGCTGCGAGAGGAAGAGCTCAGGGTAGTGCAAGCGCAAGTCGCACCCCGGGACCCCATATCGCTATCGAAAGGCAAGCGGATTTGCTCCCTGCCATCCGGCCAGAGAAGTTTGAAGGGTTTGCGACGCACTTCAAGGGTTTAAAGGACCTCAAACTATGGGAATTTTACGTACGGAACCGATTGAAAGTCTGTCATCTCGATTGCTTGATTAGAGAGGATATCCCAGAGCCTAGGCCCGACCATCCGCTTTACGAGAGGTGGAACAAAGTATCCAAGAGAGTCAGCTTATGGATCTTCAGTCAAATCGAAGAGAGCATTGCGCTTGACTTGATTTCAATGCCAGACGACAAAGCCTACGCCGATGACATGTTCCAAGCGGCCTCAAGCTTGTTAGCGGTACGGAAAATCTCTTCCGCGTACGACATCGCTACGGGTTATTTCCATAAAACGACAAGACTTTAGAACTACAGAGGGTTTGTCTCTGCGTTGAGGAACCGTACAACTCGCAAATGAACTGGGATGCACCATTTCGCCCTTCTGCGTCTGTGTCTTGCTGCTGCAAAAATTAAGTAGGGATATCCCAAGCTGGGTAGCATCCATTGAGGCATCCATGGATGTTAAATTCGGTGACGGTGGACCGAGAACGATTACCTGGGAATGCTTTCAGGACTATGCTATAACGCCCTAGATTCCGTTGCGGCTGCACACAGAACAAATCCGCGCCGGAAGCCCAAAAACCAAGGCAAACGACTCGTAAGTTACTAATCATATAATCAGCAAAGTTGACAGCAACGTAAATTTGCTTTCTTGACTAGATTAAGTGCGGCGGAGCTATCCAGGTCCTAGATAAGGAAATATAGGCCCAACAGTTCCTACTAACTGCTTGGATCGAATGCGACTCTAAGATCGCAGCAGGCATGAGATGGCCCATGTATGTTGACCTACACAGCATTCAGCTATCGGCCATTTTCCTCCAAAGATCCGTCTTAATGCTGCTGCGACCATGGTACAGGAACCTGTTTCAAGGAACGGACCGTCTGGAATGGAGCCTTTTACCAGGCCAAGGTACTGGCTTGAATACTACGAATTGACGAGCCTAGAAGTGCCTGGTGAACTCTATTCACCGGGAAAAATCAAGCATAAACAACTGACCGAGGAATGTCCGCTCGAAGCTAACATACCTTAAACAAGCAGTCTAAGTAGTGGATTGCTGAGCCGTTGTTGTTCGTGCGTTGAACATCATCCCTTGCTTGCATACAATCAATTGGATTGTCCACTCACGAACTGTTCCTGGATATGACAGCTGTTTATACTTTGATGTCAATGGCATCCCGGACCCATGACTCATGAGCCCTTGCTATAATTAAGTGACTGCTATTTACTCCGACCTTTTCTGGCATGTTTATCACAGAGAATGTGGATCTTGTCTAATTGAGGCTATTGAGGCTATGGACTTGACAGCTTGACAGGTACCTACATTCCAGGGCTACTCGACGAACCGCTGTCCCTTTGACGGGAATAATGCTCGACTGTTATTTTCAAGGATGTTGATATCCAAGACCTCAATCTGGAATGTAGAACTCGCCCTTGATAACCGCGTTTCTCTTTTAATACTTCACTTCCCAACATCTCAAACACTCTCTAGTCTCTTCACTCGCTTCCATTCCCTACCTCTCCCTCAATACGGCAAAATGAAGTTCACTACCGGCATCGCAGCCCTTCTTCTTGCCGTCTCCGCGGCAGCCATGGAAGCCATGGAAGCCGGTGGAAAGAAGGAGAAGGGTTGGGGCGGCCACTACCCTCCGATTCCCAGCGACATGACAGTGAAAGAGGCAGCAAAGAAGTGCGGTGACCAGGCCCAGCTATCCTGCTGCAACAGGGCCATCCGCGCCGCCGACGATACCGACATCGGGGGTACTTTGAAGAACGTTCTCGGCGGCGGATCTGGCAACACCGGCTTGGAGATTTTCGACCAGTGCTCCCATCTCGATATTCAGGGTAAGTTTTCTCCTCGTTTTGGTCAAGGACGGAGGTACTAAGTGAGACAGTTGCTATTATTGCGATCACTATCCAGGATATCCTGAATCGTGAATGCCAGGAGAATGTGGTCTGTTGCATGGAGAGCCCCGGCGATACAGTAAGTCAAGTCTTGGGCCATTTCAGTCCATGCGTAAGAGTCTAACTTGGTATAGAGCAACGATTTGCTTGGGCTCGAGATCCCCTGTATCGCACTGGGAAATCTGCTGTAGATGCGGATTTCGGACTGTATTTCTTTCATACAGATATTTATTCTCAGTCACGTATTACATTCAATATGACTATTAATATTTAACCTGGCAAGTCACGCCTTGATCTGGACCTTCGGATCCCGCACCATGCAATACAACTACACTCGTCAGCCTCATATCTAAGAAGAGTAAAAGAAACAAGGGAAAAATACCTTGCAAGCCTTCCACCCATCCACACACTCAATCTCCTTGACCACCCTAAACCCCAACTTCTCATAGATCCCCAGATTCGGCTCCCCCTTGGAGCTCTCCAGGTAACACGGCACGCCCTCCGCATCCGCCCGCCCCGTCACAGCCTCCACCAGCCTCCTTCCAACCCCCATCCCCCTCATCTCCGCGCTCACCGCAATCACATTACAGAAGTAGTATCCCGCCGGGTGCGTCCAGAGCTCCGCGTGCGTGCGCGCCTGCAGCGCCTTCCAGATCCAGTAGCGGCGGACATTCAGCCCGCCGCGGCCGCAGAAGCGGATGTTGTTGAGGAGCTGCCGGAAGGACAGGATCCAGTCTTGCGTCCAGGTGGTCCAGGTTTCCTTCTGCTGTGGGGGAAACCACCAGCAGACGCCGACGACGGGGGAGGACGGGGGCGGGTGCTTGTCTGTTGGGGTGGGGCGGTATTTGGCGATGTAGATGGGGGCGCTGCAGTTGAGGCCGTGGAGGAAGTGGGCTGTTAGGGAGGCGGGCTGTTAGGGAGGCGGCGTTGCGGTGGATGTTGAACTTCGTCAGCCTCTGTTAGTGTCTGCAGCTTGCTTAATGATATGGGTTCTGGGTGAATGTCATACTTTGGATGGGTCGTCAAAGACCCAGCGGAAGTAGGGGTCGTCGGCGAACGCCTTTTGGATGCAGACTACGGCGTCGGGGATATCGGCTTTTGTGAGTGGGAGTATATCGATTGCCATGTTTTGCTCTGTTATTCAATTTCTACTGGCTCTGCGGATGGGCTGCGATAGGGATATAGTGTATGCGTGGGAGTGTCGGCGGAGGGGATAGAGAGAGATCGCCATCTAAGGTTGGTATATTCAAATATCTGAATATCAGACTGGATTTGCGCAATACGATGATGGTAACTTTGGTAACTCTTTGTTGAAACTGATATTGGACTCGTGTTATGCTACTGACTGAGATGTGATGCTTTATAGGCTTCAGACAAGGTCATGGGGTATCCGTACAGGGCAGTTCCATGCGGTACTTTTAGATGATCCTGTGCAGCGTGTACCAAGTACAGGTGTTACATTATTGGAGCGAGCTTGCAGCCCACCTGCAAAGCCAAGTCGGACAGCGTCGTCCATTGTCGTGCGTAGATGAAGATCAGACGAATCATGGTGAAGCCGCCAACTGGCGATCCCGAGCCCCCGCGGTGGAGGGCCAAGCCTCTAGGCGGAATCAGGCAGGTTCTTGCGGTGGTGCAGTATCATTGGTGATGGTGTAAGTGTAACTTGTGGATAGAATGAGGCTGTCAGCTGAGTGGCCTTGCCCTTGAATGTACAGATGCTATCAGTTTGGGTAATTGCCCGGCTCCCGAATCATTACCACATATGTGGCATCTCCCTCTCCCCCATACAACGAGTAATCCATCACAAGATCCTCCACATCCCGCCATCCACACTTGCTATACAGCGGATACCCCTCCGGCGTGGCCTCCAGATAAATCCGGACATTCCTCTCGTCCGCTATCCGCATTCCCCAGTCAAGCAGGGCCTTTCCCACCCCTTTCCCCTGATGCTGCGGATGCGCCACCAGAAGTTCCAGAACTAATACCCGTCAGCCTGATTCACTTCCAGGGCATCTAAACTCACCAATATCATCCTCCTTGACGTATTTTTTCCTCGTCTCCTCCAACGCTTTCAGGGCTGCGTCGTAGACCGCTACATTCATCCCTGCGGGCCGCAGCTGCGCATTCTGCGCCGCCGTGGCCCTTGCTTCGTCCGAGAGAGCCACCCTCCGTCCTTTGATGTCGGGGATAACCCACCGTGCGCATCCCAGGATCTGATTCGAGACTGGGTCTGTGGCTACTAGTACATGCACCTTGGGGTCTGAGAGTTTGTCGTAGGTGCGGGAGAGTTTCACGGGCAGGGCGGCTAGCGGGGCCATATTAGGGAACATGTTGCGGTAGAAGGGGGCATGTTGGAAACAGACGATGTTCATCTCTGCGATTGCGGGCGCGTCGGCTTCCGTGGCGTAGCGTATGTCGGTCATTATTACAGTTGTCTACTCCGTATGTGGTAGATGTATGTCAAGGAAGAATTGACAGGCGGGATTAAGCAACAGGATAAGGATTGGGCGGGACTAAATAGTGTGCGTGGATAGTTGGTGTTTTGTCCATAAACGGAGTCCGACTGAGATGCCGAGGCTGGCTCAGACTCATTCTGACTCATGGAGTCATGCATGGTGATCTATCAGATTAGATTCAAGATTAGATGATGGAAAGATATATGGCATACTTTTATTGTCCGTCAATCATTATCATAGCAGCCCTCTATCCCCATTTCTTGAATAGCTTCATCTAAGCGAGAGCTACGCCCACTTCCCCAACACCCCCATCAACACCATCCCCGCAATCAGCGAGATCCCTCCGACAGCCACACTGCTCATTCTCGCATTCATCATCTCGCCTCCCTCCATCACCCAGTCCCGAGCCCACATATCGACCAGCCCAACCCACACCAGAACCCCCGCCGACAGCGCATCCAGCGTCCCCAGCGCCACAAGCGTGCTCTTGTCGTTCCCATTAAACGAATGCAGTACCCCCAGCCCGATCGCCATGCCCACCGGCGTGATCACCGCAAATGCCGCTGCCATCACCCCCTTAGCCCCCATCAGCCGGCCCGGCAGCAGCGCGATCCGCGCCCCGAGTGCCAGTCCCTCGAAGAACTGATGGAATACAATCACCACCAGCAGCGTCTTGTAGAACGAGTCGCCCGCCACCACGAGGGTCAGCCCGATCAGGACGCTGTGGAAGATCACCCCGGCTTCCATGACGAGCACGGAGAGCTGGGTGTTGGGGTTTGTGGGGTCAAGGGGAGGCCCGTGGTGGTGGCCCAGGGCGGCGAGGGTCGGTTGCTGCGGTTGGGGGGAGGGTGGTTCTTTGCCTGTGGGTGAGGGGGATGATTCGCAGGTCTGCTCGGGACAGGGTGACGCGGACCGCTTCCCACGGGCGAGGATGATGCGGTGGCCGATGTACTCGAAGAGAAAGGAGAGGAAGATGCCGGCCATGACCACGGCGGAGGTGGTCGCTTCGTATTCGAGTTCGCCGAGGCACTCGTTCGTGAACATGAGGTTGGCGTGCGTGTAGAGCTGTTCGGTTAGTTGGTTTCGGTCATCTGGGGCGGACGGTGGAACGGGGACGTACATGCACGAACGCAGTGGAGAGGATGACGCCCGTTCCGAACTGCTTGATCACCGTTGAGACGACTCCGTTTACCTTGGCAGAGGGCAATTTGACCAGGAGCATGGGCAGTAACACGCCGATGGAGCTGGTGACGAGCACAACGAACAGGGTCCCGATGCGCAAGGGCACGTCGTAGTCGCGGCTTCGGACTCCACAGGATTTATGGCTGCTTCCGCTTTCGGACTCTCCCGCGCCCACGCAGTGTCTAGATTGGTTAGTATTAGCACTGGGGATACAAGCAGAGGAGGACGTACTCAACACCGGCGTGAAAGTGACAATTCATGCCTTCCTTCGACCCCGAGTGCGATCCCTCGCTCGAGCTAGATGAAGATGAACCTTCCGTTGAATCACCGTCTTCGACGATCTGGACGTCGTTTCCCTCCAGATCCATGCAGAACCTTCCGCTGTCAGCTACAGTCGATCAGAATACAACAGACACTTACGTTTCTCCACCATGAGAATGGCATCCCGTGTACTGGGCCGGCAGTTCCCCCGTCGGTGTCGAGGCCAGCACCACTTGCACCTCGTGGCCATCCCCGTCGATACAGAATAGCTCGCTGCCATGGCTGTGGCATCCCGTCACGGCGGAGGCGTGAGCGGAGGTGGTCGTGCTGGCGGCGGTGGTTGCAGGAACCGTCTTGGAAGTTGGAGTCGGCGTAGGAAATGGGGTTTCCTTTCCATCTGGGCCGAAGCAGTACTCGGTGCTGCCGTGGGTGTGGCAGCCCGTATAAGTCTGCGCGTGGACAAGGCCGAGAAGAGACAGCAGGAGGAGAGCTTTGGCCATGACTGATTGGATTTGGATCTGGTCAATCGGGTAGCTACATGTTAGGTGGTATTTATATCAATCTAGGCAGCAATCCTAGGGCTATCAGAATCGCTCGATGGATCATTCGATGAGGATAGGCCTCTGGCAACGAAGAGTTTTCCATCAGCCTTGAGCACACCACACTAACTCCCAAGGTATCTGCGGCCAAGGACAGAATCTGACTGCCAAGGTGGAAAACTCCGCATCCTCGACGAAATGCAGCATATTCTCTGGCAAAATAGATCGAGACTCGTGCTTGTTGCTCTCAGGGTCCTCGATCCAAGCCTCTTGGCTCCTCCGCCGGAATTCTTGGCGCGGGCTGGCTTCCTGCATCGATATCAGGTATTGACCTCATGTTGCATCGTGAGGGATTTGGGTTGGTACTTACCTTCAGTATGATATGCTTCAAGTTTGTAGAGCATGGACGAGCTATTTCAAGGCTGCATAGGCAGGTCACCGTATGCAACTCAAATCATGTACGAACAGATCATATTCATGGCTGACAGAAGCTCAATATCATAGCTTATTGGGACAGACCGAGTCGAGAAACAGCTTTGTCACTACCAAGGTAACCTTGGCGTCTGTGGAACCAACTAGAATACGAGAAGAGACCATGCGTCTCGATGGCTTGACCTTCGTCGTGGTGGGCCGATGGCCGATTCCAACAATGAGACAATGAGTACCTCGATACTGCGAGGATTCCATCCTCAAGGTATATAAGGATGCCCTACCTCTGGCCAGAAAGCAAACCCACACACCATCCATCTTTAATACACTCAAAATGGCTGCTCTCCTCCGCCTTGCCGTTCTCCTCCCCCTCGTCGCCGCCCTCCCTACATCCCCCTCTCCCATCGCGGCGCGAGCAAACCCCCACGAACCAGTCTTTTTCTCCTGGGACGCTGGCGCGGTTACCTCCTACCCCATCCACTCCAGCTGCAATGCCACTCAGCGCAGGCAGATCGAGGCCGGCCTGGACGAGGCGATCGAGCTCGCCCGCCACGCAAAGGCCCATATCCTCCGCTGGAGCAACGAGAGCGAGATCTACCGGAAGTACTTTGGCAACCGGCCCACCATGGAGGCCATCGGCGCCTACGATGTCATCGTGAACGGCGACAAGGCCAACGTCCTCTTCCGGTGTGATAATCCCGACGGCAACTGTGATCTGGAAGGTAGGCCCTTCCCGCCCCCGCAACTAACAGCCTCTCCCTTGACATGCAGCAACAGCTAATTAAACAGGCTGGGGCGGCCACTGGCGCGGAGAAAACGCCACCCACGAAACCGTCATCTGCGACCGGAGCTACACCACCCGCCGCTCGCTGCTCACCATGTGCGGTCAAGGCTACACCGTCGCCGGCTCCGAGACCAACACCTTCTGGGCCGCGGATCTGATGCACCGCCTGTACCATGTGCCTGATGTCGGACAGGGCCGGATCGAGCACTTTGCCGACGGCTACGACGAGGTGATTGCCCTGGCCAAGGGGAATGGGACGGAGTCCACGCATGACTCGGAAGCGTTGCAGTATTTTGCGCTCGAGGCGTATGCGTTTGATATTGCGGTGCCTCGTGTCGGATGTGCTGGTGAGAGTCACAGCCATGACCATGGGCATGACACCGGGTCTGCGTCTGCTACGTCTAGCTCTGGCTCTGTGGCCACGGCTACCCCGACGGAAACTCCCAGTGCGACCGCTGATGTGCCGCCGGTAAGTACAGTGCTAATCTGGCAAGAGGATGGCTGACTGACCTTGGTAGAACTGCCATACCCATGAAGGTGGACAGCTTCATTGCACTTAGGCGAGGACACCATGCTTGATGACCGTATGCTTGACGCCGTATGCTTGATGATCGTATACGCCTGGTTAGGATCTTGAGTAACTGGGGATTAATGTCTATTGTTTGAAAAAAACGTCGTAGACACATTTGCTTTGGCTTGACATACCAGACCCAATATAGACGTTCTTTATAATCCGTCGAGAGTTAGACTATTATCATCTAAGCAGACGCACTCCGGGATCCGTGCCGTCGTGAACGAACGCCATCGGCGACATGTACAGTCGGCGCCGTGAAGTCCTCCAGTGCCCCAGTCGGCTCAGCAGAGCTCCACGCATCCATGTCTCCTCTACCTCTGGTCCTCCCGGAGAAGGACACCGGTCATGGCAGTACGGATGTACTTCAAGCGGAGTATCGCTGACTGGTGACGATGTAGGTGGATACGTTCCGCCGGGGGCAGACTCTCGGCGTGGTCTTCGGGTGTGCCTCGCGGACGTCCACCCTGCGCCAACTCCCGGTATCTCGGCCAGCCAGACGAAGGCTTTTGTAGTGTTGCGGCGCAGACGACTCCGTTCACGACGGTGTTGTACGGGAACAGGCGGCTAGTACGTCCATCTTCTACCCTCTTCCCATTACAGCTCAATTCATGATGATACCTTCTCGAACGAAAAAAAACACCTCTAATATACGTGTCATTCCTCCAGCTACAGCGGAACCGACGTCGCTGTCCGTGAAGAGACCGGTACGTACCGCCAACTGTCCGATTCGTGGTGTTCAATAGCTTAGACGCGTAGAAATCGGTTCTCTGGCACGAATATCGACCAGTCCGTCATCCTTTCTTTGGAGAAGTGGAAATGGTATGTGGATAGTGGTTACTGGACGAATGCCCTGCACCCGTTTTGGCTTGCTGGAAGGTCTGTCGCATTATTCTGCGCATTCGGCTATAGTTGAGACGGTAAATCGGATCGAGTGAGAGATGAGGATCTTAGGGCGTTTGGGGTGCGAGGATGAAGATGAGGAGGATTGTATGTAGTCGTCCCATACAGCTGGTTTGTATATAGATTTACAGAGTGGATGCATTTATATATTTCTGGATGGTCAACTCTACAGTGTGCCAACAATGCATCCATTATTAAACGGAAATATATTCCGAGAAACACCAAGTCCATTTGCAATGGACTTGACTATCACCTTCTGTAAAGATCATCTTCTCTACATATATATCTGGTGGCCATATGGTTGTAAACTGATGCTGATGGCTGTAATGACCAGTAGAAGCTATATTGAGCACACAGCCAAGGTATGTACATACATGTCGCATAATGATATACTGCTAACAACACACTACTGCTACACTCCGTGTAATGCACTGCGTAGCCCCCGTACATCAGTGTAAACAATTGAACCTCTCTAATTGAACTGACATATCCCAGAACAAGTCCAACAATAGGGAAACCTCAGACTAGCCTTCTAGCCAGGACATCTCACTGCCAGGTACCGTCCATTCTCAATGTCGTCCGGTCGACGTCAACAGCTCTCTTAACACGCAGGAAATGAGGATGTTACATGTTTCCCTAGAAACACACATTGCGAGAGTATTTTAGGCAAACAATGCAGCCAAAGAACGCGACAATTGAGGATGCCCTGCTTGCGCAGCGAGGAGTAGGACAACGGCGTTGGAATGTCTTGTGGAATGGGTGATTGCAGGTACCGCTACGTGCTGGGTAGTATCAAGGGGTCTTGGCTGAGGACAGTGTTCCCTTCCAGCGTCGGACAGGATAATTAATAATTGGTGGGAAAGTCGTACCTGGATACCCCTTGATTCAACAGGTGAGGTGATGCAAGCGTTGGTTCTCATCTGTGGACAGATTGACTGAGGACATGGTCTTGAGAGTACTTGTTGAGTTGATGATGCTACTACTTCATCTGTAGGATTAAAGGATTCTGAGCATGACTATGTATGATAAAATGTTAGATGATAGGAGGGTGGAGAGTGGCGGTAAGTCAAACAAAGAATATAGCTAGAAACTGGAGCATAGGACTTGTACACGCTTGTGACTCAACGTCCACACAGTCTGTAGATAGGTAGTAGATAGATCAGTATATCCGCTTAATACTTGTTACTCAAGCCGTTACTCATGCAGGCGAGTATGCTGTTGGTATCTGCCGTAACGTCTAGGATAGTTGTACTCCATATCTAGATCCCTATTCTTGAGTAGAAACATATAGGACGATGAACTGTTATAAAGATGAAAACTACTTCTCGCAGTTTGAAGAGATTTGCAGATTCTAGTAACTAGAATCATCACATTATGAGTCGATTATACGTGGATATCAGTATCTTGTACCTCTTAGTAGGGTTTCTCTAAATCTCGACACATGTGGGATATATATATATACACAGCGATTGTTGGGAGTACCTTAGCCTCAACATATAGATAAAGAAGTGGCAAATACCCCCTATCTAGGCTACAATGTTAGTGCATGATATTCAGGAGATCTGCAGAGCAATCCTAATAGTGCATTTAGTTTTGTGATACTCATAGTTTGATAGTACAGAAGAATCTGTCTGTAAAACCAATGCTTTTCACCATTGACCATTCCAGCAGCAATGTCAATAACAAACTGTATGAAAACTTCAAGACAATCTCTCAATCAAGTAGTCTAGTATTTTGTAGAAAAAGGTTTGAACCGAACAACTGAAATTATGGAAGACTTGCGGGGGACCTGAAAGTGTAATAGTTTAGGGGGCACCATCACTAGTTGACCAGGGAGACGTACTCTGGAGGCGTCAACACTTAACTCTAAACAACGCCCTAGTCCAGTTTGCAGTCCAGACTCGCTCTCTGTCTCCTTTTCTTAGGCTATTCTAACATGTAGTTCAATCAAAGCTAGTCCTGAAGAGTGACACTACTAAACTTTAGCACCGTCTTGGCAACATGGCGACACCCTTTTCTATTGCATCTGTCGCATGCTTCCCCTTCCCATATCACCAGGGCAATCAACTGGAGACGTTGGCCAGAGATGTAGTCCAGGGGAACGGAAGGAATGCCTCCACAATCCCAGAACCTAGTATCAGAAACACAGAACTTGTTCGTAGCTGAAGCGACTGAACACAACTTTGCCTTCTGCACGTTCCCCAAGCCTTTTAGTTCCGTTCCTGATAGGTCATATTGGCTCGGCCGGTTGAGAAGCGGCCTGGGGGCTGCACACATGGGGGAAGCCGCATCGCATGACCCCCTTCCCTGCCCCGAGACATTTGTCTTGCACTCTTGGAGGATTTGGAAAGAGGGGTACAAACGAACTTTATATTATTATTTTGCCTCCCCGATCAGACGTGGCATCCTTATTTCTGTGCGTTGTCAATTGAGATTGTCTCTATTTCCTGGCAGCATTGATCTACGCTCTGGCGCATCGCTGTCGAAGGAGGTTTCGAAGTCATTACATTACCGCCCTGTCCGCGTCGCCCCTTCACTCGCAGCTTTTACCTTGTATATTTTTTTTCGCAACACATATTCTTCGCCATGAGTCCCTCGTTGCAATTGCACACTCACTCTCAGAAGGATGAGAAACTTCCCTCCTGCTCCTCCAAGACTCTAGTCGCTCCTCCGCCCGTGGAATCCCCCAAGTCTCCGGAAGACTATGACCCTTGTGTCAATGCAAAGCCATACTCCCCCTTTTATCGACATGCCACAACCTCGTTCGCCTTGGAACAGTCAAGATCTCAAACGAAGAAACCGAACTGCAGTGTGGATGGAATGCATGACTTGGAAAGTGCACCATCGCAAACACCGTACAAGCAATCAATGGACGTACCGGGCTGCCGCACCTCGAAGCTGTGGACGAAGAAGCGGAAACGTTGCGGTTGCATGCAGTCCTTGACGAAGAAGCAGAGGATGGCAGTCAAGGTCGTCATCGCCGTTGTCACGCTGGGGAGCATGGTGGCTATTGCCTTGGGAATCACCGTCGCTGTGGGCGGCGGAGTGTGGAAATCCGATCACCAACAAGGGGCCATCGTTGTAAAACAGTAAGTGCATTTATAGTATGCCATGGATAATTGCTCTTGTATCCGGGCCACTGACTCATGAGTTTTGACAGGTGAAGCATTAGAATCGTACACCGTGCTAGTCGTCTACTTGTACGGACTCGAGCTCCGTTGTCCGATGCCGACTACCCTGGATGTCAAGCGCGCATCTGCTCGAGTCCACTATTTCACAAAGTCACATCGGGTTGACCATGGCGGAACCCTTTATCATCTCCAGGAAACACCCGGTCGGAAGCTGCAGCAGGCTGTCCAGGGAACGCCAAAGGGAGTGCCGATGTCCAGCATAGGGGCGTTAGACCGGCCACCCTCCCGCGCAGAGGATCGATCGTACAGAAGGATCCATTTCTTTTTTCTTGGGTGTTTCTATTCTGGGATACAAGCTGTGTACATTAATTTGGAACAAAGTATGACAAGAATCGATGATAGGATCTCTACGCAATCTTCCAGAAGCTGGATTGAAGTTTTCACTACTACTGATTATCCACCCGGGATGTGCCTGGCAGCCTTGTTGCCTGGCGGCGGAAGAACGGTCGGCCCCTGACACGTGACCCACAACCAACTACAAAATCGCCCATTCCGCGTCGATCTCTTTGCTCCCTTTCTTTTCCTTTTTTTCCTCACATCGAAAAGCTTTAACAGAACCTGCCACGACCATCGTCCAGTTTTTCTATCCCACGGCGGTGTGTTGCCTTCGATCTTTCGATCGTTCGGTTCTGGAGAACAAATGCTTTCCTTGATAGGAAGTTTGCCTTCCGTTGGGTCCTCTTAAGTGAGGGCGATGGAGGGTGAATGTCGATGACGGGATACATCTCTTTTTCTTACTTGACAGATCTTACCGATATAGAATGAATATAAATTGGTTTTGGAATATCTGAATCTTTTTTTTTCCCCTTGCCTTGTATATGCTCGTAATCCTGGCGGACGATCTTGCGTGTTGCTCGACTTGCATGTTTCAAGCCGGGCTGCAGTCGGCGATCGATGCTCTGATGTCTTTTGTCTCTAGTTGAAAGACATGTGCAACGCCAACGGTCGTTGTTATTGTGCTGAGCCGGAGATTTTTTGCGACTATCATTCGATCAGTGGCTCCTCTTGCAAGACAAACGTCTGTGGGATCGTGTTAAATTACCCAGGGATAACTTCCGGTATGCCCTGCAAGGGGTTACCAAGCTGCCCTGGGGATGTGATCCTGAGCCCAGTGAGTACCCAGTACTCATACAGATCCCGGACCTTCTCGTGTTGATGTTGCTCTCAGGAATGCCAGAACTGCGTTTCGGAGCGTTCCGGTCGATGAACGAAGCCACAGTGCCCACGGCCACCACCACCTGATGGACCGTGTGGTTCATTCCTGGCGACATTCTCCTGACGCCTAAACAAGGTCAGGTCCGTGTTGTTTGTTTAGCTCACCAGGGGATGATCTACATGCCTCGAGTCGAAAGAGGTAGGAAAGAGAGTCATAAAAGGCATGAACCTTGCCGATGGAAGTAAGTGCTTAATATCAAACTTCCAACGACTGACACAGGTACCGGCAATTCGTTCCTTTTCATTTTACTTCTTCATTTGTCTTTGTACCCTTCCGTTGGGCTTGTAGTCCAGATTCACTCGTTAATCTGTTTAATTCTCCATAAGGAGATATCATGAAGGGATTGGTCGGAGGAATCCCTCTTGCCCTCCTCGTCGCCGCCGTCGCCAACGGCCATGGCGAGGCAGGACAGGAGGAGGGCCCGGTCACTTTGATCGGTGGCCCCAGTGGTGACGACGGTGGGAATAGTGCTGCTATCGCGTTCGACAGCAGCTACAGTTCCAGTGTGAAGGACACCTACAAGGACGACCACTCCGTTGATCTGAAGAACACTGTGGTCGTCCCCGCTCCCCCTCAACCTCCGGTGTCTGGTTTCCGCAAGAGAGATGACGGGGAGACCACTTTCTTTCGCGGCCCTTCAGGGAATGATGGTGGTAACAGCGCGGAAATCGAATTCGACAGTGCGTATGCTTCAGTCGTGGAGGACTGGTACAAGGACGATCACTCGACAGACATCAAGAACACTGTGATCGCTCCCCCTCCTCCTCCACCTCATCGTCGTCCTCCTATGCCTGGTTTCCGCAGGCGAGGTGATCCCGCAGTAACCTTCATCAAAGGTCCATCTGGCGATGACGAGGGCAACAGCGCGGGATTCGAGTTCGACAGTGCGTATTCTTCTGTCGTGGAGGATTGGATCAAGGATGATCACTCGGTAGACATCAAGAACACTGTGGTGACTCCACCGCCGCCTCCTCCTCCTCCTTTCCATGGGTTCCGCAAGAGACAGGACGGGGACACCACATTCTTCCGGGGCCCTTCAGGAGATGATGGCGGCAACAGTGTTGATGTTGAATTCGATAGCTCGTACGCCTCCGCCGTTGAGGATTGGTACAAGGATGATCACTCCGTCGACATCAAGAACCATATCGTCCAGCCTCCGCCGGTTCCAGGTTTCCGCAAGAGAGGTGGTGGTGACACCACGTTCTTTGGTGGTCCATCCGGCAATGATGGCGGCGACAGTGCTGGGTTCAAATTTGATAGCTCATACGCCTCAAGTGTCAAGGACGCCTACAAGGATGACCACTCTGTTGATGTCAAGAACACTATCATACACCCTCCGCCTGTCTTCCACGCTCCCCATGTCTCCCACCCTCCCCCAGCGCCGGGTATCGACAGGAGAGATGGGGGTGATACCACCTTCTTTGGTGGTCCATCCGGCGATGATGGCGGCAACAGTGCTGGATTTGAATTTGATAGCTCATATGCCTCAAGTGTCAAAGACTACTACAAGGATGACCATTCAGTGGACGTCAAGAACACTATCATCCATCCTCCCCCTGTCTTCCACCCTCCCCCGGTGCCAGGCTTCCGGAAGCGCGATGATGGAGGCTCTCACATTAGCACTCCTGACTATCATGAGCATGCTAACCCGGCTGTGGTCGAAGATTTTGGAAAACCTACCAAGGACGGCGGAATTACATTCATTGGAGGTCCCTCTGGTAACGATGGTGGCAACAGTGCCGATACCGATTTTGACAACAAGTATTCATCTGAGGTCGAAGATCATTACAAGGACGACCATTCTGTGGATATCAAGAACCACGTCGTTGCGCCAGCCGTGCCAAAGGGTTTCCGCAAGGGCGGCGACCCGGTCTTTTTCGATGGTCCCAGCGGCGATGATGAAGGGAACAGTGCCGGCTTTGACTTTGATGACGAAGTCTTCACGAAGGTCAACGAGCACGATGCTGATGACCATTCTGTGAAGTTGGAGAACTGGATCGTGCAAGCTCCGCCCCCACCCCCTCCCCCTCGTCCTCAGCCCCCTCGTCCTCAGGCACCTGGTCTTCAGGCACCTGGTCCTCTGGCACCTGGTCCTCTGGCACCTGGTCCTCAGGCACCTGGTCCTCTGGCACCTGGTCCTCAGGCACCTCGTCCTCAGGCACCTCCAGCTCCTTTCGCTGGCAGCCTAGAGCCACTAGAGCCACCTCACCCAGTGGCCGCAGCAACAAGCGAGCCATGCAGCACATCCACCTTCCTTGAGACCATCATCAAGACCCTTGCAGACGAGCCGGTGGCTACTAAGCCCGCTGCCCCATACCGGCCGCCTGAGAATCCTCAGGCACCTCCAGCTCCTTTCGCTGGCAGCCCAGAGCCACTAGAGCCACCTCACCCAGTGGCCCCAACAACAAGCGAGCCATGCAGCACATCCACCTTCCTTGAGACCATTATCAAGACCCTTGCAGACGAGCCGGTGGCTACTAAGCCCGCTGCCCCGTACCGGCCGCCTGAGAATCCTCAGGCCCATGTGCCTCAGCCAAATACTCCATCCGATCCCGCCCATGCCGTCGAGCCCACTCATCCCGCCGAGGCTGTGCCAACTGGTGTCTCTCCCACCCACGAGGCGGAGGCTCCCAAGGGCCAACACAACCCTGGCTTCGAGAAGCCAGAGCCTTGCACCTCGTCGAAGGGGGAAGCTCATCCCCAGCCGACTGCTCCTTCGTACCCTCCGCAGGGAGACCCTCATGCACACCCTCAGGCCAGCGCCCCTGCTGATCCCGGTCACGGGCAGCCTCAAGTCGCCTCGACTCCTTGCCCCACGGGCGGGCCTGGAGGTCATCAACCTGAGCCTACCGCTCCTTCCCAACCGCATCAACCCGAGCACGTTGACGCCAAGGAAGCTCCTCCCAAGCACGCGCCCACCTCGGCAGAGCCCCTGACCGCCATCACGTCCACCATCACCGTCAGCCACACCTCCACCTTCGCGGTGGTCCCCGTCTACATGGACGGCAGCCACAAGGCCTCCTGCACATCCGCAAACCACCAGCGTCCCAGTGACGTGGACCCGCAGGCTCACGGGCCTTCCTCGTCAACTAGCCAGGCCGCCAAGCCCTCGCACCACGCGGCTGCGTCCTCAGAGCCTAGCCAGAGCGTGATGTTCACCGGCGCCGCGGGCCGGATCGCACCCGCCGCCGGCGTCGTGTCCGCTGTGTGTGGTCTCATGGCTGTTCTTGCCTTCGTGCTGTAAGCTGTAATCGAGCCGTTGATGGGTTACGACATCTATGTGTTGCCATGTTGAATTTCTCATTCGCTCGTTCTTTGAGTATTTCATCTTATGTCTTTTATATTATTCACGTGCTGTTACAATCGCTCTGTCTGTATTAGGATAATCTCCAAGCAAATGCTAGGTGTGGTGACTTTCAGAATCCTCCTCTCTTCTGTAGTGTAGCTTCGATCTTGTAACTGCTGTCATCTCCCGGCCTGAGCGGGTAATCTGCTCAGCGTCATTGATTCTTGATCAAGCCCTTTGGGGACCTTGCGGCCAGTTGAGGCCATCGCCTTCGCAACAGTCCACGTTGTGATGTCAGCGTCTCACGAAACTAAGAGTCTTCCTGAAATCCAGTGAAAAGCAGAGTAAATACTGGTTGCTCGAGCTTAGTTTCAAGAATATTACTTTACGTCCTGCAGTTGTGTACTTGCTGTATGTCACTGTGGCCGAATAGTCTCTCCAGTATGCTGACTTTACGAATCTTTAGTTATAGTCTGATATCCATAAGATGTTAGACATTATTATCATACAGCTATGACTAAGCGATCTTACTGGGTTGACCTCATGCTTCTGATATCATAGTCCCATCATTCCCGAATCGAGGATCAATGGTGACATCAATTGCCGTCTTCCTCATCTCGACTGTGGAGCAGAAGTGAGTTTATAAGAGCTTCCTTCACCTTGCTCTTCATTGTTTCTGACCAGAACAATTCAGAGTTTTGAGGATATCAATAACTGAGACGTTTTCCTGAAACAAACATACGCATACAACCATGTCTTCCGACGACGCTCACAGAGGAGGCGCCCTGACCGAGATGGCCGAACACGGCACATCCATCCCCAACGACGCAGGCATCCAAAACACCCTCCCCTCCGTGCCGCGCCCCGACCAGCTCAGCGAAAGCGGCCAGTTTGATAACTACGGCCTCGCGGAGCCCTCGCTGGCTTTTGCCGCCGATAACGCCACCGATCTGCCCCGGAGCACCAAGGAGATGGGCGCAAGTGGGGAGGTCGTCACGGGAACTGGCGACGCGTTCCCTGTCTCGGGGGAGTCGAAGAGGATTAACCCTGGCGCGATGGACCCCGGTGCGCGCGGAAATGCGCGGACGATCAAGCATGCGAACCTGAACCGGAGTAAGTTTGATCGGTCGGCGAGGGAGGATGGGAATGCGCATGAGTTCATTGGGGAGCATGAGTTCCGCAATCGGATGGAGTGATTCGCATGGTTGGGTTCTGTGTCGTTATGATGTATTGATATACTTGCGGGAAATGATTGAGAAATCTATTTCTGTTTTGGCTTGTTTATGCTGGCGTAGGTGCGATGAAGCCCCGGTAGATTTCGTCGAGGACGTCTCGTTTCCGTTTCCGGTCGGCTTGCTCGGCCTCTTCGGCCTCGTCGGGCTCGCCCTCGGGCTCCCGTGAGACCCAGGCGCGGACGGTCCCGTCTCCGTGCGCGGAGTACATCTCCAGTCCTTCGCCGGAGCCGCCATTCCCGCGCCATACTAGGGAATTAATCCGGGCAGCGCTGAGGGCATTGGACCGCCCGCGGGTTTGCTGCCGACCAGCCATTAGACCGGGGACCTTGAGACGTTTGATGAACGTCCCCTCTCGAAGTTCGAACATGAAAATCTCTCCGCGGTCGTCGTGTTCGTTGAAATTGGCCCACAGGAGTGTCTCTTGCCCTGGAGACGTTAGTCCACGGGGCACAATCAGCGGAGCCCGCTCCGCAAGATGAGAGGACACGCCGTTCCGGACCCTGGGTCCAAAGTGGACGAGGGTATTGGCGCCTGTGGAGGCGTCCCAGACTCGGATTCGGGCATCTTGACCGGCTGTAACGAGGTGCGTGCCGGTGGATGTCCAACGGACACCGGTCACAGCACCATTGTGTGCACGGGCGTGCGGTGAGAACGGCGTGCGGCTTTGGTAGGATGCCGGGGCGCACTGCGGATGAACTAGGCCGACCGCATCATCCATATCAAGGGTCGCGATGGCGGAATTGTGACCGCCCCTTCGAACGTCAAACAGAATCACGCGGTTGTCTGCTGATGCTGAGGCGAGGATATGCGGCCGGTGAGGCGCCCATGCAACTGAGAGGACCGCAGAGCTATGGCCCGGAAGTCCGTGTGTGGATAGACCGGACCGCAGGTCGAGCAAGCGGACTGCTCTCTCTGACGTACCTACTGCAATAAGAAGCGTGGAACCGGGATGCGACGACATGGAATGAGAGTAAGGCGTGCAGTCAAGCCTGAATGTATGCATCGGCGTGATGGCGCCAGGCGCCAAGGCAGAGAGCTTGAGGCTTCCATCATGCGCAGTAGTCAAGATTGTAGATGGAGTCGGATCAAATGGGTATATTGAAACCGACGTGATCGCATGCGTATGGGCGTCTTCGTGGGATCCCTTGTGGACAGAGGCAATAGGCCGGTGGATATGATCCAACTCGGCGCCTCTGGTTTCCAGATCCCAGAAATGAATCGATGGGTCCGCGCCACCGGAAACCATGCTGTTCAATCATTAGCATCAAGTCGTAGCTGACGGAGGAAGAGGACATACAATCGTGAATCATTTTGATCAATGGCGAGTACATTCACGCCAGCCCTATGAGCAACTGCATCGCTTTCAAATCCCGGGTTTGTATCAAACAACGCAGAATCACGTTCGGATTGGCCTCCAGATATGTTCCTCAGGCTTGAGAATCGAATGCAAGGAGCTGGCTCAAGGTGGTGAACTAGCCGGGTAGTTTGTGCCACATGAAAGGAGTGCGGAGAGATAGACCCGAGGGCCCTGTTTAGGAGATACGAATTCATTCATCAGGCATTGAGCAATATAAAACCCTTCGATACGTCAATGCGATGTTCATGATATCTACCTTCAATCCTCTTCCAGACTTCCAGAATCCAGATCGCGTCTTATTGCAACGCGGGGCGGAGAAAGGTTGCACCGGAGCTTGTAATTTCGGGATCGTCGCAAGAAGCCGATGTAAAAAGTAATCCGCACACACTGCTCGTATCAGTCTATTTGACTCACTAGGTTGGAGGTGACTGCAGGTTTCCCCCGATGCTCTCCCACGGGTGACACTCAACACGACAGGACTATGTCCTACGGCAAATCCCTTGCGCTGAGCCAGAATTCCTTCGTCCAGCCTCCGGACCGGGACGATGGCGCGCGCCACATTCAAGACGAGCCTTTGCTCAGGCGACAAAAACGTCAAGCAACTGTCTACGATGCTGTAGCTGGTTGGTAGGGCTGTTCCGCCTTCTCGAAAGCTACTGACATGTACAGGTCGTGTGAATGCACATGGGTTTCTTCCATCGGTCTCATATGCCTCCAAACACCGCGACACAGCATCCTCCAGCGCTCGTCCCGTTCGTCCCGAGGAGGTACTCTTCCGTCGCCAGAATGCGCCAATACGATACGAAGAAAATGACTTTTACTTCGCAAACGAGTCCCTCCCTGCTGACCGCCCGCTTCCGAGCTCTGAGCTGCTAGAAGCCATTCACGCCTACACGGCCGATTTCTACGATCATGCAACGATCGATCGTGGTCAAGACGACTACCAAAGCATGGACGAGACAGCTCTGATGGCAATGGGAATACTGATGGAGGAAATGGCCCGAGAGGCTCTGGGTGAAACCGGAGACTTGGTTCTGGTCGAAGGGGAGGAACTCTCGACGGATGACGATCACCTATCGTCGAGACTCGGAAGTCGTCGCGTAGGCAGGAAACGGGCCAATACCGGCCAGAGTATGATTTTGGCAAGCTCTGGCGATGATCTGGATAGCGTTGTTAGAAAGCGACGGTCGAAGAAGCGCAAGTTGACCCGGAGGGCGTCGACTACCGATTTTGATACAGAAGCAGATGAGAGGTTGTGAACTTGGACTCAATTCTTGCGAGGGGCACCTCGTCGACGCTTTATGGAGGCGCGATTCCACTTCATGGTTAAGCCTGTCTGTTATGGCACATCGGTAACACTATATTCAAAGACAGCTGAGAGGCAGAGAAACCTAGTCTGGTGATCAATGCACAGGAGCAAAGGTATTGAAGGTATCATTTGACTGTGTTAGGGAAACAACTGAGCATATTAAAGAGCTCGCAAATACAATGAATGTCGCGGGTGAAGCTTCGATCTTACTGTTTCAGCAAGTTTCTGAAGATTTTCAAGCATCGGAGGACTGAGTTAAGGTTCAATATCTGTAGTAGCAATTTGAATCCTTACATCAATTGCATAGAAATCTGCACTGTAGACATGTGAACCGAAGAACAACATGTTGTATGTGACTCGATCAGGCATCGCGGTACTCCAGTCCTCTCTTGTGCCATTGACAACGAGTTTTCAAACCCATCACCACTCAGACCAGTTCATCATTCCTCCATCTGATCCATCTCCGAAAGACATCAGTCTTCCTCTATGCCTTTATCGAACGCCTTACTAGGCCCTTAGACCAGCTCAATAACTACACATAGCATCGCTTGACGAACGTCAACATCCGCCATCCAGCATGGTTTGCTCCCCGACTTTCACTTTCCCTGATTGTCCAAACGTGATGCATACGCAATAAGAAAACAAACTACGTATCTACAGTTACTTGATGCTAACGATTGTGTTTCAGCCACCAAAACTCTCTAAAAGTGCCAAGGAAGACTTGATAGTCGCGCATCTCCGGTCCACACGCACGTGCCACACGCTCAAAGACCTCGAGAAGATGCTCCCCTCGGTTGCCTCGATCAATGGCATGCAGGTCAAGGAATATATCCAGAACCTGACGGACGAGGGAAAGATCCGGGTGGAGAAGATCGGAAGCGGGAACTGGTATTGGTGTTTTGGCGGGGATGAGAAAAGAGAGAAGGAAAGCCGATTGAACCAGCTGGAGAAAGAGGTGAAGGCTCTGCAGGCGAGCTATGACGAAGCAGAGGCTAGTCTGGCGGCCAAAAGGGACAAATGGGAAGAAGAGGGAGAGAATGAGGAATCAAACCTGGCA